GGCGTGGGCTGGTCCATGAGGTCACGAAGAGTCGGAGACGACTGAACGAATGAACAACAACAACACAAACTATCAAAGAGCATTCTGAACTCCACCAACGATGGAATTGCACCAAACTTGACACACAGAACCCCCATGACCAACAGAAAATATTGGGTATGGTGGGCATTGGCTTTGAGTTTTGGAGTTGCAGTTCACCTACATCCAGAGAGCACTAAGGACTCAAACAGTGATGAATCTGGACCAAACTTGGCATGGAAGCTCAACATGCCCAAATGTGTACACTGGTGGAGTTTGGGGAAAACAGACCTTGACATTTGGGAGTTGTGGTTGCTGGGATTTATAGTTCACCTACAATCAAAGAACATTCTGAACATCACCAACGATAGAACTGGGCCAAACTTCCCACATAGAACCCCCATGACCAATACAAATTACTGTGTTTTCTGATGTTCTTTGGTGACCCCTCTGACACCCTTCTCGCAATCCCCCCAGGGGTTCCCACCCCCCAGTTGGGAAACCCTGGGTTAGAGCATTGAGATCTTCCAGGGAGTCCCTGCTCTTGGTCCCTCAAACGCAATTGGTGGGAACGAGAAACGGGGCCTTCTCAGTGGTGGCCCCTCGCTATGAAACTCCCTCCCCAATGATATCAGAATTGCCCCCTCCCTTGTGATTTTCAGAAAAAAAGTCAAAGCCTGGTTATGGAATCAGACCTTTGGGGAATAGTGCAATACAGAATCGACATAATGTTGCAACGTGTATGGCAACTTCAAGACTAGGTCTTGTGGTTTTAACAGTGTTTAATGTATTATATGCTTTTATCTGCTTTATTGCTAATGTGTTTTATTGTATTGTTTATTTGTATATGATATTATAATTATATATGTTATATTACATGTAATAGTACTAATAATATTACAATGTAATGGTATAGTACAATGTATATAATACTGATATTGTACTATGCTAATAATATAATGTATTGTATATATATCTTGTAAGCTGCGGCATATAAATGTCATAAATAAATAAATTTATTTATTTATTTAGAGTTTTTAGAGTTTTATTTAGACCTCCGGAGAGGGACTCAGGCCGGCTAACAACAGAGGATTCAATACAGTAAAATAAAAACAAATATACATCATCAATATAAAATACATTACAATACAAATTACAAAAAAGTCAGTTCGTCAGAGTGAAATCACAAATTCATCGCCATCCGCCAGTAAGGTCAGCAGTTATTGACTCAATCATCATTCTGCAAATGCAGTATCCCAAAGCCATGATTTTACCAGCTTTCTAAAAGTCAGGAGGGAAGAGGCAGATCTAATCTCCATCGGGAGGGAGTTCCAGAGCCAAGGGGCCACCACCGAGAAGGCCCTGTCCCTCATTCCCACCAAATGCGATTGCGACGGAGGTAGGACCGAGAGCAGGGCCCCTCCAGAAGATCTTAACAAACTTGATGGTTCATAGGGGAGAATCCGTTCGGACAGGTAAATTGGGCCGGAACCGTTTAGGGATTTATAGGTCAACACCAGCACTTTGAATTGTGCTCGGAAGCTGATTGGCAGCCAGTGGAGCTGACGTAACAGAGGAGTAGTATGCTCCCTGTACCCTGCTCCTGTTAGTAGTCTGGCTGCTGCTCGTTGGACTAGTTGTAGCTTCCGGGCAGTCTTCAGAGGCAACCCCATGTAGATATATATATAAATAAATAATATGTGGCATTGAATATTGACAAACTATAAGCCGCTCTGAATCCCCTTCGGGGTGAGAGAGAGCAGGATAGAAATATTGTAAATAAATATAAATAAATAAATAAATAAATAAATACTGTTTCTATATTGTTATAGTTTGTTCCCACTGCCATACTCGGTAGCCATGATGGGAGGAAGCTGGGGAAGATCTGGAGGGTACCTGCCATAAGGTGTAGCACAGACCTTGGAAAAGGTTTTTTTTTAATAACTACAATTTCCAGAATACTCTAACCGCTATAACGGTCAGATAGATGCAAAAGTGCTTGTTCACTTCCCCATCTGTTTCCCGGCTTCTTATCGTTAACCTCATGCTGTCAAGCTAAAACAAAGAGTCATAAATTAATTGGTACAACCCCTTCTGTACAACTGGATAGCTGTTACTCTGTGCCCATGGGGCTAACAAGAACCCCCAAACCCGTCTGCCTAATGGCAGTTGTCAAACCCATTAAACCCACTCTGGGACAGCAATGTGAAAGTCTTTCCAAAATTAAAATAAATAAATCTATACCAGGCATGAGGAAACTTCGGTCCTCCAGGTGTTTTGGACTCCCACAATTCCTAACAGCCTGTAGCAGCCTGTAATGAAAGGACATCTCTGACCCATCCTCTGTTCAGATATCAGCCAGCAAGCCATCGCCTTAAAACAAGAAATAGTTTTCTAAGATCTACAGTGATATTTGCAGGAACACCTCAGCAAGCCAGAGTCCAAAAGTGGCAGGCTAAAACCTGGAACCTCAATCCATGGCTGATACCAAATGAGAGGCTCCCTCCTGGGAACACAGAAGACAGGGCAACTTGGCAGGCGCTTAACAGACTGCACTCTGGAACCATGAGATACAGAGCCAACCTTAAGAAATGGGGTTACAAAGCGTGCGGAGAACATATGGCAGAGTGAGATAAGAAAAGCAGAAACGCATAATGATGTTGTGCATCCAGAAGAGTTTTCATAGAATCATAGAATTGGAAGAGACCTCGGGGGCCATCCCACCCAACCCCACTCTGCCAATAAGCATGAAAATTGCACGCACACACCCCCAACAGATGGCCATCTAGCCTCTATTCAAAAGCCTCCCAAAAAGGAGCCTCCACCACACTCTGGGACAGAGAGTTCCACTGCTGAACAGCTCTCACAGTCAGGAAGTTTTTCCTAATGTTCAGGTGGCATCTCCTTTCCTGTAGTTTGAAGCCATTGTTCCATGTCCTAGTCTCCAGGGCAGTAGAAAACAAGCTTGCTCCCTCCTCCCTATGACATCCTCTCACATATTTATACACGGCCCTCATCGTGCCTCCTCTTAGTCTTCTCTCCTGCAGGCTAAACATGGCCAGCTCTTTAAGCTGCTTCTCATAGGGCTTGTTCTCCGGACTCTTGATCATTTAATTGCCCTCCTCTGGACATATTCCAGCTTACAGTCAGTATCTCCTTTTAATTGTGGTGCCCAGAATTGAACACAGTATTCCAGGTGTGGTCTGACCAAGGCAGAATAGAGGGGTAGCGTGACTTCACTGGATCTAGACCAGTGTTTCTCAACCATAATAATAATAATAATAATAATAATAATAATAATAATTTATTTATTTATACCCCGCCTCCATCTCCCCAAGAGGACTTGGGGCAGCTAACATGATGCCAAGCCCAACAGTTACAGTAAAGCAAAAGAATACAACATAAAATCATAAATTAATGCAACAGTGATTCTCAACCTTCCTAATGCCGCAACCCCTTAGTACAGGTCCTCATGTTGTGGTGACCCCCAACCATAATGTTATTTTCGTTGCTACTTCATAACTGTAATGTTGCTACTGTTATGAATCGTAATGTAAATATCTGATATGCAGGATGTATTTTCAGTCACTGGACTAAATATGGCACAAATACCCGATACACTCAAATTTGAACACCGCTGGTGTTGGGGGTGATTGATTTTGTCATTTGGTAATGTTGGAGTTGCTGGGATTTATAGTTCACCTGAAATCAAAGAGCCTTCTGAACTCCACCAATAATGGAACTGAATCAAACTTGGCATACAGAATTCCCATGACCAAGAGAAATTACTGCGATGGTCTGGTGGACATTGACCTTGAGTTTTTGGAGTTGTAGTTCACTGGCATCCAGAGAACACTGTAGACTCAAGCAATGATGGATCTGGATCAAACTTGGCACAAATACTCAATATGCCCAAATGTGAACACTGGTGGAGTTTGGGGAAAAGAGACCTTGCCATTTGGGAGTTGTAATTGTTGGGATTTATAGTTCACCCACAATGCAATAGCATGCTGAACCCCACTGATAGAATTGGACCAGATTTTCCACACAGAACCCCCATGACCAACAGATGGTCTTTGGAGACCCCTCTAACACCCCCTTGTGACCCCCACAGGGGTCCTGACCCCCAGGTTGAGAAACACTGAAATAGAAAAACCTGTACCATGAATTGGGAGCGGAAAATAAATGGCAGCCAATGGAGCTCCTTAAACAGGGAGCTACAGTGTTTCCTGGTGGTCTTTTGCAACCCCTTTGACTCTCTCTTGCGACCCCCTGCACCAGGCATGTAGCGGGGGGGGGGGGGGGGGGGCTTGAGGTGGTCCGCGAAAAGGCCTTACTGGTGCATTATTTAAACTGTTATGTTTATTCATATCATGATCTGATCACCATGCTCAATATATCCCATATGCATGGGGCTATTGGGGTAATGATACAAAAGGTTTGCTAGGGTAGACCCTCTTTCACTCAGACTCAGCCCCCCCCCCCCCCCCCGAATCGAAATCCTGGCTACGGGCCTGCCCTGCACTAAGCCTGTATGGCTAAATGATAGAAGCATTCTCTCCTGACGTTTCGCCTACATCTATGGCAAGCATCCTCCGAAGTTTTGAGGTCTTTGAGAAGAGATTCCCCTTCTTTTTTTCCCCCCGCTTCCTTTCCCGAGAACATCCTTTTCCCATTTAGATAAAGCGGGTGGCTTGGATCATTATGGCATCAACGTGCAGGCGCTCCAGCCAGCCAGCCAGCCAGCCAAGCCCTCCGTTTCCTTTTCCTTTTCTTGCTGACTCGTTATCCAACTGCCAGTTGCGCAGAGACATTCGTTTACCAGAAAACGAAAGCACTTATGAAGGCGACCGCACAAGATGCCTCCCGAAGTGGCCGCGCTCTTTGGCTCCTGCCTGCTGCTCTTCCTCCCGAGTGGCAGTAAGTTCCCACGCGACAGGGGCTCGGTTTCCCCCTCCATCCGCGGGGCAGAAAGGGTGCTGCGGGCACGGGACGGGGAACCCACAAATTAAGCCTCGCTTTCCACCGGACAGGCAGGCAGGCTGGCAGGCCAGGGACTGACCAGGTGCGCCTTCTGCGCTCGACAATCCGACAACAACACTTTGAACGTCTCTGGCTCAAAGCTAGGCAGGCAAACAAGCCTGTGAATTGCACTGTGTCACACTGTTTTTGCTCCTGGGTTACAAATGTCATTTCCTAATAGGTTCTATCATAAATACATTGGGAGGGGGGGGGGGGGGGGGGGGGGAGTTTATTAAACTGCAAAAACTTTGTTTTTCGAGGTATAGATTACTAACTGGAGCGAATTACAGGGAGCGGTCTATTTTATTTTATTTATTATTTACTAGCCGTCCCCTGCCACGTGTTGCTATGGCCCACATGGGGATTCTGTGTGGGAGGTTTGGCTCAACTTTATTGTTGGGTGGGGTTTGGAATGCTCTGTGATTGTAGGTGAACTATAAATCCCAGCAACTACAACTCCCAAATGTCAAGATTCTATTTTCCCCAAATTCCACCAGTGTTCACATTTGGGCATACTGAGTATTCATGTAGAGTTTGGTCCAGATCCATCATTGTTTGAGTCCACAGTGATCTCTGGATGTAGGTGAACTACAACTCCAAAACCAATGGACACTGCCCACCAAACCCTTCCAGTATTTTTTATTGGTCATGGGAGTTCTGTGTGCCAAGTTTGCTTCAGTTCCCTCATTGGTGAAGTTCAGAATGCTCTTTGATTGTAGGTGAACTATAAATCCCAGCAACTACAACTCCCAAATGTCAAGATTCTATTTTCCCCAAACTCCACCAGTGTTCACATTTGGGCATACTGAGTATTCGTGTAGAGTTTGGTCCAGATCCATCATTGTTTGAGTCCACAGTGCTCTCTGGATGTAGATGAACTACAACTCCCAAACTCAAGGTCAGTGCCCACCACACCCTTTCAGTATTTTCTGTTGGCCATGGGAGTTCTGTGTGCCAAGTTTGCTTCAGTTCCCTCATTGGTGAAGTTCAGAATGTTCTTTGATTGCAGGTGAACTATAAATCCCAGCAAGTACACCTCCCAAATGACAAAATCAATTTTCTTGAGTGAAGGACATACATTGGGTTGTTAGGTGTCTTGTGTCCAAATTTGGTGTCAATTCGTCCAGTGGTTTTTGAGTTCTGTTAATCCCACAAACGAACATTACATGTTTATTTATATAGATTTAGATCTACCCCCCTTGTTTAATAATAATATTAATAATAATAATTTAAAGATCGAACTGGATTTAAAGGGTTTAAAGGATTTAAAGATCAAACTGCAAAGACTCTGGCACAAACCAGTCAAGGTGATCCCAGTGGTGATTGGCACACTGGGTGCAGTGCCTAAGACCTTGGCCTGCACTTAAACACAGTCTGCGCTGACAAGATTACCATCTGCCAGCTGCAGAAGGCCACCTTACTGGGATCTGCGTGCATTCAAAATAAATACAGTCTATACCAGGCATGGGCAAACTTCGGTCCTCCAGGTGTTTTAGACTTCAACTCCCACAATTCCTAACAGCCAGTAGCAGCCTGTAATGAAAAGACCAAGGCATTGTCATCTCTGGCCCATCCTCTGTTCAGATATCAGCCAGCAAGCCAATGTCTTAAATCAAGAAATAGCTTCCTAAGATCTACAGTGATATTTGCAGGAACACCTCAGCAAGCCACTGTCCAAAAGTGACAGGCTAAAACCTGGAACCTCAATCCATGGTCTGATACCGAATGAGAGACTCCCTCCTGGGAACACAGAAGACTGGGCGACTTGGAAGGCACTGAACAGGCTGCGCTCTGGCACCACGAGATGCAGAGCCAACCTTAAGAAATGGGGCTACAAAGCAGAGTCCACGACATGGGAGTGTGGAGAAGAGCAATCACAGACCACCTACTACAATGCGGTCTGAGCCCTGCCACACGCACAATGGAGGACCTTCTTACAGCTATACCAGAGGCCTCCAATCAGTCAGCTTCTAGTCAAAGGAAATATAGTATGTTGCCAGGTTTTTCACTTTGTTTGTGGTTTTTCTATACATTATAACTGTATTCTCAATTAGCTTCTGACACAATAAATAAATAAATATTGGCTAGAAAGCTAAGCCCAGTGATGGGCTGTACAATCGATTGTTTTTAGTATGTGTGAAATGTGCAGTTGGAGAAAAAAATATGTAGTTGGGAAGCTGATAGATGTACAGTGGGCAAAAGAAGGGGAAAGGCACTTTATGCACTAAAAACAGTCTAAACACTCTGGAATCACCGGATCTTGTCTGATTTTGGAAGCTAAGGAGGGAGAGAATGGGTGCTTGGATGGGAGACTGTCAATGAATATCAGATATTGTAAGTTGTATTTCAAAGGTGAGCAATGGCAAGCTATTTGAATGATCCTAAGAAAAACTGATTAAATCTATGAGGTAGTCATAAATGATAAGCATCCTGAAGGCATAAACACAGAGACGTAGAATCATAGAGTTGGAAGAGACCTCGTGGACCATCCAGTCCAACCCCCTGCCAAGAAGCAGGAAAATCGCATTCAAACCACCCCCGACAGATGGCTACCTAGCCTCTGTTTAAAAACCTCCAAAGAAGGAGCATGCCATTGCTCACTCCAGGGCAGAGAGTTCCACTGCTGAACAGCTCTGGCACAAAGCAGTGAAGTTGGTTCCAGTGGTGATCGGCACACTGGGTGCAGTGCCTAAAGACCTTGGCCTGCACTTAAACACAATCGGCGCTGACAAGATTACCATCTACCAGCTGCAAAAGGCCACCCTACTGGGAACTGCAAGCATTATTCGCCGATACATCACACAGTCCTAGACACTTGGGAAGTATCCAACGTATCATCCAATACAATAGCCAGCAGAGTGATCTTGTTTGCTGTGGACTCATCTTGTTGTGTTTCTAATAATAATAATAATAATAATAATAATAATAATAATAATAATAATAATGCGGAGGGCCTGATTCTGGCAGCACAAGAACAAGCCATTAGAACAAATGCCATCAAAGCCAGAATTGAAAAGATGGCAACAGATCCCAAATGTAGATTCTGCAAGGAAGCAGATGAAACAGTAGATCACATCCTCAGCTGCTGCAAGAAGATTGCACAGACAGACTACAAGCAGAGGCACAATACAGTTGCTCAGATGATTAATTGGAATTTGTGCCACAAATACCATCTGCCTGCAACAAAGAACTTGTGGGATCAGAAGCCTGAAAAAGTTACAGAAAATGAACACGTCAAACTCCTCTGGGACTTCCAAATTCAGACAGAGTTTTGGAGCACAATACTCGTGACCTCACAATTGTGTTAAAAAAGAAAGGATCATCGATGTCGCAATCCCAGGTGACAGCAGGATTAAAAAGAAACAGCTGGAAAAGCTGACATGATATAAGGATTTAAAGATCGAACTGCAAAAACTCTGGCACAAACCAGTCAAGGTGGTCCCAGTGGTGATCGGCACACTGGGTGCAGTGCCTAAAGACCTTGGCCTGCAAGTTGCTTCTGGTGTGACAAAAAAAAAAAAAGGACCAGAACGGCTCCTTGGCATTAAGCCCTTGGAAGATCCAGCACAGGGAATTGCCCCTGCCAATCTCCAAAAGAAATATGGCAGTGACAATGGTAGGGGAGTCCCTGCCAAGGGCACCAGAAGCAGTGGTTTGCAAAGCTGTCAGGATGACTTGAATGGTGAAATAGAGAAGTTGATTAGGCTTATCAAATCCACTGACTGATATCACTTCCTTTTGGTTCATCTGGGAACTAGTGAAGCAACAGGTACTGTTGGGATGGGGAACACCATCCCTCATTTCTTAGGTTTTTTTGCCATGTGCATTCTGTAAGCACATGGTCTGGGATGGGATTTCTCATTGACTTGCTTGGGCTGGAGGGACAAGCCACAAATTCTACAGAAATATTGCCATCTTGTGGCAGTTGTAGTCATTCCGGTATCATCAACCCATAGACAATAGCTGTTTTGTGTAATGATGAAGAAATGACTAAATATTCCAAAAAGAGAGATGAAGTAGTAATGGCAAAGTTCGAGTATCCTGATATTTGTTGGAAGTCCTGCTCTGCCAAGAATATCAGGTCCACCCAATTCCTCGCTTCTCCTGTTAAAGAATTTCATTGCCCAGAAGATCATGGACTTGAATTGGAATGGCATTACGGCTTTGACAAATGCTTTTAACTTCTTTTAACTTAACGATTTATCTTAAGTTCTTTATCCTACCCTGCCCATTCCTCAGATATATAAACCCTAGCTCCAACAGACCTCCCTACCTCTGAGGATGCTTGTCATAGATGCAGGCGAAACGTCAGGAGAGAATGCCTCTAGAACATGGCCATATAGCCCCCCCCCCCCCGAAAAAAAACTACAACAACCCAGATTTATCTATTGTTTTAAACTGTTGTTATATTGTTGTTTGCTTGTATGCATGGCATCGAATTGTTGCCGAGTGTAAACCGTCCTGAGTCCCCCTTCCGGGGTTGAGAAGGACGGGGTAGAAATACTGGAAATAAATAAATAAAGAGGCAACAAGAGGACCAGCTATTTTAGATCTCCTAACCAATAGTGATGATGGGAGGTGCATCATTATGCAGTTTGAGATCACTTTAAATGCTATGGTTGAATACTACGGTGTCATACTGGCTGTTGTTTTACAAGGTTGTGAGACTTAGAGAAGTCTTTGATAGAGTACTGGTGCTTAAGCAAATCTCTTGGGAAGACGAGCGGACAAATGTCAACATGGTAGAAGAAGGAAAGACCACCAGCATTGAAGCGATGGTCCTCCACCATCAACTTCGCTGTACCGGCCACGTTGTCCAGATGCCCAACCACCGTCTCCCAAAGCAGTTGCTCTATTCCAAACTCAAGAACAGAAAATTGAATGTTGGAGGACAGGAAAGGAGATTTAAAGACGGGCTCAAAGCCAACCTTAAAAACTCTGGCATAGACACTGAGAACTGGGAAGCCCTGGTCCTTGAGCGTTCCAGTTGGAGCTCAGCTGTGACCAGCAGTGTTGCAGAAATTGAACAGGAATGAATGGAGGGCGAAGGAGAGAAATGTGCCAAGAGGAAGGCGCGTCAAGCCAACCCCGACCGGGACCGCCTTCCACCTGGAAACCGATGACCTCACTGTGGGAGAAGATGCAGATCAAGAATAGGGCTCCACAGTCACCTATGGATCCACCGCCAGGATACTACACTTGGAGGACCATCATCCTCGGACTACAAGGGATTGCCTAACTGCTTAAGCAAATTATACACCCAAGGATTCCATAGCATTCAGCCACGACAGTTAAAGTGGTATCAAACTGCATTAATTCCACATTTAATGGAATAGAAATGGAAGGTTCCTTAGGTGGAAATGACAATGTTCTCCTAGAGTTTGAAGGTAAGCATAGTCAGACAAACATTCTAGACTGAGAAAGTTGATTTTAGATGTGATCAGGAATATTAAAAGAGAAGGAAGTTCATGATAAATGGCAGTTTCTTAAGAGTGAAATATTGAAGGCACAATTTCAAACAGAAAACATGGATAACATGGGAGGTCTCTAAAATAACCAGGATGAATATCTAAAGGACCAAACTAAATGCAGGCCCTTTAGTTCTTTTCCACCTCAAGATTCTTCATAGAGTAAGATAGTTCAGGCTCAGTAAAGTTGAGAACCTGGATATCTCTAGTCCGAATTCAGCATTATGGCCACTATGCTAATATGGCTCTTATCAGGTCTATGAGTGCAGAAGTTTGATAAAGCATGTCTACACCATGGCGTTGACATATATACCTCTCTTCAACCTCCAAACTGCAATAAGCTGTGAGAATGAGATTTCTGTTGATGCAACCAAGTAAATATGAAATACTTTAATTAATTTTTAATTTTCAGTATGTGTAGCTATTTTGAATTTTCTTCCAAATTCCCTAGAGCTATTATTTTTAAGGAAAAGAGTACACAAATAAAATGTATTAGCACTGTCCCTTCAGTTCTGGCCTGCAGTGCAAGGGACACTGTCTCTTTTCATCTTTGATAAATTGTAATTCTCCTAAAACTGGCCGTGAGGATAGAAATAACATGCATTACTCTTGTTTCAGAAGGTGATGTGGAATCTTGGATGTTGGGCCCTTCTACACCACACAATTACCGTATATACTCGGCTATAAGCTGAATTTTCAGGTCTTTTTAGGCTGAAAAAGTCCCCCTCGGTTTATACTCGAATCAAAGTTATTTATTATTTTACTCTATTATTGTTGTTGTTGTTGTTGTTGTTGTCTTTCATTATTTTACTCTATTATTATTATTATTAAATTTTATTCTATTATTACATTTATTATTCTCTGTTATTATTTCATTCATTATTTTACTCTATTATTACTGTCATTATTACATTTACATTATTCTGCTCTATTTTTATTATTATTACATGCATTATTTTACTCTATTTATTATTATTATTATTATTAAATTTATATAATTTTAGTATATTATTACATTTATTATTTTACTCTATTTATTATTGTTATTATTGCATTTATTATTTTACTCTATTACTGTTATTAAAAGGTAAAGGTAGTCCCCTGACATTAAGTCCAGTCATGTCTGACTCTGGGGTGTGGTGCTCATCTCCATTTCTAAGCCGAAGAGCCAGCGTTGTCCGTAGACACCTCCAAGGTCATGTGGCCGGCATGACTGCATGGAGCGCCGTTATTACATTTCCATTATTTTACTCTATTATTATTACATTTATTATTTCACTCTATTATTATTGGAAGGACACATAAACACATTTATATTGAAAAAGGTTAAAATAATGGTTTAATCTGAGTTGGACAGTCTTATCTTAAATTACAGTTTTATGCAAATCTTCAAAAACATTTAACCTACTCATGCCTCAATTAACATAATGGTCTTGGTATCTATTTTTATTTTAAAATTTACCAGTAGCTGCTGTATTTCCCATTCTCGACTTATACTCGAGTCAATACTTTTTCACAGTTTTTTGTGGTAAAATTAGGTGCCTTGGTTTATATACTCCAGTCGGCTTATACTGGAGTATATATAGTATTATGCTATGATTCTGCTTTAAGAACAATGTCTGCTTTGTCTGGAATCTAGAGACTTGTAGTCCGGTGAGGCACCAGATGTCTTAGGCTGTAGATGAATAATAATATATGAACTGACTCAAATTTTAACTAATAGGTACCCAGTATACTGTATATCATTGATGTAAATCTGCACTAATCAGATTCCCACCTTATCTTCTACTTGTAAGTGTGTCTGCTTTGTTTTTTCCAGGGGCAGATTTGAAAGTCACTGTGTTTCCGTCTGTAATCCAAGGCAAACCAGGCTCTGACGTAGAGTTGCCTTGTTCTATATTGGACACGTTGAGGCCCATAGATTTAAAGCAGCTGGCTGTGATCTGGAAGATTGGCTCAAAAGTCATTGCAAAGTATGAAGATTCATTTGAGGCCAGAAGGCCAGGGGCTACAATGACAATTGAGAATCTGCAGAAGGGAAATGCCACCCTCTTGCTACCAGGTGTGCAAGATTCGGATACAGGTCTTTATATGTGTGAAGTTATCCATGAAACTAACCAGGCAGAAGGAAATGTGGAACTGAGAATTGAAGGTAAGAAGAGCAAAGGAAAGTGCCTGTGGATCATACTCTCCCAGTGATGTTTAAAAGCACTTTGGGGCATCAGAGTTCAAGGACTTTATTGCACAACTTTGCCATTCTACTGTAGTGGCTTCATAATGGAGAGTGGATATATAACAGGTTGAGCATATTCAATAACAGGTTGAGCATATTCAATAACACACTTCTCTTCAATTGCACTGACTCATATATTTGTGATTTTGCCATTGTACTTCTGCACACCATCATAACTCAGCCTTCATATACTTCTGTAGTTCCTCATTTTTTTTATTTTTAGTGCAATTGCACAACTCCAGACTTCTAACTCAGAAAAACCATAGATGAAGTTTGTCCTTCTGATGTTCAATTGGAATTATCAGAAAATTATAAATAAGTCACAGACTTTCCTAAAATTAGTCAAGGAGCTTTTTCTGCATTTTATCGGTCTTTCAGAGCCCCCGGTGGTGCAGCAGGTTAAACCGCTGAGCTGCTGACTTGCTGACCAAAAGGTCAGAGGTTTGAATCCGGGAAATGGGGTGAGCTCCTGCTGTTAGCCCCAGCTTGTGCCAGCCTAGCAGTTCAAAAATATGCAAATATGAGTAGATTAATAGGTACGGCTTTGGCAGGAAGGTAATGATGTTCCATGCAGTCATGCTGGCCACATGACCTTGGAGGCGTCTATGGACAACGTCGGCTCTTTGGCTTAGAAATGGAAATGAGCACCACCTCCCAGAGTTGGACACGACTACACTTAATGTCAAGAGGAAATCTTCACTTTTACCTTATGGATCTTTCTGTTGCTTGTTTACTTTTTAGGGGTGGGGAATTAAAATGAGACAAAATGGGGAATATTTTGATGCTCTTAAGAGGAAAGTATTAATTTTATTTTCTAATTCTAGCTGCCCCAAGGCTAACACATGGCCCCACCAATTTACTGTTGGGTGTGCCAAGCAGTGTGAGGTGTATGGCCTCAGGTTTTTATCCTGGTGAAATCTTTGTGACATGGCTGAAAGATGACAAGACAGTGAAAGGTCGAGAGCAGGCTACTGCTTATCTCCATCCTGATGGACTGTTCAGTGCAGAGAGTACACTGGAGCTTACACCACAAATTGCTGATGACAATTCCACCATTCTTTGCAAGATTGATCACAAAGCAATCCAACAGTCTCTTATAGAGAAAATGCAGTTGCAGGTACAAGGTAAGTCAATCGCTTTGTCTTTGCTAGGATTTATTTGGTTATAGCATGACAAGTCTGCTCAAAGAAGGGTCTAACACAACGATAAGAAGCTAAGGGTGAGAATGGCATCCAGAGGGAGGTAAATAATGACCAGCAGCCATAAATCACTGTTGTAGTATAATGTCTGTTTTTAAATTGGTAAGATGGTTGTGCAAATGTCCACAGAAACATTAAATGTTTATTTATTTCATATAGCTACTGTCTTTAGCCGTTTCTGCCAAATAGTGGTGGTGCTCACCAACTAAAAATCAGTTGGTGAGTATGTTAACTGAAAATGCAAAGCATGAAGCTGATTGGTTGGGCCATGCCTGACAGGCTAGCCAAGCCTGGGAGTTTTGGCAACCGTTACATGTTTAGGCTGCTAGCTATGCAGGAGCTTACAAGAGACAGAGCAGGTTCTTGCTTCTGGCCTGCTGGAAGAGGGTCTTGCACATGGACACCTAAGGACCATTTGAATCTCTGTAAGTCAATGCAACTGTTCACATGACTGTATTTATTTATTAATCAATTTTATTGTTGCTCTGCATTTTGAAGAGTAAAATTTCTGTTGTTTACTGATCACCTGCGTGGCATATCTTTTCTCTGGCAAGGCAGTGTGTGGACTGGTAAAAGTGTAAACTACACGTGATTTTAATTTTGCCACAAACTATAGTTCCCATGATTCCATAACATTGAACCATAGCAGTTAAATGTGGTGTCAAACTGCAGTAATTCCACAGTGTAGATGCACACCAAGAGATCATGATAAATTGAATACTCTCTTCGTTCCTCCTATCATTTGCAAACCAAGAGCAATGTTTCTCCTTCTCCTGCTGTATTGTTCAAAAAGATCAGGCGGTGGAACACTACTTCTCTTTTCGTAGAGTTGCACCTTACAGTTCCTCTGATCACAGTCCCTTTCCTTGTTTGTCTACTTGGAGTGCTGGTAATTCAAAACAGGATGTTTCCACCAGAGACAGCTCAGATTTGATTGGGGAAATGACGCTGTAGCAATGGACACTTAACCCTTCCCTCATCCAACTGTAAAGGAGACCACCCTCCAAGGCAGCACATTCCACTAGACTCCTATTGACGCAGCCTAGAATTGTATTGGCTTTTAAAGCAGTGGTTCTCAACCTTCCTAATGTCGCGACCCCTTAATACAGTTCTTCATGTTGTAGTGACCCCCAACCACAAAATTGTTTTCGTTGCTACTTGGTTTGTTATTGTTATGAATTGGAATGTAAATATCTGATATGCAGGATGTACTTTCATTCACTGGACCAAATTAGGCACAAATACCAGATATGCCCAAATTTGGATACTGGTGGGTTTTCGGGGGGATTGTTTTTGTCATTTGGGAGTTGTAGTTGCTGGGATTTATAGTTCACCTACAATCAAAGAGCATCCTGAACTCCACCAACAATGGAATTCAACCAAACTTGGCACACAGAACTCCCATAACTGATAGAAAATACTGGAAGGATTTGGTGGGCATTGACCTTGAGTTTTGGAGCTGTAGTTCATCTACATCCAGAGAATACTGTGGACTCAAACAATGATGGATCTGGACCAAACTTGGCACGAATACTCAATATGTCCAAATGTGAACACTGGTGGAGCTGGTAGACCTTGACACTGGTAGACCTTGACATTTGAGAGTTGTATTTGCTGGGAGTTATAGTTCACCTACAATCAATGACCATTCTGAACATCATCAACGATAGAATTGGGCCAAAGTTCCCGCACAGAACCCCCATGACCAACAGAAAATCTTGCTTTCTGATGGTCTTTGGCAACTACTCTGACACCCCATCGTGACCCCCCCCCCCCAGGGGTCCCAATCCCCAGGTTGAGAAACACTGGTATAGGTACTGCTGCTATTTCCTATAAGACTTCAGTTTAGTGGGTGTTGCCATAGTTGTAGGTAGCCTGCTTGAGTTTTGGGCAACCTTCAGGAGGAGCTTACATTTCCTTCCTTGTATTTCAGCTAAACCAACTATTGAGGTGGTCACTTTGCCACCAGAGGAGAAGAATTTCTGTGCAGCCAAATGCCTAGTGAGCAGGTTTTACCCGGAGACAATTCACATAGACTGGCTGCAAAATGGGATGCAGAAGGAGACACTCAAGTCCCAGCCACAGAGCATGCCAGATGGGACGTTCTCTATTAAGGTTCTTGTCCTACAGAAGACGGGTGAGAAAAGCGTCTTTACCTGCCAGGTACAGCATGAATCTTTGGATGAACCACTGAGAAAGGAAGTCCTCTGGCTGCCAAAAGGTGAGGGGGACAGTGTTACTCACCACACAACCGTGTCTTCCCAAAGTCCAGGGAAGGAACAGACAGCCCAATCATCCTGCCCCACTGCTGTCTCTCTGTGTCCAACAGATACACCTGCTTCAGAGACTTCTGCATCAGTTCTTCCTTGGATATTAGCAATTATTGGACTCCTCGTGGGGCTTGCTGTAGGAGCTTTAGCAACAATAGTCTACTATAAAAAGAAAGGTGAGCCTGCGCTTTTAGCTGGATGGGATTATGGAAGTATTCTAGGAATTTGGCAAATACTTGTCTTAGATTGGGGTAGACAAAATTAAATCCTTGAGTCACAAAGCTTGGAGAGAACTCTAATAGGAGGGAATACAATACAATACTGCTTTTTAAATGTTTTCAGACTTCTAAAAAAATTAACATTTCAAATAGGATTGCTTATTTGTTTCCTTAAAGATTCCTTCAATTCCGTATTGAAAAAAGCAAGTTATTAAATAAATAATCAGCTGCTTCTGCACCTTTCCAGCCTCTTTACCCTCCCATTTCTGACCCTGAAATCCAGAACTAGCAGTATACCTTTGAATAGGTGGCAGGTGGACTCTGCATTAATGTATATATTTTTAAAATTTCCAAACCAGACATTTGAGTCACTTCCAAGTATCAAGGTAATTCATGTAGCTCCTCGTGTGTTCTGGGGTCAGAAACGTGGCTCCCAGACTTGCCCCAGTCAACCACTGCTGCCCTAGATGTTCTTCAACCTGTTTCATGATGGGTGAATACTGTTAGTTAGTGGCTGCAGACTAGTCGCTTTCATCATATGAGAGATTTAGTTGCCTGGATTCCATGTACGTGTCTGTTCCAATATGGTGTAATAGGCCACATCTACACTACCATATAATGAAGTTTCATAATACAGTACCTTGGGAAGTCTTACTTAGCCACAGTGGTCCACGCTCTTGTTACATTCCGTTTAGATTACTGCAATGTGTTCTACGTGGGGCTGCCTTTGAAGACTGTTCGGAAGCTTCAACTAGTCCAACGTTCGGTAGCCAGATTGATTACTGGAGCATACCACCTGCCTGTTACGTCAGCTCTAATAGCTGCCGATTTGCTACCGAACACAATTCAAAGTGCTGGTCTTGTCCTATAAAGCCCTAAACAGTTTTGGCCCAGCTTACTTGTCTGAATGTATCTCCCTCTACGACCCACCTCAGAGATTAAGATCATCAGGAGAGGCCCTGCTCTTGATCCCACGATCCTCACAAGTGATGCGGGTGGGGACAGGGCCTTCTCAGTGGTAGCCCCCTGGCTGTGGAACGCCCTCCCTAATGAAATCAGATCAGCCCCTTCCCTCCTATCCTTTAGGAAAAAACTTAAAAACTTGGTTGTGGGACAAGCATTGGAGCAGCAGACGCAGCTTTAACAATGAGAACGACTTATTGGACTGACAATGGACTGACCTGGATTATGACTTGAACTTGTGTAATTTAAATTGGATGGTTTAATATGTGATATTTTAATGATTGGTTAAATGTGAATTGTTATAATTGTCTTGTTTGGGCATCTAATGGTTGCTGATTGTAAGGCTGCCCCGAGTCCTCCTCCCGCGGTGTGTGTGTGTGAGAAGGAGGGGCTATAAATGTATGAAATAAGTAAATAAATAACTGCACAGAATTGTATTATATGGCAATGTAGATGGGGCCATAGCTGCCATAGATACCAGAATAGTCAGCCATTTGCATTTGGAGGGGTTAGGAGCACAGAACTGCAAAAGTGAAAAATTGTAAATGAAAAATGCTATTTTTTTTTACTTGAAAGAACTCTAGGGATTTAGAGATTCACCAGCACAAATCTTTAGTCAGCCTCTTTCAGAATCGTGTTGGAGGATGTAGAGAAGTGTTCCATAGAATTGCACTGGAAGACCTAGATATTTGTAAGGTGAAAAGTAAAGGTTTTCCCTTGACATTAAGTCCAGTCGTGTCCAACTCTGGGGGTTGGTGCTCATCTCCATTTCTAAGCCAAAGAGCTGGTGTTGTCCATAGACGCCTACAAGGTTATGTGGCCAGCATGGAGCGCCGTTACCTTCTTGCCAGAGCAGTCCCTATTGATCTACTCACATTTGCATGTTTTTGAACTGCTAGGTTGGAAGAAGCTGGGGCTGACAGCGGGAGCTCATGCCGCTCCCTGGATTTGAACCTGCGACCTTTTGGTCAATGAGTTCAGCAGCTCAGTGCCTTAGCCCTCTTAAGGGGGGAGGGGAGATTTATAGAGAGACCATTTTCATCAAACCCGTAAATAAGGAAATCTGCAAAAGTCAAACCCACAAATGTGGAGGGCAGACCCTGCCATATACATTAAGCTAATTCTGAAAGGCATGAAGTCTTTGAACAAGAGCAAGCAGTGATAGTGTGATCCAGAAGCCAGCTCTGATGAGAAAGCAGGGCTGAAATAATAGAGGTAATCGCAGCTTGAAGTTCAGGAACCCTTTGTTGACTCTTTCTCTCTTTGTTTGCAGCCAAACACACAACATTTCCAGGAGGAGAAAGAAAAATTCTTCTTGCAAAAGCTCGGGATAGTGAGCAGGGCACTTCAAAGGGCAAGGTAGAAAAGACTGGTGTTGGGCTACACCACACAAAGGACCACCCTGAGCAGGATGACAAAGACGGTCAGAATATGTCAGAAGTCAAGACAGAAGAAGCACCTCATGATTCAGTGCTCTAGGAGCAAACAAAGAAGAATTGGGACTGGGACAGAGAAAGGTCCTGAAATCTCAAAACCTGGGATGGTCCTGCCTTGGCAGCTTTAAACTTATGAGGGTTGAATGAAAAGTAATGCCTCCACCTTTGTAACTTCTCAGCAGGCACTGACTTGTTCAGTAGACTCTCCTCTACAGTTCCGTTTTGGTGAGAAGCCTTAGCATTGAACGGTTGTGTTGTTAAAGTGCGAAGTCTGGAACCCTGCGCAGACGGTTGATCAATGCGACTTAAGTAACGTGCAGTCATTGAATTCTTGACAGTAGAAAGTGTCTCCCCAAAGGAGATTCATCAGAGAATGCAAGCTGTTTATGGTGATTGTGTTGATGTGAGTAGTGTGCGTCATTGGGCGAGTAAGTTTAAAGAAGTTGAGCTGGAAAGATCTGACTTGCTTGACAAACAAAGAGTTGGACATCCTGTGACAGCAACCACCGAGTTTCACAAGCAAAAGGTTGACAGATTGATTCAGGATGATCGTTGTATCACTCAGAGAGAAATTTCAAGCATAATTGGCATTTCACAAGAATGTGTAGATCACATTATTGCTTTGCTTGGCTATCAGAAGATCTGTGCACGGTGGGTTGTGGAAACAGAGTGTCGACTTCTTCCGTGACGGCTTCAGAAAACTTGTGCATTGTTGGTAGAAATGTATCCAATTGTCTGGTGATTAGGTCAAAAAGTGAATAGTGGTAGTTAAAGAGCACATTCTAAGGATTATTTCTGCGTTTGATTTATTAAAATATTCCCATCCAAACCCAAGTAACGAAGGTGGAGGCATTACTTTTCATTCAACCCTCATAAAGAAATACCATATACTCAAGTATGGGAGCTACTGGAAGAGAGGATTAAACTAAAAGAAAATCCACAGTATTAATTAGAAGAATAAAAGAAAAATAAAAGAAAATGCTGAGCACAGGGGGGAGAGGGGTCTTTCAGTTAGGCTTTTGAAGAACCATGACAGCTCTTGGGGTAGGGTATGGGGAAGGGGGGCTCATAAGTGGGGAGGAGGGATGGAAAGAGGGGAGGGAGGGGGATATAAAGATATTAAGGGTAATGGGACTAAGGGAGTGGGGGATGGAAAGCACTGTATAAAGCTCACAAATTAACAATAGGTCTAAGTCAAGAGCGAATTTTGGGACCAAAAAGGTATGGATTTTGGTATGATCCACGGATACAACAAGAGTTATTATGCAGAAAGGAGAAATGGCCACTGCCACGTAGCATTGCAGTGGGGTTTTTGTGTGTGTGTGTCAGGAGTGACTTGAGAAACTGCAGTTTGCTTGTGGTGTGAGAGAATTGGCTGTCTGCAAGGACGTTGCCTAGGGGACACTCGGATGTTTTGATGTTTTACCATCTTTGTGGGAGGCTTCTCTCATATCTCTGCATGGGGAGCTGGAGCTGACAGAGGGAGCTCATCTGTGCTCTCCCCGGATTCGAACCTCCAACCTGTCGGTTTCAGTCCTGCTGGCACAAGGGTTTTAACTATTTTCATTGCAGTTTTTTTTTGTAGTGTCAGGAGTGACTTGAGAAACAAAGTTGCTTCTGGTATGAGTAGTAGAGGGGTTTGATCCTTTTTTTCAGGTTCTCCAAGGATGAACTAAGCTCTTGCCTTTCACATCTCTACTCAAAGAATAGGATAGTATCTATCTTTTAGAAGAGTTAAGCTCCACTATTTACACTGATCCATGGATAAGCCTATATTTGGGGTGTCATTTTTTAAACTAAAATTTCTAGACTTTTATGGCAATATATACCAACTGCCATGTTGTAAGTCTTGTATGAAACTATCTGCTAAATAATTTTTTTGTATTTCTATCTCCCCCTTGTGTTGCTTGGTAGCAAATACAGTGGGTTCTCTGTTCCCTGGATTCTGCATCCATCTGCTGTAAGCAGATGAATAAATAGTATAAGACCATCCTGTTCTCTTCTTGTCCTTTAAAAAGAGCCATTACTGTGAACTACAACAGGGCACTTTCTTTTGAAAATTGCTGGTGTTGCTGGCTTTTTTTAAAAAATCAACATGACATTTACTGATTAGGATTGGAGGTTGTTTAAAGCATAAGTGCAGTCAGTCCTCTGTATCCACAGGTTCTGCATTCACGGACTCAACCACCCAATGCTTGAAATACCTCCCCATTCTAAAATGTAATCCTTGACTTTGCAGTTTTCATATAAGGAATGCCATTTTACTATTCTATTGCATATAATGGGACAAGAATGGATTAGGACAGGGGTCCTCAAACTTTTTAAACAGAGGGGCAGGTCACAGCCCCTCAAACTGTTGGAGGGTCGGATTATAATTTGAAAAAAAAAATGAATGAATTCCTATGCACATTGCACATATCTTATTTGTAGTGCAAAAAAAAAACACTTAAAAACAATACAATAATTAAAATGAAGAACAATTTTTACAAATATAAATTTATTAGTATTTCAATGGGAAGTGTGGGCCTGCTTTTGGCTGACGAGATAGGATTGTTGTTGTTGTTGTTGTTGTGTGCTTTCAGATCATTTCTGAGTTAGGTTGACCCTGAGCAGGGCTGCATAAATGACCTTGGAGGGCTGTATTCGGATTAGGATATCAATTGGAGTATCCTGGAATCATAAACATAACTTGTCCATTTCTGCAATATGTCTGTATACTTGTAACCCACCAAAAGCCCTTCACGTACTCAAAGATGATGAGTGTGAGGGCTGTAAGCAGGAGGTGTCCCCCAAAACAACTGGTGGGACTGAAAAATCCTTCTCCTCCTTTCTTCTGTGACTCACAAAACATCTATTTAGGAGCACACCTCTTATCTGCTCTTTATCAGCCCATCAAACTCTGCGAGTGCAGCATTTTTCCAAATGAAGTACAGAGTGTTTGAAGACCGGGACATCCATAGGGATTCCAAGGTGTTTGTTTATAAAGCTATTGTCCTCCCAACCCTTCTATATGCCTGTGAGACAATCTACAGATGTCACATACAACTCCTAGAACGATTCCATCAGTGTTGCCTCTGAAAAATCCTAAAAATCCTAAATGTCAGCGTGCTGAAAGAAGCAAAGACCACCAGCATTGAAGCAATGGTCCTCCGCCATCAACTCCGCTGGACTGGCCACGTTGTCCAGATGCCCGACCACCATCTCCCAAAGCAGTTGCTCTACTCCGAACACAAGAACGAAAAATGGAATGTTGGTGGGCAGGAAAAGAGATTTAAAGACAGGCTCAAAGCCAACCTTAAAAACTCTGGCATAGACACTGAGAACTGGGAAGCCCTGGCCCTTGAGAGCTCCAGCTGGAGGTCAGCTGTGACCAGCAATGCTGTAGAACTTGAAGAGGCATGAATGGAGGATGAAAGAGAGAAATGTGCCAAGAGGAAGGCATGTCAAGCCAACATTGACCAGGACCGCCTTCCACCTAGAAACCAGTGCCCTCACTGTGGGAAAACATGCAGATCAAGAATAGGGCCCCACAGTCACCTACAGACCCACCGCCATTACACCGATCTTGGAAAACAATCCTACTCAGTTCTCAGTGACCTGGTTGTTTGAGCAGGCGTTCGAATAGTCAGTGCAATGAGTGTAATGAACATAGGAATGGAACAATAGATGACGGACCTGGATCACGTTTTTAGTGATGAGATGCTAGTGAATGGCTATTGTTGTTAATTGTATATTATTGTATAATGTGTTACGAGGTTAACTGTTTTATACCGTGTTATTGTAGCATTGAATTTTGCTGTTTTTGCTGTTCTTGTTGTTAACCGCTGTGAGTCGCCTAAGGGCTGAGAACAGCAGTATACAAATAAAGTAAGTAAGTAAGTAAATAAATAAATAAATAAATAAATACTCGGACATCGAGGGATCACCTAAGGATGGAAGGGCTGGCCCATCAATTTACTCATGCTGTAGTCATCCACAGTAATACATGTCATTTCCTTATCAAAAATGCACATAAGAATTCATTTTTGGGGGGAGGCGATACCTTTGTGACTATATGATTATATGACTATGCGATTATAATTAATGTTACTGTTTTTAACCAATGTATTATGATTTTATATTATGTTACTGATAATGTGGCATTGAATTGCTGCCTGTGTTAGATGCCCTGATTCCCCCCTCGGGGGTGAGAAATTGTGTAAATAAATAAATAATAATCCCTTCATTTTTGTTGTTACATGCTTTCAAGTCAGTCCCAACTTAAAGGTGACTCTTTCCAAGAGTATTCTTCCCTTGGTCACGCAATGGTTGAGCATGCACCCCATTTTTGCTGCAGCGCCTGCACTTTTGCAGACAGGGCCTTGTAAAACTACAACTCCTGTGACTCCATAGCATTGAGCCATGATAGTGTAGTCTGACATGGTGGTTGTTGGTGTGGTCCAGCATTTCTGTGTTCTCAAATAATATGCTGTGTCCAGGTTGGTTCATCAGGTGCTCTGCTATGGCTGACTTCTCTGGTTGAAGTAGTCTGCAGTGCCTTTCATGTTCCTTGATGCGTGTCTGGGCGATGCGTTTGGTGGTCCCTATGTAGACTTGTCCACAGCTGCATGGTGTACGGTAGACTCCTGCAAAAAAACTCTAAAATTATAACAGCTAAACAACAGAGAGGAAACAACCAGGCACAGATTAACACCTCCCAGCAACAGATTTTCCCAGGCTCAGGCAGGCCTTCAAATGCTAATGAAGGTGATCAGCTAAACATTCACACCTAACTGCAGCAGAAAGCTCTTTGCCCCACCCCAGCCATTCCACAGATATATAAACCCATTGTCCTCATTCCAACAGACCTCACTACCTCTGAGGATGCTTGCCATAGATGCAGGCGAAACGTCAGGAGAAATGCCTCTAGAACATGGCTCTATAGCCCGAAAAAACCCACAAGAACCTAAATAAATAGTTAATGCAGTTTGCTGCAGCGCCTGCACTTTTGCAGACAGGGCCTTGTAAAACTACAATTCCTGTGACTCCATAGCATTGAGCCATGATAGTTCAAGTAGTCTCAACCGGTATTTGCTCAACAGTATAGATGCAGCAAGTGGACTGAAGTCTTAGGCTCAATCTACACTGCTATAAAATGCAGTTTGAACAGCATTATAATGGTCAGTGTAGATTCATACAATCCAGTTAAATGTGGTTCAATATGGTGGTGTAGATGAGACCTGAGTCTACAGTGCCATTTAATGCAGTCTACATGCTGCAAGCTTAAGCGGCTGAGGGGGAAAAGGAAGGGGCCTGAGGCTGTTAGGAATGGTGGGAGTTGAAGTCCAAAACACCTGGAAGGCCCAAGTTTGCCCATGCCTGATGCAGAGGAACACTACTAGGCCCAGAACTCCCAGCAAGCGGAAGCGTGCGTGACGTAAGACGCTCAGGAGAGGGAAGAAGGCATCCAATGGCATGCGCCTGGGGGCGGGGCATGCTGGGTGTCGGGACCAATGAGGAGAAGCAGTTCCTGCGAACATGGCGGAGGTGGTAAGTCAGAATGGAAGGGGGCTCTGAGATTAATGGCGGGAGGGAGAAAGCAAAGCGGTGCCTCTGAGGAGGAGGAGGGTTTGGGGGGTGTCTTGCCTTCCTGCTTCTGACGCCCCTTTCCTTGGATTGCAGGTGTGTGTGAGCTCCAGCAGCGACTCAGAGGCTGAGGTGATCCCGAGGAAGCCTCCTCCCAAGCGGCGCCGCATCATCACAGACAACACCGTCCCCGCCGTCCCTGTTTACTCCAGCAAGGTCTGTGGGAGGCCTGGCGCTAAGGCCTTTCTCTCCTCAAGGCGAAGTTGTCACATTAACATTGAGCCGGGGCAATTGGAAGTGGTGTCAAGCAGAGTTATTGCTCCAGTGTGGAATATTGGGATTTGCAGTTTGTTGAGGTCCCCTCTGGTAAAGAAGGCCACAGATCTTTATTTATTTATTTACTAGCTTGGGTTATTTGAGAAAGGAATTGTGTATCAAGGTTGGTCTTTATCAGTTATGTATATGGCTCGCAGTGGTCTCAGGAAGTGAGTGAAGGTACTGCGAGTCCCATCATCTGTGGTCCATCCTCCTCCAAACTGCACCAGGATGGAGAGTGGATCGTGGGGGCTCTGTGTGCCAAGTTTTGTTATTCCTCAATCATTTATTTTATTTTTATTTCATCTACTTATACCCCGCCCTTCTCACCCCGGGGGGGGACTCAGGGCGGCTTACAGGAAAGGCACAATTAGATGCCCAAATCACACAACAAACAATACAAAATATAACAATTCAACAATTAAAATAAAACATCAATACCTAATAAAATCATAAAAACTATCTCATGTCAGAGTCCATATATCAGAGTCCATATATCCATTCCATTCCATTGTCCTTTTCTATCGACAGGTCCTTTAGTTAGTTGTCAGCATGGCCAAAAGCTTGGTCCCACATCCAGGTCTTTAGTTTTTTCCTAAACGCTAGAAGGGAAGTCGTCGATCTGATCTCCCCGGGGAGTGAGTTCCACAGGTGAGGGGCCACCACTGAGAAGGCCCTGCTCCTCGTCCCCGCCAGCCTCACTTGTGCCACTGGCGGGGTCGAGAGCAGGGCCTCCCCAGAAGATCTTAAACTTCGAGGTGGGATGTAGAGGGAGATCCGTTCGGACAAATACACTGGGCCGGAACCGTATAGGGTTTTGTAGGTCAAAACCAGCACTTTGAATTGTGCTCGGAATTGGATCGGCAGCCAGTGGAGCTGACGCAACAGGGGGGTGGTGTGCTCCCTGTACGCCACTCCGGTGAGCAATCTGGCTGCTTCTCGCTGGACTAGTTGAAGTTTCCGAGCAGTCTTCAAAGGCAACCCCACGTAGAGTGCGTTGCAGTAATCCAACCGGGATGTGACAAGAGCGTGGACCACCGTGGCCAGATCTGACTTCCCAAGGTACGGGCGCAGCTGGCGCACAAGTTTTAATTGTGCGAAAGCTCTCCCGGCCACCGCTGAGACCTGGGGTTCCAGGCTCAGCGATGAGTCCAGGATCACTCCCAAGCTGCGATGAGGGTCACAGTGGTCTCAGAAAGTGAGTTTAGGTACTCCAAGTGCCATCATCCATAGTCCCCCCCCCCCCAAACCTCACCAGAATGTTGAGTTGGCCAAGGGGGCTCTCTGTGCCAAGTTTGGTCTTTCTTGGTATTTGGATAAGTGCCGCTGTGGTTTCAGGAAGTGAGTGAAGGTACTGCAAGTCCCATCTTCCATCATCCGTCCTCCTGCAAACAGCATCATGATGTAGAGTGGGTCATGGGGGCTGTGTGCCAAGTTTGGTCTTGATTGGACATTAGATGAGGGTTGCAGCAGTCTTGGGAAGGGAGTGGAGGTACTTGAAGTTCCATCTGTCATGCGTTTGCATGAGTAGCATGCAGATTGACTCTAGCCCAGTTAACTGTGTGTGTGATGAATTGGCAAAAGAAAAACACACGAGACTTCGGTTTAAAGTAGAAAAGAAAAATATTGTGGTATTGGCAGCATACAAAACAAAAATAACAGGATTGCTGTTTCCACAAAAGTAACATGAAACAATATCTTCTGAGAGATATCATTACTCAGCTGTGATAAGCAGGAATCCTTGTCCTCTTCTCATGGCTGTGTCTTTGCAGGACATCTGCAGCATAGTCCCCGGCTTACACAAGGCAGAATGGCCCAGAGGCATAGATGCACAATAGCATAAAGGCACAATGGCAAAGAACTAATCACACAGTAGCTATCTTTATACACATGAAAATAATACTCTCAATTAACTCTTCAATTAACTGAAACAGCTGTAGCACAAACAGCCTTGAACCTTACAGCAACTTAAAGTTATAGCACAAACAACATTGATCCTTACAACAACTTAAAGTACGTTGCAACCTCTTAGTAGCAACACCATCATCCATGGTCTGTCCTCCTCAAAAGTGCACCAGGATGTAGAGTGGGTCATGGGGACTCTGTGTGCCAAGTTTGGTCTGTATTGGTAATTTTCTGACTCCGCCCCCTCTGGCCTTTTCCTTTCCTCTCTTTGTCATCTCGGAATCTTGGAATTGTGGCTGGCCAATCAGAGACCATATGCAAATTTCCTTCTCTCATGTCTCCGTTTCTGTCAGGAACCCTTTTCTCTACCAGGGGCTCCTGTTGAAGTTGGCCAATCAGAGACCATATGCAAATAGCACCACAGCGGCAGCCAATCAGAAAGCTGGCACATACCCGGTCGCACCGCCACACATCTGCCGCATAAAAACTTTGACTTTTATTATATGTATAGATAGATAGATAGATTGACACAATTTCTACCCCGCCCTTCTCACCCCCGAGGGGGGACTCAGGGCGACTAACATGGGCAACAATTCAGTGCCATAATATCAATACAACAATGTAAAATCAAATAGATAGCAAATTAAAAACAATAACATTAATTAAAATCACATACTCATATACTAACATAGTCGCCTAATCAAAGTCACATCGCCGTTTCCAATTGTCATAACAATCTTACTATCCGGGTTCAGTATCTAAAGTGCTGCTGTGCCCGCTAGTCGAAGGCCTGGCTCCAAAACCACAGCTTTAGTTTTTTTCCTAAAAGTAAGGAGGGAGGATCTGATCTCGCTGGGGAGCGAATTCCACAAGCGGGGGGCCACCACTGAGAAGGCCCTGTCCCTCGTCCCCACCAGATGCATTTGTGACGCTGGTGGGACCGAGAGCAGGGTCTCCCTAGTAGATCTTAAATTACGAGGTGGAACGCAGAGAGAAATACGTTCGGATAAGTAAGCCGAGCCGGAGCCGTATAGGATTTTATAGGCCAAGACCAGCATTTTGAATTGTGCTTGGAGGTGGACCGGCAGCCAGTGGAGCTGACATAACAGGGGGGTGGGGTGCTCCCTGTATGGTGCTCCGCTGAGTAATCTGGCTGCTGCCCATTGGACTAGTTGAAGTCTCCGAACAGTCTTCAAAGGCAACCCCACGTAGAGTGTGTTGCAGTAATCTATTCACGGTGTAACAAGAGCATTGGCAAAATCTCTGTTTTTGCTTATGACATTGCAAATCTTATAAATCTATACCATTGAACTATAAAAACCTAAATGTATTGGACTTGAGTCTCAGGCCGCTTATACCACAATAATGCTACAAATAAACTGAGTTACTGTTTCCGTTTCAAACAAAGCCTCTCTCAATCTCCTGGTTAGAGTTATCTGTGCTTTCGTTTCAAATGGTGGCAAGTGGTGGGGGGATAAAATAAAAGGCCCCTCTGCTTGAAGATGTTTGTTTTGGTCCCATCTTTTATTCCATATGGCATCGAATTCTGCCAATTTCTGTAAGCCACCTTGAGTCGCCATAAAGCTGAGGAAGGCAGGCTACAAATGCCATAAATAAATAAAACAAAACACCTGGAGGAAGGCCAAAGTTTGCCCATGCCTGCCTTAGATACTCTATTCTGAGTATATAGGCAAATTCACGTATTCCATGATCCAAAAACATCACAAATCCAAAATATTTCAGAGGACCGTTCCACACAGCCATATAACCCAGGGCCCTTTCACACAGCTCTGTATCCCAGAATATCGAGGCAGGAAATCCCACATTATCTGAGTGTGGAAATTGTGGGATTTTCTGCCTTGATATTCTGGGATATAGGGCTGTGTGGAAGGGCCCCCAGAATATCATGGCAGAAAATCCCACAATATCTGCTTGGGACTGGGTTATCCGAGTTCATACTGCCATATATTTCAGTTCAAAGCAGGACTTTTTGGAAAATAGCATTCATAATGTTTTGGAAAAAAACACCTTTTGGAAATCATAACTTTTTAGAAAAGCATGATCTTTCAGAGAAAAGCCAAAAACCCTTTAGAGTAGAATCTTCTCTTGTGGTATACAGCCAGATATAATTATGTAAGGCAATGGTTTCAGTTGTTAGACTGAATAACCAGTTATCTCTGATCTGTTAGGAAAACAGAGGTTTTGCCAATGCATAAAATAACAGCAGTGCTTCTGAAATGTTTTTCAGTGCCCATATATATATATATATATATAGTCTCCCATAAAACAACTTTTATATCATGCACTAAGAGACAAAAATGAAGTAGACTTTGATTAAAAAAACATATTTGACTTACTCACAACCTTCATGTGTTTAGTATACACAGGTACAAAACTTATCAATCCAGTTTCAGATATGTTTTAGATAATTCTTTGTGCCACCTGGCCAGGACATCTCTTACAGCAAAACAGCAAGTGTGTGGTCTGAAGTAGTCTGTAGTGTGCCTGTGTGTAGTGTACAGTGATCATGTGGTCTGCAGCCCCTTTTATAGCTTCTCAGGAACCATAGAGTAAAGGAAGCTGCATTCCAGAACATACATGCAAGAAACAGTAAGCAACAGGATCAAGGATAAACAGATTACTAAAGAAGGCTTGAAGAAGGTTGTCATTTCCAACAGAAAATGTGGGATGTTCTTCAGCTGTGTGGAAGGGGCCTCGTATAACCCAGTTCAAAGCAGTTATTGTGGATTATCTGCCTTGATATTCTGGGTTTTATGGCTATGTGGAAGGGCCCTGAGTTGCATCTACATTGTAGAATGAATGTGATTTGACACCACTTTAAAGTTCCACAGCTCAATGCTATGAAGTCCTGGGAGTTGTAGTTTTAAACATTCTATATCCGTGAGGCCAAAGAGTGGTAGTGCCTCACCAAACTCCAGATGGAGCTCTCATCTGTCAGTTCCAGCTTCCTGGGACGTGAGAGAAGCCTCCCACTGGATGGTAAAATATCCGGGCATCCCCTGGACAACGTCCTTGCAGACGGCCAATTCTCTCACACCAGAAGTGACTTGCAGTTTCTCAAGTTGCTCCTGACACGAAAAAAATCTGAAACTATGTATCCCAGGATTCCATAGGATCTCCACACGGGAGGAATCTCTCTTTTGCTCACCTGTATTTTTTTCTTTTAAAAAAAGATATTGTTATGTGTCTGGTGCTGAATCTCTTCTAGGGTTTTTCTGACATGTCCCCATAAAGAAAGAAAAGTGGGATATAAATTAAATAAATAACTGTTGTCAAAGACATGGGCTCGCGGTCTCTGACTGTTATGGTTCTCTTTAATCAAAAGACTTAAGCATTCTGCCTTTCTAAAGAGACTCAAGAGTAAGAATCCTGTTCTTTGAAATATGATACAGTATCTCTATCTCAAGAGTGAACAATGGGGAAAGATAGTAGGAATGGGAGAGTCTTAAAAGTTCAGGGATTCTGAAACTGAAACAACAACCACACATTATTTCTATTTAAAAGAATGGGGCACATCCAAATAAATCACGGGTTTACCAGGAATTGAACTGAGCTAAAAAAAATTTTTTAACTTATTTGCTCTATTTATATCTCGCCTTTCTCTACCCCGAAGGGGACTGAAGGCAGTTTTACATGTAGCAACTATTTGATGGCTTTAAACAACAGAGATACATTTAAGTTAGAATTTAAAATTAGAGTTAAAGTGCACATTAAAACATATAAACTTTATAATCGCTATTAAAATCATGCCATCCTCAATTGTAATCCAGGGCCGTTCCAAGCATTGCACTATTTCATAGTTATTATTGCCCTGTAGTTAATCTCCAAAGGCTTGACTCCAGGAGGAGGAAGGGAGCTGTTCTAATACCACTGGGGAGGGAGTTCCACAGCCAAGGGGCCACCACTGAGAAGGCCGCCATCTCTCATTCCTACCAGTGAAGGTGGCTGGACTGAGAGCAGGGCCTCAGTATAGGATATTTAGGATATCTACATAAATAAAAATGTAATGTTCATTTGTGGGATTAACATAACTCAAAAACCACTGGATGAATTGACACCAAATTTGAATACAATACTCCTATCAGGCCAACGAGTGACCATCACTCATAAAAACACTGAAAAACACAGCAGAAGAGACTTTAAAAGCAAAAAAAATCCCCATTACAACACATGCGCAAACCACATATATATACACACACATAAACACAAAGATATATACACACACACACATGCAGATATATACATACACAAAACACATACACAGACAGGGCTACAGCAAAACGTGGCAGGGGTCGGCTTGTATGTGTGTGTGTGTGTATGATATATATATATATATAGGATATGACAAGAGAAGGATATTACATATATAGGATATAACAGGAGAGGCCTATAAATAAATATGAACACAACGGATGCTATCGAGTAGACTGAGGCAACATCTTTGGACTAGTTCAGTGGTTCTCAATCTGTGGTTCCCAGGTGTTTTGGCCTACAACTCCCAGAAATCCCAGCTAGTTTACCAGCTGTTAGGATTTCTGGGAGTCGGAGGCCAAAACATCTGGGAACCCACAGGTTGAGAACCACTGGGCTACTGCATTGCTAGTTATATACTGCATTGTCATCATTTTTACTGCCTGGGTTGTTCTGGTCAGTGACCTAAATAAAGTTTTGTATTATATCTTACTTCCTGGGATTTGCTTGCCTTATGCTATACACCTTGCCTTCGATTAATGTTTGTATGTCAAGGGCAATTTTTTCTGTTGTGTTTTAGGCAGTAAAATGTATTTCATCATCCTTCATGATGTGTATAGTAAATATCCCAAATTGTTATGGGTAGTTTAGACCAACTGGGAATGAACTGGGACCTAGGACAGGTGTTACCAGCAAACAAAAGGAGGGTGGGTTTTTTTTGCTGTTGTTGTCGTGCTCAAAACAAGAAGAACAAAGACAAGTACACCTCCTTCTTGGGGAGGGGGATTGCAAAGTTAACAGAGGATATAGGGAAGACAGAACTACTCAATTCCTGTTTTGTCTCAGTCTTCCCTCTCAGGAAGTCATATTCAGCATGCTACAAATAGAACTAATGAAGAAATTTACAATCCAGGATAGCTGAAGTGCTTGAGAACGCATAGCTAAATCAGAGCCCCAGGTTGTAGTAGTAAAATTATTGGATTAGTGATATGTATTTCTTTCACATGCCTAATTCTTGAGCATACCCAAGGACGCATGACCTGAGTAGCCAGATTCCTCTATACTAACTTTTGTGAAGAACAGTAAGAATAGCTGCATATGGCATATTTAGAAATGAGAAATTAAGATTTAATAGGTCTGTGAATTTATCTTCAAATACTCTTTCTTTTGATATTTTATTGATTTTCTTTAGGACAGCCTGATTCTTCTTTTCTGTTTCTCCAAAATCTCATATCCAGTTGCTTTCCTAGTCAATTAGATATTGCAAATCTAGAAGGGGATATCCCTAGAACTTTAACTTCCAGGCATAGGCCTCTGTATCTGACAAATCAAGTCACCTTTCCTAGGCCACTTGTCTTCATCTGATCTAAAGTTGGATTGAAAGGCTGGTGTAGGTGTTTCTTAATTCATGCTTCCATCATTGACTGTTTCATGGTAAACTGCTGTAGTTCGAAATTGTTCTCTGTTACTGCAACCTTAATTTTAGATATATTCTGTCCTTTGCATTTTGTGTAGGAAGGAAGGGTAGAATCCTGGCATCTATAGTTACTTTGTGATTAATGCATTCTTCTTAAATCTACAAGCTGACCCAATTGCCAGTATTATTTCCCACTTAACTGATTACTCCTGTTTTCTTTCTAGCAGACTTGAGAGTTCTTAGTTCTTGTTTTGTTCTTTTGCCCTTGGCCACAGGTTCAAAAGAGCTTGCATCTTCTTCCCAAGTCTCTGACACTGTCGTATATACCCCAAATCCTCAATGCATCAGACGATGAGGAAGAAACAATTCCTTCAGAGAACACTCAGGTGGTGGAAGAAACAAGGTCTGGGTCTTTCTTTTCCTCCTTCTGTCCACCCAACCCTTTTGGAATCCCCAATTACACATTTTCTGTATCTATTCTCTCATTAGATGTCAAAATAAGTCGCCCTCACCTCCACCTCCACCTCGGCCAAGAAGATATTGCCGTAGAGACAAGTAAGACTCTGCTATTATCTGTAAAGGGAATGGGCTTCCACAGATTGCTGTAGCAAATAAAATTAACAATATTACAGTGTTCTAAATTAGATGTGGGGAATTTCTTACATCTACACATTAAGTGATTGGAAAAGTTACCTTTTGTAGATTACTGCCCCTGAAATATTCCAACCAGTAAAGCCACTGCTAATGTTGCTTGTGGAATTCTGCGGGCTGTAGTCTGAAAAGGGATGTTTTGTAATTTCTGGCCCTCATTCTTGTGATATCAACTAACAGACAGATTGACACAAACTGTAGGGCTTTAAAAGTCAAAACCATCACTTTGTACAAAACTAATTAGCAGGCAATGGAGTGACTTTAGGATAGGGGTAATATGCTCACTCCTAGATTTTCCTGTAACCAATCTGGCTGCTGTATTTTGAACCAGTTGGGAGTACAAGCGTCTGAGTAAAGCGCATTGCAGAAGTCCAACCTTGAATTTATCAGTGCATGCACTACCAGCTTCTGGTCCTCTAATCTAGGAAGGACCGTAGCTGGTGGATCAGCTGAAAGTGATAGTAAGCACTCCTGACCATTGCATCTACCTGGGCTGACATTTGGAGAAATAGATCCAGAAGTACTCCCAGGTTGCAAACACAGTCTTCAGGGAGAGTGTAACTTCATTCAGAACTGATTGACACACCTCTATCCCCAGATTAGGATGGCAAGCACCTCTGTTTTGTCTGGATTCAGTTTCAATTTGTTTTTCCTCATCCAGCCCATTACCTCCTCCAGGTATTCATTCAGAGGAGACACACTATCCTTAGTGTTATTGTTTTTGAAGGCATGGAGAAATATATCTGGGTGTCATCAGCATACTGATAACACCCCGCCCCATTCCTATGGATGATCTCTCCCAGCGGCTTCATGTAAATATTAAAGAGCCCTGGTGATAGAATGGCACCTTGTGGGACACCATATAACACACCCTCTCCCTCTTTCACTATCCCACTTCAGACTTTCCTTGGAAGTGTCTCACTTCTTTTATTCTGTTCTCCTCAGAATCCTTAAACAGAGGCTTGAGAGTCTGACTTCCTCTCTCTCAGCTGCCAAGAAGAGTTTGCAGGATGAGGAAACAGATGCAGATACTAATGATGTGATTCTGATTGATGCTTCTGACTCCCAGGAGTTGTTGCTGAAAGTCCGATGTCGAGCTGACCTCCACAGAGTCTCAATCCGGATGGTACGATGATTCACTTTTCACTCAGCTGTCCTGAGATTTGCTGTGGCCACAGTTCACCTCAGGAATGGCTTTCTTTTCTTTCCTTCTCTTTGCCTGCACCTCATATACTTTTTGGGCCCCCATCCAGGTCCTTATTCTATCCACAATCCCTGTAGTAAATGTGCAGTTCTCATTTGTTTTTCCTCCTAAGCATTACTCAAGCAGCTTACTAATCTCTCTGCGCAGCTTCATGTAAAACTTCGCATATTTTGCCAGTCTTAAAACTATGGTCTACATATCTAGATTAAAACATGACATTTCTTTGTTTAGCCTGATGACAAATTCTATGATTTTATGACAAAGCTTTATGACAGATAACATTAAGTGAAAACTAAAATAAGATACCATAAGATTTATTTGGGGGGGGGGGATATTTGTGGAAGGGTCAGTGATTGCAGAATTCCTATTTTCACACCATCCCTAAACCTCAGTGGAATATAACCACCTCATTGTTAGAAACAGCACAGTTCTGATCATTGTATTTCTCCAACATATTTCTTGATTTCACACCCCATAGACAGATCCCCTTCAGAAGGTGATTGAACACATGGGGCAGACACTGAAAGTTCCCCCAAACAGAATACTTCTCCTGCTTCGTGATCGAGAACTTGCAGCTGATGCAACTCCTGGCAGACTAGGTCTGGGTGTGGCTGATATTGTGGGTAAGTAGAAAGGATGTCACATTGAAGAGGGGGGAAGTTTCTTTTCTGCTGCTCCAGAGACCAGGACACAATGGAGCCATGGATTAAAATGGAAGGAAAAGAGATTGCACCTAAACATTATAAAGAACCTCCTGAGAGTGAGAGCCGTTTGACAGTTGGATATGCTGCCTAGAAGTGTGGTGAACTTTCATCTTCTGGAGGTTTTAAAATTGAGGCTGAAGGGCCATTTGTCAGGATTCCTTTGATGGTGTATTTTTTCATGGCAAGGGGTTGGACTGAATGGGCTTGGTGTATCTTTCAACTTTCATAACTCTATCATATAGCACTAAAAACCTGTTCTGGAGAAAGTGAGGTCAATTGTAAAATCCTTCTGAATAAAAAGGTGAGAGAGTCCACTTGGGCTCCTTTGGGAGGGAATTCAGGAGCCTAGAAGCTTACAGTAATTTTATGGCTATTGCTATCACTATGGTATTTTTCCACAGCCAACCAACCTGTGGTTCCAGTTGCTTAACTCCTGCACAGAGGACACTGTAAACACAACTTAAGGAGCTCAATTGATGGATATTTTACAGGATTAAAAAGGCTATACATTTCAGTCTGTATATGTTCTCAAGTCTGCCTTCAAGGACTATTTTCAATGTAACTTCAAAAATTTCTGGACCCAAACTCTTACATTGTTTATGTCCAATTTCTTTTTGCTCAGCAAATGGCATTGAGAATTACAGCTCTAGAAGTTTATATTGTAAGTATCCCCCAACAATAGTCAGAAGAACATATATAGACTGAGATATATAAATCCATACATTGAACAACTTTAGATGTTTCTGGTGTAGTTTACTGGTGCTTCTTGTTTTTTATTTCCTTGATCCTTGTGCAGAAGGCCATACTCTACTTTGAAGCCCGGTCCTCGTTAAAGAGTAGTTTGGAAGATAAGATTTTGAGGAATTTGTGTATTGGTTATCTTTAATTTGGAGGAAAAAGGAGATACAAATGTTCCTTCATGAATATCTTCCAGATTGCATAGTTGAAGCAAATAACAATCAGAATAGTGACTCTGGAAACCTGCGGCTCCGAGTGCAAGGAAAAGACAAAAGCTCTGAGATGGAGATAGCTGTTCAGAAGGTAAAAGAGCAGTGGGTGAGTGGAAAGGTTTCTGGTTTGAGTCGGTGAGTATTATAGCTGTCCTCTCTGTTTCCTGCAGGAAGAGCCATTGCAAGTGCTTATGAATCGTTACCGCCAGGCCCAGGGTCTTGGCAAACGCAAGCTTGTCTTCCATTTTGATGGACAGAAGTTAATGGAAACTTGGACTCCTGAAGAATTAGGGATGGAGTCTGGGGATGTAATCGAAGTGTGGAGCTAGAAGCCACCTCTTCAAAGAGACCGTGGTCCCTGTGATTCCTGCTTTGAAAGGCTTCATTGCACCTCAGTAATTCCTCTGGGTTTGATCTTCATTGTGACAAATGAATACGACTAAAATGATTTCTTTTTTCTATAAGAACAAAGATGGGACACTTGCTCCACTTGAATTAAGCATTCTTTGAACTCCTGAAGGCCACCTCACCTGATTTTCAGCTCCTCCAGAGGTCATTGTGCACTATTACAGAGGCTGTTTTGAAGCATTGCAAGTCATGTCACATCAGTTCTGGTTGTCTTTGAGAACTTGTTTGGGTATTTTTATGTTTCAGGATGGGGGCTCCCAAAATAGCATTTCTGACCATCCCAGAGTTCGTGGGATTGGAGTATGTATGGATTTGTATGTGTGGGGATGTCAGGGATCCCTAGGTCTGCATTGGATTCCTCCAAGGTCAACATATCTCTTCCTCCACTCCCCCACCTGTGTCAAGACACAAGGAAAACAGTTATGTAGAGTTTGTATCATTGTAAACCTCTCTATGTCTATTGTTTGTCATCTTGCTCTATATCCGGATGCAAAGCGAAGGGCTACTTTGCCTAGGAACAATGACAGCAGTATTTGTGTTCACTCAGTCATTCTTTTCTAATCAATGTTTCTCTTCCATTTGTTTTTTTTAAAAAAAAAACCTGTAGAGCCCATTATCTTTTTCTTTGTGTCCTTTATGTTGAAGCAACTACAACGTAAAATGAACCAGACAGCTTAAAAGCTATGTACTTTTAAACATTATAATATCATAGCCATTTTAATTCATGCCAGGTTTCCCTATACCATTAAGCTTTTTTCAGTGCTGCACATCATGTTCAGGATCCTTCCTGCCAAGGAGTAGTATACGTCCCTCCAGTCAAACAACAAATGACAATTCCCACATGGGGACTGTGAAAATTACTGTTGGAACTGTCATATTTTAACTATGCAACCATCTTGCCTTCAACAAGGGAAATGGTGGTGCTTCAGACAAACCCTATAATGTCTCACAATTGACTATGCTAGTTAATATATCAGTCTCAATATCTGGGGATTCACCTCTGATCTACAGCATCAGTTTCAAAGTCAAACCTGTCTGCAGAGCTAAGGAGACTTAGGGCCCTTTCACACAGCCAAATAACTTAGAATATCAAGGCAGAAAATCCTGCAATAACTGCTTTGAACTGAGTTATCTGTGTCCACACTGCCATATATTCCAGTTCAAAGCAGATAATGTGGGATTTTATTCAGCTATGTGGAAGGGGCATTGGGCCTCTTCTACACTGCTATAAATAATCCAGATTAACTGCTTTGAATTGGATTTTATGGCAGTGTAGACTCATAAAATCTAGTTCAAAACAAATCATGTAGATTATCTGATTTGATAATATGGATTATATGGCAGTGTAGATGGGCCCTTAGTTTTTGGACTCTACTTCTCCTAGAACTGGCCTAGCATGATTCTAAGAGTTGTAGTTCCACAATGTAATTTGTGTTTGAATTTCATACAGTGCCTTCCTTTAGCTTTTCTAAAGTATCAACCTTATTTAGTCGTTATTTATTTCCTCCCTCTTTCTCTTTTGCAAGTGTTGGAAAAATAGCACACAAGATTTATAAAATCCTCTTCTCCAAATAAAGCAAAACTAGCCCTGCAGTAATCTGTTGTCTTTGTCTCCTGTCTTCTTGTTTTTATCACTCACAACTGGTTCAGAGATCAGCAGCCAGATTACTAACTGGAGCGCCGTACAGGGAGCGGACAACTCCCATGTTACGGCAGCTCCACTGGCTGCTGGTCTGCTTCTGCGCTAAATACAAAGTTCTGGTTATTACCTATAAAGCCCTAAATGGTTCAGGCCCAGACTATTTGAAAAACCGCATCTCCTTGTATAAATCAGCACGGGCACTTCAGTCTGCGGAGGAGGTCCTGCTCTCGGTTGCACCCCCGATCTGATTCTGAAGCATAAATTTGTAATTGCCAGATTTCTTTCCTTTGAATTGTTAATTCATAAAAGGTATTGGATCCATATCCCATTAAAGACTACATAGAAAGGAAAAATGGAATATACTCAGCTTCTTCCTTCTAGTAGGGTAGGGAAATGAAATCATTTAAAACTACATCTTTTGTATGCTTGCAAACAGGAATATCCTCTTTGGATGTAGGCCTCGTAGCTAAACAGAATGGGTGAGGTAGGAGTAAGTGCAATGATTTGTGTAAGCAAAAGAAGGCTTACAATTTTTCACTTGTTTTCCAAAAAGGTGAAGAGAGCAGGCTTTCACAGAACTAGTGAAGTGATGTACAGTTCAGGGAAGAGTATGGCATAATAAATTGGTTACACTTTAAAGTGTCTCTGGACTATTTGTCATGTTTAAAGAGCAAAGGACTTTGCACCTGTGGTGATTCACCTCAGGCTAGAAAGCCAATGGGCCCTATAAGAACTCACTGGGTTTTTGGAAAGCTATGTCCAGGAAACATCTGGGCAAGGGGGAAGCCAACTTGATACCATCCAGCAGACAAAGAGTACTTGATTTTTTGCTTTCCTGTTCCATTTTGTATTTTATTCATTGTATTGTATTCTTGCCTTGTGGGCAGGAACTACCTTGTCTTTGAGCAGATGGAGAGTGCTTTTTAAAAAAATATGAAGCATTTTAGAACCATAAAGCTCAACTTATTGTCCTCTTGATTGTTATTTGCCTTCAGGGTGGCTCCATCATATGGCAAGCCTTTCATTGGATTTTCTTGGCCAGATTTATACAGAGGCAGTTTCTCATTGTTGCCATTTTAGGCTGAGGTAGAACTTGCCTAATGTCACCCAGCAAATTTCCAACAGGGACCTAGTTCATTTCTTGAGCCACAACTGTAAGAGAAGATTTTATTCTGTTGTTATTTTCAAATGAGGAATCGCCTGTGAAAGAAACAACAACCACCGTTGTTGGATAATAAGGTCTCACAAGAAAGAATCTTTTTTAAGAACTTTGTGCCTTTGAGTCTTTACTAGTTTATGGTGACCTTAACACAGGGGTTTCTTAGGACTCTTCCACGCAGCCCTATATCGCAGAATATCAAGATAGAAAATCCCACAATATCTGCTTTGAACTGGGTTATCTGAGTCCATGCTCAGATAATGTGGGATTTTCTGCCTTGATATTCTGGGATATAGGGCTGTGTGGAAGGGTCCTCTGTAAGATTTGTTCAGAGAGGAATTACCATTGTCTTCCTCTGAGGATGACACTATGGGTGCATCTACAATGCAGAATTAATGCAATTTGACACCACTTTAGCTGCCATGTCTCAATGCTATGCTATGGAATTATGGGAGTTATAGATTTGGAAGGTTACCCTTCTCATCCAAAGAGTGGCAATGCTTTTTTAAACTACAAACCCCAAGATTCCATAGCTTTGAGCCACGGGAATTAAACTGGTGTAAAACTGCATTAATTTTAAAATGTAGACACATTGTTATAGGGTTTGTTCAAGGGCATCTAGTGAGTTTCCATAGGCAAGCAGGGATTTGAACACTGGTTTTCTAGTCCAACATTCAAACCACTTCATTGGCTCTAATAATAAATAACTTTATTCTTGTATCTTGCCACCATCTCCCCAAAGGGACTCGGTGCGGCAAACACTCAGCACAAAGTGCCAAAAACAGAACATAAAATAGATCACAATTAAAAAATACAGATGAATAAAATATATAAGCATATAAAACAACTTAAAACTCAAATTAAAACAGCGCTCATCAACCAATGGCAGTAAGCTACTGTAAATGTGTAAACATGGCCAGGCTGTGAACAATCAATCGGACAGGGGATGGTATAAGTGCAAAGCTGTAACCATGGGACGAGGGCATGGGATAAAGTGCAAGGCTGCATAACAATTAAATGGATCGGCTAGGGACTAGGCTCTATTGTTAGGACTAATATAGGATTACACCCAAATGAATATGCAACATTTGCCCAAAGGTAAGCAACTTGTCTAGATGTTCTTGGCCAGTATTCACCACTGACACTGATGGGAGTTCCAGTCCCACATTATCTGAAGGTTATCTAATATCCACCCTTGACTTAGATTGGATACGGCTAAAACCAGTCTGTTTACATGGCTCAACTGAACTGCCTGCATTTTCTGGATGCTCTTGTGCCTATGGGGATTTTATTCTAAAATTTGCCACACCATCTGGTTTGTGCCAGTAAAAAGTAACATTGTAAATACTAAGAGAACAGTAACCAATACACTACTCTGATATAGCAATGGCTGCAGACTTGGGGGGAAATATCACATTTTGCAGAAATTAGAAACCTAACCAATTCAAAATAGCTGTACAAAGCTAGGAAATGGAAGGCTTTGTGGCTACTGAAAACTATGTGTCATCTGCTGTTAAAGAGTTGTATAACTTGAAACAAGTCATGCTTATTCTGGAGGAGCATCTTAACAGCCGCCTATTATAGTCTTATTATGCGGTTGGCAGTTTCCTTGTTTTTGCAATGCTCAGGCAAGACAGATAATATTTCCTACAGAATAAGTGCCTTCCCCAAGATGTGTACAACCTTAACAACTTACAATTCTTACAAACATAAGTTTGCAATATTTTTTTAAAAAAATTTAAGGGGGTTCTGCAGAATATTTTTCTAACTGATTACATTACTATAAGTAATGCCTTAATAAAATTGAGAAGAGGCAAACAGTTATGGTCTGAAAAGCTGCCAAGTGGGAAGTAAAGTTGAAGATCCTATTTCCTTTAAACCCAAAAATCTTCTATTTCGTTGTTAATTCTCACTTAAGTCCCCTCCCTTTTCGACAGACAGCAAGGGGAAAGGAATGTGCTGAAGTCTGCATTAACGTCAGTAGCCTAATTCAAGATGCATCTATGCTGTAGAATTAATGAAGTATGACAACACTTTAACTGATGTGGCTCAATACTATGAGATCATGAGAGTTGTAGTTTTACAAGGTATTTAGACTTCTTTACCAAAGAGTTTTGGTGCCTCGCCATCCTTCAGATCCCATGATTCCATTATAGTTTTGCGTTGTTGTTGTTGTTGTTGTTGTTGTTGTTATTATATCTATACTCCGCTTTATGTCCCCAAAGGGCACTCAAAGCAACTTGACATAAAAACATTAGTATACAATTTAAAATATACAAATATATAAACATTAAAACAGAATTAAACAAAGAGCACTAAAACATTCATAAAGTCCATCAAAACATATTTAAAATTAAAAACCACAGCACCCCCCTGACTAGATCTTAAACACTTTCATCTTTAAAAGCCTGTCTGAATAAAAAGTTTTTAGTGCATTCCTGCTTGGTAGAAAAGGGACTGGACTGGATGATCCTTTGTGGTCCTTCTTGGGAATGTTTTAGAGGAAAAGAGAAGGAACTTTAGAGAATGCAAAGAGAGGCAAACTGTTCCTTCAGACTGTCAAAACCAGCTGCTGAGATAAGACTTGAATTCCTTTGTCTAAGTGACAGGTCTGGATTAGATTGAAAATAGATAATTTAGGTGAGAATCTTCATTGACATAGGAATATTCACACCTAATTTTATGTTAATTTCTTGCTAGCTGTGGTCTTTTTTCTGATGAATATGTATATTGTGGTTTTTAACATTTATACGAAACCATTGGGAGAGATCATCTGGAGACATGAGGTGGTGTGTTATCAGTATACTGATGACACCCAAGTATATTTCTCCATGCCTTCAGACACAGCCTCAGCTAAAGATACCATGTCTCCTCCGAATGAATGCTTGGAATAGGTAATGGGCTGGATGAGGAACAACAAATTAAAACTGAATCCAAATAAGACAGAAATGCTTGCTATTCAGAGACTGGAGGTTTGTCAACCATTTATCGAAGGGGTTACACTCCCCTTGAAACTCTGTGTTTGCAGCTTACTCCTAGATTCGTCTCTCCAAATGTCAGCCCACGTAGATGTGATGGTTAGGAGTGGTTACTACCAGCTTTGGCTGTTATGTCCTTTCCTAGAATTTCAGGACCTAAAGATGGTAATGAACACTCTGGTAACCTCAAGGTAGGACTTCTGTAACGTGTTTTACATTGGGCTGTCTTTGTACTAAGTTCGAAAACTCCAATTATTTCAAATCATGGCAGCCAGGTGGGTTACAAAAACATCTAGGAGTGACAATATTGCACCTATATTAAAGTCACTCTACTGGCCACCAGTTAGTTTCCAAACAAAGTGTTGGTTTTGATTTCTAAATCCTTACATGGTTTGGGTCCAGGTTACATACAGAATCGTCACCCAGAGGACCTTTTCATCGGCCGCCCCAAGACTATGGAACAACCTGCTAAATGAATTGTCGAAAGACCCAAATTGAAGACTCACCTCTTCTGGCAGGCCTACCCAAACTATTTTCAATCATGAGTTTTGATTTACATCCTATTGCTACTATATTTCAAGTCTGTATCCATATATTATCATATAAATTTAATTCTATTTTAATGTTTTAAATTGTATTGTATCCGTTTACTGTAAGCTGCTTTGAGTGGTCCCTTTTGGAGGGAAAATGGGTATAAATAATAATAATAATAATAATAATAATAATAATAATAATAATAATAATTACAAATGTGGAAAGGAAGGAAGAGGAAAGAAAAGAAAGGGGAAAGGTATTTATTTTTACTTATCGTATCAGTAGCGAACCAAGGGTACAGCTGTAATGTATTTAAAAAAGCATAAAGTTTTAAAACTTGCCATTATATATGGATATATGGAAATGTCCTTTGACCAATAGCTGGCCACTTGAAGTGCCTCTGGTGTTGCTATAGGAAGGTCCTCCATTGTGCATGTGGCAGGGCTCCGGTTGCATTGCAGCAGGTGGTCAGTGGTTTGCTCCTCTCCACACTCGGATGTCATGGACTCCATTTTGCAGCCCCATTTCTTAAGGTTGGCTTTGTATCTCGTGGTGCCAGAGTGCAGTCTGTTCAGCACCTTCCAAGTCACCCAGTCTTCTGTGTGCCCAGGAGGGAGTCTCTCATTTGGTATCAGCCATGGCTTGAGGTTCCGGTTTTTAGCCTGTCACTTCTGGAGTCTTGCTTGCTGAGGTGTTCCTGTGAGTATCTCTGTAGACCTTGGGAAACTATTTTTTGATTTGAGGCATTGGTGTGCTGGCTGATATCTGAACAGGGAATGGGCCAGAGATGTTACTGCCTTTGTCCTTTCATTATTGGCTGCTACTTCCTGGCGGATGTCAGATGGTCCAATACCAGCGAAACAGAAGACAAATCACTTCATTGGTCTAAGCTAGCTATACAGTTGCTCATTGGTTGTTTATGATTTTGATTGACATTATAGCCCACGTGGGATCCTAACAATGGCACAACTATAACACAACTATAGTCTATTGTTCTCTGACCATGACTGTCTTAATTAATCTTATCTGTTAGTCTGTTGCAAACATGACTTCAGAGTGACTGAGAAACTTGGGGCTTCTAACTAGCCACCAGCTAGCCAGTTTTGTCTGGATATACTGTTATCCTTGAATAGTAACTTCTTCTCTGGAGCACTGATTTCTCAAGCAATCAGCATTTTCTGTAAACATAGTCCTACTGCAGAAACAGGCCAATGTGGCAGTAAATCATGACATATAGGCATTGGCAACATCTTTGAAAATTCCCTTTTGCAATAACCACATCCCTGTACTTGTCTGTTCTTAAGGTGAAAAGCACACGTTTGCATTTTAGATGGGTTAGGAATCCGTTGGTTTTAACTGAGCCCCCGATGGCGCAGTGGGTTAAACCCCTGTGCCAGCAGGACTGAAGACCGACAGGTCGCAGGTTTGAATCTGGGGAGAGGTGGATGAGCTCCCTCTATCAGCTCCAGCTCCTCATGCGGGGACATGAGAGAAGCCTCCCACAAGGATGATAAAAACATCAATTTATCCGGGCGTCCCCTGGGCAACGTCCTTACAGACGGCCAATTCTCTCACACCAGAAGCAACTTGCAGTTTCTCAAGTCGCTCCTGACACGACAAAAAAACAAACAAACCTGTAATAGGCAGTAAGAGCACCTAAAGCTTCAGAGAGCTTCTGTTCAACCATCTCAGTGCTCCCTGTTTGGGCGGTGATGGCACTGAAGCGACCAGAAGGGGAAAAGGTGTGAGGGAAAGGAAAGACAGAAAGAGAAAGAAGGGGAGAGAAAAGAAGGGAAGAAAGAAAGAAGAGGGAGGGAGGTGTATGTGGGAAAGTAGCCATGGTGACAGTGAATGAAGGCCAGGTGTGTTTGTTGCTGTGACATCTCACTGACAGATAAAGGGTAACCATGACAACTGTTTGAAGAAACGTGGCCTCCTCAAAACCAAAGGCAGAACCTCCTTTGAAGGGGATTGATTGGGAGAAGCAAGAAACTACTTTCCAACAGACCTCACAGCCTCTGAGGATGCCTGCCATAGATGTAGGCGAAACGTCAGGAGAGACTGCTTCTGGAGCAGGACCAGAAAAACTCACAGCACGCCTGTGTTTTGGGAAAGCTCGCAAGGCCTTCTTTTTTATAAAAGCCCAGATGCCATTGGTCGTCCCGGACGCCGTGAAATGAGAGCGTCGCTCCCATTGGTGGACCGGGGTCGCTATGACACCCAACGCCGCCCAGCGAGCGGCGGATGAGGGCGAAGTGGAATCACGTGACAGGGTGTGTGTATGTCAGGGGAAGCAGATCACGTGACTCTCCCCAGCTGCTCTGCAAAGAAGAGGGCGAGGAAGAGCCTGCCGGCGGGGTAGGTTTGTGGGGAAAGGTGGCTGTTGTGTGTCGTGAGAGGAATATAAGGAAACTGGGAATGGAAAGGTGGGGTGGAGTCCTTTTGGGGTTATTTGGGGACTTAAGATGAGGCCAGCCTTGGTTGTGGCTGAAGAGATGGCTGGAGTGAATGGGGCCTCTTTGTCTCCACTTTCTGCCTGGTGCCTTCTTGGCAGCTTGGAGGAATGGCTCCTTTGTTTGGCTCCCACAAGGCACACTTGGCTTTCTTCTGCTTATTGGACAACAAGTTAAACATGAGCCAACAATGTCATGTGGCAGCTAAAAAATCCAATGGGATTTTGGCCTGCTTAAATAGGAGTCTAGTGTCTAGATCAGGGGTCCTCAAACTTTTTAAACAGAGGGTCACAGTCCCTCAAACTGTTGGAGGGCCGGATTATAATTTGGAAAAAAAATGAATTAATTCCTATGCACACTGCACATATTTTATTTGTCATGCAAAAAAAACAACAACATTGTTTTTGGAGTCATCGCTGAGCCTGGAACCCCAGGTTTCAGCGGTGACCGGGGGAGCATTTGCACAGTTAATCTTGTGCGCCAGCTGCGCCCGTACCTTGGGAAGTCTGACTTGGCCACGGTAGTCCACGCTCTGGTTACATCCCGATTAGACTACTGCAACGCTGTCTACGTGGGATTGCCTTTGAAGACAGTTCGGAAGCTCCAATTGGTCCAACGATCGGCAGCAATGATTCTAACAGGAGCGGAGCGCAGGGAGCATACAACCCCCCTGTTGTGCCAGCTCCACTGGCTACCAATTTGCAACCGGGCTCAATTCAAAGTGTTGGCGTTGGCCTTTAAAGCCCTAAACGGTTTCGGCCCAACTTACCTATCTGATCGCATCTCTGCCTATAAACCCACTAGGGCTTTGAGATCATCCGGGGAGGCCCTGCTCTCGCTCCCGCCTGCTTCACAAGCACGGCTGGTGGGGACGAGAGATAGGGCCTTCTCAGTGGTGGCCCCTCTGCTGAGGAACGCCCTTCCCACGGACATTAGATCGGCTCCATCATTAATGGTATTCTGGAAAAAGTTGAAAACCTGGTTATTTGAACAGGCGTTTGAATAGACAGTGCAATGAGTGTAATGAACATAGGAACGGAACAATGGATGGTGAATCTGGATCATGTTTTTAGTTATGAGACGTCAGTGGATGGTTATTGTTCTTAACTGTTAATGTGTTTATGATGTTAATTGTTTTTTATATACCGTGTTGTTGTAGCATTGCTGTTCTTGTTGTTAACCGCTGAGAACAGCGGTATACAAATAAAGTAAATAAATAAATACAACAATTAAAACAAGAATAATTTTAACAAATATAAACATATTAGTATTTCAATGGGAAGTGTGGGCCTGCTTTTGGCTGATGAGATAGGATCGTGGTTGTTGTTGCATGCTTTCAAGTTGTTTCAGACTTAGGTTGACTCTGAGCAAGGGCCGGGTTAATAATAATAATAATAATAATAATAATAATAATAATAATTAATAGTAATAAACTTTATTTCATAGAATCATAGAATCAAAGAGTTGGAAGAGACCTCATGGGCCATCCAGTCCAACCCCCTGCCAAGAAGCAGGAATATTGCATTCAAATCACCCCTGGCACTTTTAATACATTGTTTCCCAAACTCTGGTCTTCCACTTGTTTTGAACTTCAGCTCCCAGAAACACCTAGAGGACTAGTCCAGTGGTTCTCAACCTGTGTGTGGGATGTGTTTTGTCCTACAACTCCCAGAAATCCCAGCCAGTTTACCAGCTGAGTTGTTGTAGGTTTTTCAGGCTATATGGCCATGTTCTAGAAGCATTCTCTCCTGACGTTTCACCTGCATCTATGGCAAGCATTCTCAGAGGTTGTGAGACCTCACAATTTCTGAGGATGCTTGCCACAAATACAGGCAAAACACCAGGAGAGAATGCTTCTAGAACATGGCCATATAGCCTGAAAAACCTACAACAACCCAGTGATTCCAGTCATGAAAGCCTTCAACAATACATTTTACCAACTGTTAGGCTTTCTGGGAGTTGAAGGCCAAAACATCTGGGCACCCACCGGTTGAGAACAACTGGACTACAGCTTTGGAATCATTGCTTTAAGGGAAAAGCTGTTGGTTTCCTTGGCTTTGGCTGGTAATGGCCACTCTACTTTTGTTTATATTCCTTCCAGTGACTATATTTGTCCCCAGCCATGGCATCCCAGCGGCAACCTTATGCTGATACAGCCCCAATCCTGACCCAAGCGGATGATACAGAGGATGAAGAAAAAGAGGGGCTTCAATCAGGACAAGAAGGGGACGTAGAGGTAGAGGCCCTCACGGGTATCTCCTCTGTGCATGCCGGCTTTATTGTGGGCGCCCTCTTCTATATCAACCTGCTGAATTACATGGACCGCTTCACTGTGGCAGGTAAGAATTCAGAGATGCTCAGAATGGTTACTGGCTTTGGATTTCTCTTCTCAGTTGATTGAGATGAATGGGGGAATAACTTCTAAAGCCAGTTCTCCCCCATCCCTTGTCATTCCTACACTTAACATGGCCATAATTAGTTCTGCAATCTCTCTTTTACCAGGTGTTCTTCCTGACATTGAGGATTTTTTTAATATTGATGACAGCAAATCCGGACTTCTGCAGACAGGTGAGGAGCCAGGCGTTGGGGTTTATTCCTCTTTTCTTTACTCCCTCTCTCCCACACTTTATAATTATAGTGTTGATCGATACTTTTGTAGCATTTGGCATCACAAGTTGTTTTAAATGTTTTTTTTCTTTCCTGATAGTTTTTATTAGCAGCTACATGGTATTGGCACCAATCTTCGGCTATCTGGGTGATCGCTATAATCGCAAATATCTGATGTGTGTCGGGATCTTCTTCTGGTCGTGTGTGACTTTGGCAAGCAGCTTCATCCCTAGTCAGGTATTCTTGTGTGATGGGTAAAGGTTTGCCTAATTCAGAAGCTTTTGTGTACTAGTTCTTACATAGATATAGGGAGAATTTGATTTACAGAATAAGCCCACAGGAATGCTTTCTGAGGTAGTACATACTCCTGTTTGTCCCCTGACATCTCCTCCTTGGCAGAACCATTCCCAAATTTCCATTGTTGTTATAGTAGTAGTAGTAGTAGTAATAATAATAATAATAATATTTATTTATTTATTTGATCAGTCATATGACCATTTCAAAATAGAACATGAGTAAAAAACAAGGCAAAAAGGTGAGGACAGCAGCTGATTATTATTATTATTATTATTATTAGTAGTAGTAGTAGTAGTAACAATAATTTTACTTCTTACCTGCCTCTCCTTGTAATACTTAGTTGAGCCAAGTTAAAAAGTGACTTGCTGATAAGAAACTTTCTCAAAGCTTTTCTGTTTGATTTTCTGAAGGAGGCACTTGTCACCTGAACTGGAACAGTAGATGTTTATGATGTTTATTTTTGTAGCACTCAACTCTACTTAATCCCAGGCTCCCTACCAAAGAGTCATAGGAATAGTAATTCAGAGAAGAGTTTGAGAGAACTTCATAAATAATTCACAGACTGCCATTCTCAAGATTCTTTAAGGGGATTTTAAATCTTGGAACAAATATGTATCTCATGCTGCTCTGTTGTTTGTCTGTTTTCTCCACTGTTTAGTGGTTCTGGCTTTTGCTGCTGACACGAGGCCTAGTGGGTGTGGGAGAAGCTAGCTACTCAACTATTGCCCCCACCATTATCGCTGACCTGTTTGTGGGTGAACGGCGATCCCGCATGCTCAGCATCTTCTACTTTGCCATACCTGTGGGCAGGTGAACATATTCTACTCTGTCTTGTAAGGGAGGAATGGGGCAAACTGTGCTTTATGACTGGTGAATTTTGACTGGAGGTGCTTGTTTTCAGTGTCCTGCCAAGACATTGAATATTTGGATCTTTTCCAGCATAGGTTTCAGACCTATTTTGGGAATACTAATAGCCTTGCTTGTTCTGGTGGATGACTTGCACTGCAGAAAAGACAGAGAGAATGCAAATGCATTAACTTTTTTAGCTGTCTCATGGATTTCAATTCTTTCAAACACTGTATCCTTCTGAACTGCATGGCTGGGATAAGCAGAGCTTGGAAAAGTTGTATTTTGGGCTATGATTCCTGGAATTGTTTGCTGAGCTTGTAGGTTCTAGGTCGTGTAATTCAAAAAGTAATTTTATGATTTCTGGGTTAAAGGGCAGCAGGTTTCAGTGGCTCCAAAGCTTCATAACCGGTTGCTTTCAAAGCCTAGTGTAGGAAGACTTTTGCTCTCTACAATAATGTACTGCAGTAAAGTTTAAATTGGTATTGACCCCAGTATCATAATATAAAAATGGCTTACCTATACCGTCATTTCCCTGCTAATTCAAGGGAGGCTGTGGAGTTCTTTGTAAGCATTTCAGGGTAGTCGAGGGCAAACAAGCTTGAAATTCAAAACAGACAAGAATATGGATGGAGAAACCTGTTTATTTTATTTATTTATTTAAAACTTTTATATCACGATCTTCTCAGCCTCCGTAGAGGGACTCAGACCGGCTTACAGCAAGGATTCAATGCCAATAGTACAATCTAAAAACATCATATAACGAGTTAAAATACATATCAATTAAAATTACAAATAAGCCAAATCGCCAAGATAAAATCATGTCCAACTGTTGGTCTGAACCGCAGGATTTAAATTACATTGGGTGGCTTTGTGCCACTACCAAAGATCATCTGAGCTTGTGGGTCATTCAGAACATGTTACCCACTAGTAGTGCAAGTGGAGGCAGTACCAGGAGCATTTTGTGCAAGTGGAGGCAGTAGCCAGGAGCATTTTGTGCAAAATACCATTGATATGCCTGTATAGGAAATATTTGAACCCATTAATATATCTCCTGGTGATATCCAGACTGAACTATTGCTATGTGCTTCATAGAGGATTGTTCTTGAAAATACTTAATTTTCGACCAGTCAAGAATGCATGCCCAAAAATAGTGTTTCCAAGCTCTGGCCTATTATAATCTGCAAAATAATTTATTTCAGTCACTAAACCTTAGCAAGCATTAATCAGTTTTAGTAAGTCTGCCTTACAAGCCCGTCTGACTATTTTCCATCTTTTCTCTTATAGTGGATTAGGCTACATTGTGGGGTCAAAGGTGAAAGACCTGGCTGGTGACTGGCATTGGGCCCTGAGAGTAAGTAGGGTGAAACTATGGTTGCATTCATTGTTCTTGTTTGTTATGCTTCTATTTTCCCTAACCTTTCTGAGCAATTCACTGATTCCATTACAGTCGACCATGCAGGTTTTATTTTTCTGTCTCTGTGGTTCCTCAGAGTGAGATCTCTTTTCTTCTCTTCTGCAGGTAACTCCAGGTTTGGGCTTGGTGGCTTTGGTGTTACTGCTATTTGTGGTACGTGAACCCCCTCGGGGTGCTGTGGAGACACACTCAGATGCCCCCCTGCAGTATACTTCATGGGTAGCCGACCTGAGGGCCTTGAGCCGCAAGTGAGTAATGTAGGAAAAGTTCCATTTGCTGCCACTGGGTAGAACAGGGGTACATCTGCATTGTAGGATTAATGCAGTTTGACACCGCTTTAACTGGCAAGGCTCAGTGCTATGGAATCCTGGGAATTGTATTTAGTTATTGTTACTTGTATTTATTATTTGCCAACACTCTTTGCCAGAGAAGGCTCAAGTCTTTTAAAAAACTGTTGAGTCAGCCATACTTCATTCCACCCCATCCCAAATCCTCTGCAATACAGCGAAGGCAATGGATCAGTATAGAAACTGTTCCTCAACGCAGAACATTCTAAAAATGACTTAGCACTGGAATCATTATGAGCAGTGTTCTTGGCGAACATGCCGTTACTAGTATCCTTTCTGAGACAAGCACTATCCCTTCATCATTCTCTCTGTGTGTGTTTGTTTCATCTAAGATTCTTCCCCAAACAATTCCTAGCAAAATCTGGCTCTTCCACTGTGCCTTTGATGAGTAGGTATATAATCCCACATGATTGCTCTGCCTCAAAGTTCTGTCATTGGAGTATATGTCCCCCCTAATGGGAAAGCTTGATTCCACAACTCCTGTTAAAATGAGGCCTCCTCCGTAAATTACCTGCTTCCCTCTTTTATCTCGCCCGAGTTTTTAATTAGTTTTAATCTGTTTGTCCTTTTAATCACTACATGTAGCCCATCCATTATTATTGTGCCTGTGCATATTTTTTATTTTTTATATTGTTATGTATTCATATGTTTTATGTAATTATGATGTTATTGTTTATTGTTCGCATTTTTGGTTTGTGTTTTTGGTTTTTCTTTATTGTAATTGTTATTTGGGCTTGGCCTCATGTAAGCCGCTCTGAGTCTCCATTGGGGAGATGGTGGCGGGGTAATAAATAAAGTTTTATTATTATTGATCTTTTTGCTATTTTTAAATTGTTTTAAATTGTTTTTAAATTGTGTTAGATTTTAGCCTGTTCTTGTAAGCTGCTCCGAGCCCCAGGGGAGTGGCTGCATATAAGTTTGAATAATAAATTAAAAAATTAAAATAAAATTATTATTCATAGTGCAGAGCATGTAGTTTGCGGTTGACTTCAACTTGAGACCAGAGAGCATTGCAGTGTGGAGAGGTGTACAGTACCAGATAAAGAGTTGCTATCCTTTTGCTTGGGAATGTCTTGCATTCTTTTCTACCTGCACTAGTCCTGCAGGTTGGGTACCCTTGGCCTGGATATTCTGTCATGGGACAAAAAGCAACTCAGTCATGTCTTGGTTATTTTTGCAGCAGCGGATAAATATTGTTATGTAAACACAGTTTTGCCCTTCTGTATTTTATGTCTGGAATTCGTGAGTGTCCCAGCTAGAAATGCTCTCTGTAAAGCAGAACGTGGTAGAGTTTATTTTGTACTCCATATTCCTGAAAATAAGGCTCAACTGGAAAAGAAGCCCTAACATGATAAGATTGTCAGTCAGTAGTACATCTATTGCAACACACTATGGGAGTATTGAATTACAAAATAATATTAATATATAATTAAATAATATTATTGACATTGATACTTAAATTATATTGTAATATAAATTATAATTAAATATTTGTATATACCCAGGCAAAGGCCTTTAGATGAGAGGTAAATAAAAGCATGTGTAAATAGATGAACTCAAGATGTATTGCTGAATGTGCAGTCGGAGTTTAGACACAACTCATGAATAATGTTCACACTTGATAATGAATGGATGTGGTTGTGTCTATTATGAATCTTCATAATTCAATACGTCATGTGTTGAAACTGATGTACTTAATGCACTTGTATGAAATAAATGTTTTCTTAACTCATCATTTTTGTGGCCACTCCCATCTCATAGATCTTCAATTAACAGTTGATTTAATTGTAGATTTAAATGAATGAATGTAGATTGCTGTACATGAAAAAAATAAGACATCTGAAAATAAGATCTAATGTGTCTTTTGAAGTACAAGTTAACATAAGAGCTGATCTTTTTTGGGAAGAAATGGTAGTACAATTCCTAGAATTTCCCAAGCAAGAAGTAGTTTTTCCAAGCTCTGAATATGTCAGTTCTGTCGAGAGCAGTAGGTGCTGCTGGTATCTGTATTCTTCCTTAATGGTATTATCTTTGCTTTGAATCTGTAGAGGATTCCTGTCTTCTCAAAGCCCTAATGGCTACAACATATTCTCACATTGTCTTTATTCTTCTTTTTGTTTGCTATCCCTCTTTTAATTGGCAGTCGCAGTTTTGTGCTGTCATCACTAGGTTTCACAGCAGTGGCCTTTGTAACCGGGTCCCTAGCGCTCTGGGCCCCAGCGTTCCTGTTCCGCTCGTGCCTGGCCAATGGAAGTCACCAGTCTTGCTCCGCTGACTCAGACAGGTGGGTTAGCAGCAGGGAATGGCTTTCAGTCAAGATGTCCACGTCTGATCTCACTTGGCGTCTGGGTGAATAGAGGAGTTTCCAGTAACTATTTTTCTTGTCACTGAACATTTGTGTCATGGCAACTAAACAGCTGGCCTATAAAGTGGGAAATATGTGAAACTTGCCACATATTTATTAATGGTATCGGGTCTTCCACCATCTTTTTATTTCACTGCCTTATCTGTGAACTGTCTGTATGTGGAGTCCCCAGAGGCGCAGTGGGTTAAACTGTTGAGCTGCTGAACTTGCTGACTGAAGGGTCAGCAGTTCGAACCCAGGGAGTGGGGTGAGCTCCCACTGCTAGAGCCAGCTTCTGTCAACTTAGCAGTTCAAAAACATGCAAATGTGTGTAGATCAATAGGTACCGCTCCAGCAGTAAGGTAACAGCACTCAATTCAGTCATGCTGGCCACGTGACTTTAGAGGTGTCTATGTACAATGCTGGCTCTTCGGTTGAGAAATTGATATGAGCACCTCCTCACCCCCAGAGTTGGACATGACTAGACTTAATGTCAAGGGGTATGTGTCCTGTAATTCTGCCCCCTCCCCCCGCAATATTTTTAATTGAAAATCTTGACAGTAAAAATAGACACATACAAAGAAAAGCAACAATATTTATAAATACATACATAGACATACTTAGACAACAATTACTAAATAAACATACATCTCTCTCTATAACTCTAGAACTCCTGACATATGCATAAATTAATTTTAAAAGTAGATTTCCAGTTTTTGTCAATTTCTCTATTTTAACATTTTTTCTTCCACTTCATAGCCACCAAATTGTTTGCTTCTTTTTGTTTTAATATTTACAAATGAATTTATCAATATTTTATGTTTCCAGACCTGTGTATGAAATCTTTCCCTCCTATATATATTGATACATATATGTGTCTTGTAATTTGTATGTGAATTACTCTGAACCATCTGCCTAAAATCATTGTATAAGTGTTGCTTCTAACTTTATCTGCAGCTTCACCTTTGGCATCATCACGTGTGTGACTGGTGTGCTGGGTGTTACTTTGGGGGTGGAGATTTCCCGGCGCTGGCAGCGCACCAACCCTCGTGCGGATCCTCTAGTGTGCGCCACTGGACTGCTTGGCTCTGCTCCCTTCCTGTTCCTGGCAGTTGTGTGTGCTCAGCACAGCATCGTTGCTACTTACGTGAGTTTGCTTTTCTTACAAACATTCACTACAGATTTGCTGCAGTCATTATGTGCAGCCAAGCCTTTGGTATTCAGGATCATTGGGGTGCCATAATTAAGCAAGTGGAACTGAGCGCACAGGAGCGGATGAGAATTCCTATCAAGTTATAAAAGCCACTGAGTAACCTTGGTCCAGCCATACACTCTTAGCCTGAGCTGGATGAATAAAGTGAGGAGAGCCATTTCTGTTCCGTTGAATTCATTCTATACCAAATAGAAGCGAAGGGCTTTGGGATATTTTACTGAAAAACATAGACGTTTTAAAATGTTAAGCTGTTCTCTTCATTTTCTCTCTTGAAGGTATTTATTTTCATTGGTGAAACTCTCCTTTCCCTGAACTGGGCCATAGTAGCGGACATCCTCCTGGTGAGAATTGTGGGGAAGGGGAAACAATTTGTAGTAGTGTGCAATGATTTGTTGTATTACTTCTTACATCTGCAAATTGTGATGTAAGCCTGCTGTACCATAAGCCATGCCTCTTCGACCTTTGGATCCCCAACTCCCAGAAGCCTTAGCTAGCTTATTCAATGGTCAGCAGTTCTGAGAGCTGGGCGTGTGAAGGTTGAAGAGACCTGCCAAAGGTCAACCAATTCTGCACCGAGTTCTTACTCTACTGGAATGGGTATGTTGGCAAAATATTGCACCAGTGCATCATGATCGTCCATCTTCCCTGTGGGGTCTATTTTATTCATGTTTTTAATTTACTATTTATTTGTTATTATTCTAGAGTGTTGTGTTTTGATGATTAGGTATATGGCACTGAATGTTTGCCTTTTGCTGTGAAAGTCACCCTGAGTCCCTTTGGGGAGAGATGGCGGGTCAGAAATAAAGTTGTTGTTATTATTATTTGATACATAACAATATTAGTACACAGCAAACAAGATCACTCTGCTTGCTTTTGTATTTGATCACATGTGTCTAGGACTGTGTGATGTATCGGCGAATAATGCATGCAGTTGTGAGCAGGGTCGCCTTTTGCAGCTGACAGATGGTAATTTTGTCAGTGCTGATTGTTTTTAAGTACAGGCCAAGGTCTTTAGGCACTGCACCCAGTGTACCGTTCACCACTGGGATGACCTTGACTGGCTTGTGCCAGAGTCTCTGCAGCTCTGTATTTAAATCCTCATATTGTATAAGCTTTTCCAGTTGCTTATTATTTATTTATTTATTTTACTGACACAAAAACACAGTATGTCACAGCAAATGAGATCTCTATACTGGATTTCGTATCACAAAATCACAAGTCAAACACTTCCCAAGAGTCTAGGACTGTGTGATGTATAATAATAATAATAATAATAATAATAATAATAATAATAATTATTATTATTATTATTATTATTATTATTGGTGGCACTTTATCATACACTATGCCAACCTAGCAATGCTACCATATCCTATATATAGCCTTTTAACTAGTGTAATCTCAGGCACATAGTATTTTGTGTGCTCTTTATAAAATACTTGATCTGTAACTGTAACTGTGCATGTATGTGGGAAAATGTTTGGGTTGTGGGTATAGAGACAGAAAAGCAGGATCAGGGGAGCTACTAAAGGGAAGGATATGTTTATGTCTCTATATATCAACTTGTAAAGCAGTGTGATAATATGTGCTCTTCCCAGTAGAGGGTGCAAGTAAACTGGCTGAATTCTGTCTTGTAGTATGTTGTCATCCCCACACGCCGATCTACAGCAGAAGCTTTTCAAATACTGATGTCCCATCTCCTCGGTGATGCTGGCAGCCCTTATCTCATTGGCTTGGTGAGTTCTTGTGTTCATTTTCCCATCCATTCCACCCCATAAAAAACTCCACTCCCACCCAGCTCTATTTGGATGCAGATTAAATTTTTATTCTACTCTTTATTTTTTAACTTTGAATATGTTTTAATGGATTTTAACTGTGATTTTTGTGTTTAATTATATTTTAATTATATTATATATGCTTGTATATTTGTATATTTTAAACTGTATACTAATGTTTTTACGTCAAGCCGCTTTGAGTCCTCTTTGGGGAGATAAAACGGGGTGTAAATATAATAGTAGTAATAATAATAATTCATGATTGAATAGTAAATATGTATTTTGATTGTTGCTTTGGATTTGTGTTCTGATTTTGTTAATTTTTTAAAAAAATCAAATACTACTCTGTGGGTTTTAGACAAAAAAAATCCTTGGAAAGTAATCACATTGACAAATAAGCATGGGATTGTGCACCTTTTTCAACCTACAGATAATTCAGTAATCATTCATACAGGAGCATTGTTCCAATACAGATAATTCAGTAATTGTTAACCCAAGAGCATTGTTCTAACGTGTGCAAAAGGCAATGCAAATCACCCACCTGTTGTTCCAGTTTGGGAGTCTTTCCCACGGGTTCTGCTTCTTTGTGTACTTATTGTATGCAGTTTTCATGGCCTTCAACTTAATTTGTGCTCCAGATCAGTGACCGAATCCAGCGTGATCGCCCCTTGTCATACTTGTCAAAGTTTCGAAGCCTTGAATATGCTCTTATGGTCTGTGCGTTCGTTGGAGTTATTGGAGGAGGCTTCTTCCTAGCCACAGCTTGCTTTGTCCAGGCAGACCGGAAACGTACAGAGCTTTTTGCACAAGGTAAACTCATCCCGCTCTCATTTTCATGGAGTGGAGTGTAATGTCCAATTTTCATGGAGTGGAGTGTGTAATGTGGGCCTCAATACCAAAATGGGGTCTTTGTAATGAACATGGGAATGTCTCTAGCATCTAGAAGCCCTTCCTATTACTTATGGTGGATTAATGGAACTTAGTTAGGAAAGGAAATGAGGAGCCACTTGTGTTACAACAACATGTTTTGATCATGGATAACAAGTAGTATGAAATGCCACACTCTGGTAGCATCTTTGTCTAGAAGACCTCATATCTATCATTTTGACCAAAGTATTCTCAGAATTTTTTTGTTAAATAATTTTTATTGAGAGTTTGCTTTGTATACATGTGTGTTTAAAACAGCAGTTTCTCAGAACTTTTTATACAATTCAGGTGATGTGAGTCTTGGATCTCCTTATACCTTCAAGTTCATCTGACATCTTCCTGTTGTGTCTTGAGAAGCAGATATTGTAGCAAGTCCTGGGTTACATGAGTGGCAACTGACTTCTTTAAAAAGCATAATAAATAAATAAAGGCCAGGCCTTTTCTGTGAGTTTGTGCATCCACACAACACTTGGGCACTTAATAGCATACAGTTCATACAGGGCCGTTCCCAGAAGCAAATTATAAAGGAGCCAGGAGTCTGGTTGTAACACCTTTCTTCCTCCTTCTCCCTTGATCAAAGTATGATGCACTCTTTTTTGATGCTTGAATGTGTTGGTTAATTTCAAAAAGGAAAACGGCATTTTAAAAATTAAAGCAGCAGTTTTAACAGACCAAAAGCTTTTTGAGCATCACAATGGAGTGAATGATCTTCAGCAATTACAGGAGTAGAGTCAAGTTTTAAAAGTTTGAAATAACTACATTTCTATATAGGAAAATTAGGACCTAACTATCTATCTATTTACCTGGAGACATGTTATGTCTCTCAGTGCTCACAGGAAAACAAAAATGGAGGAGACTTGTCATGTGGCCAGATACTTTGAATAAACAGAGGCATGTCTATGAGAAGCATCAGTCTAACAAACATGAAATAGGAGGAAGAGATAGAGTGAGAGAGGCAAACAACAAGGGCAGTGGGGCATTTAGTTCTTTGTCAACTAACTAATCCATCTGCCTATTTTTATAATGACTATAAAGTATTTTTATAATGACTATTTTAAATAAAGACTATAAACCTGTGCAGGATTGTTGGGTGAGTGGGCTTTCAGAGAGTAGTCACATCATTTTATGCTATTGCTCCCTCAACGTTCTTGCCCCAGGAGTTCTCTCCACCCCCCACCCCCTGTATGAAGGTTTGTTTATTTCTCTGTCTCTCTATGAGTTCTCCCTTACAAACAGTTCTGCCCCTTTATCTCACCCTGAGTTTTTAAATCATTTTATGTACATGTGGCCTGCTCTCTGTCATTATGTTTGGTTTCTATGTTTTGTGTATATTGTTTATATGCTCTGATTTATTTTTATTTATTGTGTCAGGAGCAACCAGACAGTTGTATTACATTTTTAACAAAACAAACAAACAGACAGACAAAACACAAAGTTTGCAAGCTTGGTAGTTGATTAAATGTCCTTTGACCAGTAGCTGGCCACTTGGAGTGCCTCTGGTGTTGCTGCAAGGAGGTCCTCCATTGTGCATGTGGCAGGACTCAGGTTGCATTGCAGCAGGTGGTCTGTAGTTTGCTCTTCTCCACACTTGCATGTCGTGGATTCCACTTTGTAGCCCCATTTCTTAAGATTGGCTCTGCATATCGTTCCAGAGCGCAGTCTGTTCAGCGCCTTCCAAGTTGCCCATATGCTTTGATGTTTTATACTTTATTGTTATGTTGTTTATTTTATTGCAATTTGTATTTTGTATTGTAATTTGTTGTTCAGGCTTGGCCTCCATGTAAGCCGCTCCGAGTCCCCATTGGGGGAGATAGTGGCGGGGTATAAATAAAGATTATTATTATTATTATTATTATTATTAATAATAATAATAATAATAATAATAATAATAATAACAAAAGACCCTCCACATAAATTCACAGCAGAGTAACTATTTACAGGAACAATGACACAAATAAAATTCAACATTCACACTGAAGTTTCACACATGAGGCCTTCTCATACCGAGGCTTACCTCACACAGTGAGGCCTTCTCTCACAGACTAAGGCCTGCCTCACACTGTGAGACCGTCTCACAGTCTGAGACCTTTCTCCCACTGAGGCAAACTAACACAGAGGCCTACTAAGCCCCTTATATAGAACCGCAGCCTTTGCTGAGTCATTGCATGTATTTTATCCTTTCAGTACTTGACTCACATTTTCGTAATTAAAAATACCTAGTTAATTTTTAATATTTCTGACAAGGATGTGGTTGGGTTCCAGTAGAATTCAGTTTGTCACCTTCTCTTCTTTTCCTTCTAGGGCAGTTACAAGAGTCATCAGAACGTGAGGATCGCATTGTTGTCCCCCAACGTGGCCGATCAACCAAAGTCCCTGTCTCCAGCGTCCTGATCTGAGTCCCACTGACTTGCACCATGTCCCTCTAGTTGTGGATGGAGAAGGAGACTGGACTCATGGCTTCCACATCCACCAAATATGGAGAGATAAGGACTCTCTGAATGGACCCAGGAGGGTGGTCTTTGTGAATAGCAACTTTTTTGTTGTTGTGTGTGGGATTTTTTTTTATAAAGCACAAACTTTATCCTGAGTCATGTTGTATTTTTCAGGTGGGGGGGCAGGTGAAGTGGAGAAATTCCCAGTCATGATTATTTCAATTTCATTCATTTCCCCTCACATTTTGGCCCCTTCCATTCAGGCATGTTTCAATGTTTTTGAACGCCTTTGTAAATTTGTTGTCTCAAGCAATGTTTATCGGTTGGCTTGAGGAATGGGGCAAGGAAGTGAGATCACCAGTTTGCTGGATGAAAAATGGCTTTTTTTGTGCCTGCAATTAATTGCTGCCTATTGAGTGAATTTATTTATTTGTTGTGTCAGGGCAACCAGTCGATTATATTACATTTCTAACAGAGCAAAGCAAACAAACAGACAAAATACAAAATTTGTGAGTTTGGTAGTTGATTAAATGTCCTTTGACCAGTAGCTGGCCACTTGGAGTGCTTCTGGTGTTGCCGCAAGGAGGTCCTCCATTGTGCATGTGGCAGGGCTCAGGTTGCATTGCAGCACGTGGTCAGTGGTTTGCTCTTCTCCACACTTGCATGTCGTGGACTCCACTTTGTGGCCCTATTTCTTAAGATTGGCTCTGCATCTCGTGGTGCCAGAGCACAGTCTGTTCAGCGCCTTCCAAGTCGCCCAGTCTTCTGTGTTCCCAGGGGGGAGTCTCTCATTTGGTATCAGCCATTGGTTGAGGTGCTGGGTTTGAGCCTGTCACTTTTGGACTCTCGCTTGCTGAGGTGTTGCTGAGGTGTTGCTGAGGTATTGAGTGAAGAGACACCGGTGATGTGATTATTAGCCAGTTGCAATGTTTTGTGAAATTTTGAATGGCTCTGTATTCATCTGGCTTTTTCCTATTATTAACTGGCACAATTTAATTGCTTGACTAATCTATTGAAGTTGCCTATGCTACATCCACCTGGACATGATGTAACTTGATCTCTTTTATTTTTAGCCTGTCAAAGAAAGCAGATTATATAGTAGTATTCCTAGAAACATTTCTTTTTGCTTTTTCCTGCAACTGACTCAGTACTTGAATATTTAAAAAGATTAATATGTTTTTACTATTAACATAAAATTACACATTCTAGAGCAGGCCTGGGCAAACTTGGGCCCTCCAGGTGTTTTGGACTTCAACTCCCACAATTCCTAACAGCCGGTAGTTAGGAATTGTGGGAGTTGAAGTCCAAAACACCTGGAGGGCCCAAGTTTGCCCAGGCCTGCTCTAGAGGTCATCATGTCAACTGCAAACCAACTGATAGTGTTTTTGTATTTTTGTAAAGTCAAATATTCAGACAGGTACACAGGAAGTGGATGTGAATTCAGGGGCAGCTGCTATTCTAGATGATAACTATCATTTGTCAACGTGGGATGAGAATAATGCAGCCCCCTATATGTTTCTGGACTGCAACTCCCAACAGCCCTAGCTAACATGAACAATGGGAAGTACTGCTGGAAACTGCCTGCCCCATCCTTACTCCTGCTCTGGACAATAAAAATGGAGAGGAGAGTTTTCCATTGCCTTTTGTACTGTGTGTCCTTTTAAGGCCAAGGCTATTTTTTGTCTGTACCTATGAGCATATGACTGTATGTCAGAGATGAGAAAATTGAAGACGTCATTTTATGCGCCTAAGGAAGTTAGACTGTGGCCCCTTGAAAGTTTATGTTACAATATGTTTGAGGTTTGAAGACGCTGGCTAGAATAACCTGTGCTTTTCCCCTTTTACAAGATGAGTTTGCCATAAATTAGCAAATTAAATTAATGTTTTTAGGTTCAGTCCAAGGGCCCCTCGGTGGCACAGTGGGTTAAACCGCTGAGCTGCTGAACTTGCTGACTGAAAAGTTGGCAGTTTGAATCTGGGGAGTGGGGTGAGTGCCTGCTGTTCGCCCCAGCTTCTGCCAACCTAGCAGTTCAAAAACATGCAAATGTGAGTAGATCAGTAGGTACCGCTTCTGTGGGAAGGTAATGGCGCTCCATGCAGTCACATTTATTTATTTATCGTATCAGAGGCAGACCAAACAGTTGCATTGCATTTTTTAACAAAACAAACAAACAAAACACAAAGTTTGCAAGCTTGGTAATTGATTAAATGTCCTTTGACCAGTATCTGGCCACTTGGAGTGCCTCCGGTGTTGACGCAAGAAGGTCCTCCATTGTGCTCAGGTTGCATTGAAGCAGGTGGTCTGTAGTTTGCTCTTCTCCACACTCGCATGTCGTGGATTCCACTTTGTAGCCCCATTTCTTAAGGTTGGCTCTGCATCTCGTGGTGCCAGAGCGCAGTCTGTTCAGCGCCTTCCAAGTCGTCCAGTTTTCTGTGTGCCCAGGGGGGAGTCTCTCATTTGGTATCAGCCATTGATTGAGGTTCTGGGTTTGAGCCTGCCACTTTTGGACTCTCGCTTGCTGAGGTGTTCCAGCGAGTGTTTCTGTAGATCTTAGAAAACTATTTCTTGATTTAAGTCGTTGACGTGCTGGCTGATATCCAAACGGGGTGAGCTGGAGATGTCACTGCCTTGGTCCTTTCACTATTGGTTGCTACTTCCCAGCGGATGTCAGGTGGTGCAATACCGACTAATGCCGGCCACATAACCTTGGAGGTGTCTATGGACAACGCCGAGTCTTCAGCTTATAAATGGAGATAAGCACCATCCCCCAGAGTTGGGCACCGCTAGACTTACTGTCAGGGGAAACCTTTACCTTTATGTTCAGTCCTCTTACTGTGCCAACTCAGTTTCTGAGGTTAGTTGAAGTTTCTCCTTTTAGTCGTTCCCTCCATTAGAAGAAGCAAAAAGCATTTCCTAATGTGAGAATGCAGGCCATTTAGTTGAGAGTTACTTGCTTAAGTTTAAATTAATTTCATGTTTAATTTAGAACTTAATTTCAATATTTTGATACTGTTTATTTCTTAATTACCTAAGCACAAAAACCCTCTTCTCTTGCAAGAGAAGAGACTGTAACTGCTGTTCAAAGCTCGGTTTAATAGCTGAGGAAATTTGCCTGTTATTCTGTTATAAATGAACACAGATCTTTGTGGATTATTGACTTGTGCAAAACAAAGAGAAGGGTGTCAAGGAGGTGGTGTAAACTGCACCTACTAATGTACTAGAGCAGACCCCGGTGGCATCAGTGTAGAAATGGAAAGATACGATTTTTTACAATGTCTGGATTTACAAGCCAGACCTGTGTCTTTTAGCAGCAGCAAGAGAAGGGAAGATGACAATGAGTATTTCGCTATAACAAAGTGTGACTTTCGTTCTGAGTGCTGAAAAGGCTTACGATTCTTTTGCAAGTGTATTTTATAAACTTGGCAGAACTGTTAAAAGCTTTTCCTGAGCTAAAACCATGTTTTATGAAAAGTGCGAAGGGTGCATATTTGAAGCACTCCCATGTATATGGCAAAACAAGTGAAATCAAGTGAAGAGTGAGCCAAATGGACTGTGACAGATGCCTAGGTTTTATGACTTCACTCTACTCAACATGTCAACCAGGAGTGGAAGGTCTGGGGGTTTATTTGGCCTGGCATATTAAACTTCCCCACAACATCATTACTGGGTTATTTTCCAGCTTTTATAAAGCTTTATTCCTGTGTAAAAAAGTTTTAAATACCTCTCTGGGTATTGACAGTAAATGTTTCAAATATCTGTCCTAAGACTTGTATAGAAGTAATAAACATTTTAGCTAATATACAGTGGTATTTTTAATCTGGTCCTTTGGTTCCACCTACTGCAAGAATGTGTCCCCCAAGAAAGTCTTTTAAATAGAATTTGGATATCAGGCAAAGAGGCATTTCTTCCATCCCACCGATATAAGCCTCTATTGTTATGTCTGTGCCTTGACAAGATACATTTTTATATGAGCTGAGTCCTCAATGATGCAGCAGGTTAAACTGCTGAGATGCTGAACATGCTGACCAAAAGGTTGGCGGTTCGCATCTGGGGAGTGAGGTGAGCTCCCACTGTTAGCACCAACTTCTGCCAACTTAGCAGTTCGAAAACATGCAAATGTGAGTAGATCAATAGGTACCGCTTCAGTGGTAAGGTAACGGTGCTCCATGCAGCCATGCAGGCCACATGACCTTGGAGGCGTCTACGGATTCCGCTGGCCCTTCGGCTTAGAAATGGAGATGAGCACCACCCCCCAGAGTTGGACACAACTGGACTTAATGTCAAGGGGAAATCTTTACCTTTTAATAGTAATAATAATCATAATGATAATAATAATTCACCTCATGTTCTAGATGGGGCACAACATAGTTAAAATACATCATCATAATAAAGGTACAGACAGCCTATTTGTAATAGGGAGGAACTATTATCCATGAAACTGACCCTAATGGCACCATTCTTCAATCCTGCTGCAACCCGCGTCCCATCATTGTTGAACCGACAACAAAGCAACTGCTCACCACAATCTCTGTTGAATCAAACATGTATATTTATTTAGTCACTTGGCAATTTTAATATTTTGCATCTTATAAAAAACCAGAAGCCTGTAAAACAACAAATTACTCTGGCGGGAAGGTAATGGCATGCTTGCCAAATGACCTTGGAGCTGTCTACGGACAACGCCGGCTCTTTGGCTTAGAAATTGAGATGAGCATCAACCCCCAGAGTTGGACACGACTGGACTTAATGTCAGGGGAAAACCTTTACCTTTACCTACATATGTATTTATCATTGTAAAAGAAAATATTCCACACCCCTTCAAAAATATTTTGAGGAAAAATAAGCTTCGGAAAAAGGGAAGAAAGGTGCCAATTTCTCCCCAAGTCTTCACAGTGATAACTGTGATAAAAAGAATTTGAGTGGACAAAAATCAAATGTTTGGGAAAGCTGAGAGATCTGCTGAGCTTGATGAATTTGACCACTGAAGATGACTGGGAATTTTACTAAATTTATAACAGTACCAACAGGTGTTTTTGTAAATCTCATGGAGAAAGCAAATATGGGAGAAAGGGAAATGGTCAGATTGGTTACTCCCCTTTGCTCATGTCAGAGTCAAGACGTTGCCTGCATATCTATTATTTGTGCCTAGGGTCTGTCATCCCAGCACATTCAACGAATTGTCAGAAAATGTGACTACAATTGAAGATATGACAGTTTGGAAAATATGGAGTAGTGAGACTTACAGAAAGAGGCTCAAAGGTACACCAAACACTATTGATGGAAGTAATGTCATCCATTAACAGGTAACCTGAATAAGCAACAGAGCTGTGCTTCTGATTCTTTTAAGCTTTGCAAATAATTCTACACAATTCTATGTGACTAGAATTGAAGATATGACAGTCTGGAAAATATGGAGTAGTGAGACTTACAGAGAGAGGCTCACAGCTGCACCAGACACTATTGATGGAACTAATGCAGTGTTTCTCAACCTTCCTAATGCTGCAGCCCCTTCATACAGTTCCTCATGTTGTGGTAACTCCCAACCATAACATTATATTCGTTGCTACTTCATAACTAACTTTGCTACTGTTACAAATCGTAATGTAAATATCTGATATGCAGGATGTATTTTCATTCACTGGACCACATTTGACACAAATACCCAATATGCCCAAATTTAAATACTGGTGGAGTGGCGGGGGGATTGATTTTGTCATTTCGGAGTTGTACTTGCTAGGATTTATAGTTCACCTACAATCTAAGAACATTCTGAACTCCACCAGTGATGGAATTGAACCAAACCAGGCACACAGAACTCCCATGACCAATAGAAAATACTGGAAGAGTTTGGTGGGCATTGACCTTGAGTTTTGGAGTTGTAGTTCACCTACATCCCAAGAGCACTGTGGACTGAAATAATGATGGATCTGAACCAAACTTGGCATGAATACTCAATATGCCCAAATGCAAACACTAATAAAGTTTGGAGAAAATAGAGTTGACATTTGGGAGTTGTAGTTGCTGGGATTTATAGTTCACATACAATCAAAGAGCACTCTGAACCTAGCCCACAATGGATCTGCACCAAACTTAGCACACTACCTACATGGCCAACACTGAATACTGGTGGGGTGGGGTGGGGGCTGTTTTTGAATTCTGGGAGTTGTAGTTCAACAACCCCAAAAAGGAAGAGAAGGACAGGTGATCTTCAGCCTTCTCTGTCAAAAGACTTCCTAAGACCATCAGAAACATGTCTTTTCTTATGGTCTTTGGCAATCCCTCTGAAACCTCCCTCATGATCCCACCCCCCAGGTCCTTATTTACAAGTCCTGAGTCAATCCAAGGAACCCTTAAGCACAACATGAAATTGAGTGATTCTCCTTTGGCATAAGTGTTATTATGCCTGACTTGGCAAAGTTCAGGAGTTAGGGTTAGGTAATTGAGAGGGATTTGGCACGAAGCAACAAAGAAAGTTAAAAACATCCTCAGAGGTCCATTTGAAGCTAAGGCATTCTTCACCAAGATCATGAATGTGCATGATGTTCAACTTGGTGTGCCTGCCTCCTGTTTCCTCTCTTTCTCCCACTTCATGTCGTGCTTTAGCGCACCTGCCCTTTGACTTCCTGCTGGCGGCTGTGGTGTTTCCTTCCTGCCCAAGCAATTCAAGAGCAGCCGCCGCATTTGCCACAGCAGCAGAGACTTCCTCCAGACATGGAACTGGGAAGAGAACTCCAGATGTGAGTCTACACAGAATTGGGGAAAGCAGGGGAGGCTAGGGAAGAAAAGGAATTACCAGGGGTGAAGCTCAGTCCTGGCAGGGTTTATCACCCCAAGTTGTCATGCTTCGGTCTTTTGGGAAGAAAAGAAACTAGACCTAGAATTTGGGACATAACAGTGTAACTTAGGGGGCAAAGGATGAGATAAGAGAAATGGTAGAAGTGGCTGAGGAAAAGAAAATTGTGGGGCAGCTTGAGAATATTTCTTTTAAATGCTGTTGAAATATATGCATTTTAAAACACGCTACACAGGGTTCTCTCTCCTTCCCTTTAGTTGCCTCCTCCACCCCTAATATTGATGCAATCTCTCTCTTTTCCTGTGGTTATTGCTTTCTCTTGCTCTCAGATTGTCCATCTCTTGAACCAGTGTTTCTCAGCTTTCCTAATGCTGCGACCCCTTAAAACAGTTCCTCATGTTGTGGTGACCCCCAACCATAAAATTATTTTTGTTGCTACTTCATAACTGTAATTTTGCTATTATTTTGAATCGTAATGTAAATATCTGATATGCAGGATGCATTTCACATTCACTGGACCACATTTGGCACAAATATCCAATACGCCCAAATTTGAATACTGGTGGGGTTGGGGTGGAATTGATTTTGTCCTTTGGGAGTTGTAGTTGCTGGGATTTATAGTTCAACTACAATCTAAGAACTCCACCAATAATGGAACTGAACCAAACTTGGCACACAGAACTCCCATGACCAACAGAAAATACTGGAAGGGCTTGGTGGGCATTGACATTGAGTTTAGGAGTTGTAGTTCACCTATATCCAGAGAACACTGCTGACTCAAACAATGATGGATCTGGATGAAACTTGGCATGAATACTCAATATGCCTAATTGTGAACACTGGTGGAGTTTGGAGAAAATAGACCTTGACATTTGGGATTTGTAGTTTCTGGGGTGTGTAGTTCATCTGCCATCAAAGACCATTCTAAATCCCATCAACAATATAATTGGGCCAAACTTCCCACATGGAACCCGCATATCCAGCAGAAAATACTGTGTTTTCTGATGGTCTTTGTTGACCCTTTAATACCCCTTCGCAATCCCACTGGGGTCCTGACCCCCAGGTTGAGAAATGCTGCTTTAAACTTAGGTAGAATAGCCATTTACAGATAGATCATATGAGTTGTTCTCCTTGCCTCACCAGTGATCGAATTGGGCCAAACTTCCCACACATAACTCTCATGACCAACAGAAAATACTGTGTTTTCTGGTGGTTTTTGGTGGTCGCAGGACACCTCCCCGCGACCCCCAGGCTGAGAAACCCTGTCTTACACTGAGTTGAGCAGAAATGAAAGGCAATGATCATGTGTTTAAAACTCCCAACTAATTTTGGAAGAGAATAGAGTAAGTGTCATCTATTCATGCAATTATCCTTTTCAAAACCAAGTTTGCTCCCGTTCTCTTCAAAAAGCTCCCACTTTCTGTCCTGCAACGGAACCTGTGGTTTGTGGTCAATCTGGCCGATCGCCAGGGCTCCATTCAAGCGGAGTATATTTGTATGTGTGAGGTAAGGCATTGTATAGAAAAGCCCAACTGTGCAATACTTATCCTTTTCTTGGTGCACACACAGAGAAACATGTACTGCTTTGTACTCAGAGGTTGCCTCAGCACCATTCCCTGCCCCCCATCCCTCAAAAAACCGAGTTGTGCAAAGTTGCAGCTGCATATTCCCTCCCACGGCACCCACAACACAGCGCAAACCTCGTTTGCCGGTACCCAAATCCGGCTGTGGGTCGCTATTGCTAACATGAGTCACCCTGCTCCCTCCTCTGTTCCCACACTCTCTCTTTTGGGGGTGATGAGCGGGGGGCACCAAGAACCCTTCCAGATAATTTTTGAGTTTTCGGCCTCAAATTATTCAAAAGGGGTTTTTTTCTCTGTACAGGAAGTGGAGTAGCAAACAATATACGACACTGTATTATCGAAGGCTTTCATGGCCGGAATCACTGGATTGTTGGGAGTTTTCCAGGCTGTCTGGCCATGTTCCAGATGCATTCTCTCCTGACGTTTCATCTGCATCCTCAGAGGTAGTGAGGTCTGTTGGAAACTAGGAAAACGGGGCTTATATATCTGTGGAATGTTCACAGTGCCAGTTAATCACCTCCCAACAAAGGATTCCCCCAGGCAGTAAGAAGCCAGATCTTGAAACTGCTAGGCCATCAAATGCTAATCAAGGTGGCCAACTGAAACATTCACACTTACCTCAAACAGACCCTAGACATTCCACAGATGTATAAACCCCATTTTAGTTTCCAGCAGACTTTGTTCATTTTCATGGTGTCTTCCTTTCTGTTGAAATTGTTCACTTGCTTGTGGATTTTCCTAGTTTCCAACAGACCTCACAACCTCTGAGGATGCCTGTCATAGATGCAGGTGAAATGTCAGGAGAGAATGCTTCTAGAACATGGCCATACAGCCTCCAAAACTCACAACAACCCAATATACAGCACATTTTTGGAGGTTTCTGTCTGCAAGTTCAGTAATCCTTCATATATGGATACATAACTCATTGATGAAGTTTGGACTTTGCCAGCAGAAATTCAGTCCACAGCATCTTCTTTGATGAATATTAGACAGCAGGTCTAATTATGGTGGTTTCTATTATTATTGCCATCCTCCTCCTCCTCCTCCTCATCGTAATCTATCCTGACATTTTCCTGATCTGTTTTTCAGTTGAGCAGGAGCAAAAGTCCTCAGATCTACTTTCTGGGTTCACACCGTAGGAAGAAATAGATCCACTGTAAAACAGTGTCCCCAAGTCCCATCCCAGCAAGGTGTTCCACAAAAATGTCATGGTTGATGGCATCAAAAGCTGCAAAAATACGTCCAGTAAAATCCATGGTGCTTTTAAAAATAAAATCTCCTTTTTTGCAGCTGCAAAACTCAAAAATTACCATATATACCGAGTATAAGCCAAACCGAATGTAAGTCAAGGCACCTAATTTTACCACAAAAAACTGGGAAACTGTATTGACTCGAGTATAAGCCGAGGGTGGGAAATGCAGCAGCTATTGGTAAATTTCAAAATAAACATAGATACCAATACAATTACATTAATTGAGGCATCAGTAGATTGAATGTTTTTGAATATTTACATAGAATTGTAATTTAAGCTAATACTGTCCAACTCTGATTAAATCATTATTCTAATCTTCTTCAATGTAAATGTGCTTATGTATCCTTCCAATAATAATAGAGTAAAATAATAAATGTAATAACAGTAATAATAGAGTAAAATAATAAATGTAATAATAATAGAGTAAAATAATACATGTAATAATATGAGTAAGGTAATAAATGTAATAATAGCAATAATAAATAGAGAAAAATAATAAATGTAATAATAAAAATAGAGTAAAATAATAAATGCAATAAAAATAATAGAGTAAAATAATGTAAATGTAGTAATAACAATAATAAATAGAGTAAATAATGTAATAAAAATAATAATAGTAACAGAGTAAAGGAATAAATAACCTTGACTCGAATATAAGCCAAGGGAGGCTTTGTCACCCCAAAAAAATGGGCTGAAAAACTCATCTTAAACTCGATAATAAATAGAGTAAAAACAACATTATGACAAGTTATATAGAGTATGATTGTTAAATCCTGAAAGTTGTACAGTGCAACATATTAATGATCCTAATTTATGGAATTTAATGACAGGAAAGTTGGCTAAGGAGGTGAATGGTGCAACTATGAGTAAAAGTGCTGACAATGTGGTGCTATTACTATGCAAGGGTATTCATGTATATACTCACATGTAGGTCAACCTCATGTATAAGTCAAGGGTGGGTTTGGGGGCCAAAATTATGGATTTTGATATGACCCATGAATAAATCAAGGGTATTCTACAGATGGGAAAGCACTAGCATTGCTTCAGGGGAACCAGTCACCCCTGGCAATTGCCATTTCCCCATCCTGACATTCAAAAAGGCCAAAAGCAGTATCATCATGGAGTAAGTAGATGAATCGGTACATCTTTTATCTTCTCTCAGGATGCACAAAGTTTTTACCAATCTATTCAGAGAAGAAGATTCTTTTTTGCACATATTAAGTACAGTATTTACATTGATATTCACAGGATGTTGACCCATGTTTTTACTATGGATTTTAAACTAAATTTTCTAGACTTATACATGAGAATATACAGTAAGTTTAAGTTTTAGACCCTACAGACTAATCTATCCCCATTTGCCGCAAACCAAGCATTTATTTTGCCAGTCACCTCAATGGCAATTTGACTATAAGATTTTGATTCCATGCAAAAGTTTTTAATAATAATTTGTCTGAAGATTTATTAAGCAAGTTCATTTAGGTATTCCACATTTCTATTTCTCTCGCTCTCTCTTGTTACTTTGTCAGCCTAGTTGCACTCACTTTTGTGATCTTTCTGGGCAGTTCAGACTACTTTGTGATTTATTATTATTGTCTCTACTGATCTGCTCTTTTGTAGATGTGCAGCCTCAAGGCAATATTGCATGTGCTCAAAGGCTTACTCAAAGGTGTGGAGAATACATTGAGATCTTAGTGCCACACAAAGCAAAAAAAGACTTCTAGCCTAGTGTGTCTCTGTAATCAGATAATGCAACATCTTGAATAGCTCTTATATTAGTGAAGGTTTAATCATGTGCACAGGGTCTTAAAATCTTAAGAGAGCTTTGCTTGAAGCCATGAGGACATTTCCAGCACTTTCCATTCCTTTCCATCACAAGGCTTTTCAAATGAAAAGGAGATTCTGATCCATGTAGAAATCCTACCTGGAAGAACCAAAGACTTTTGATGTTGTTTGTCACCAAGCCCACTTTGATGTATGACAACCCTACAAATGGGAGACTTTCAGCTGCGCCCGTACCTTGGGAAGTCTGACTTGGCCACGGTAGTCCACGCTCTTGTCACATCCCGCCTAGACTACTGCAACGCTCTCTACGTGGGGCTGCCCTTGAAGACGGCCCGGAAACTGCAACTAGTCCAACGCGCGGCAGCCATGATTCTAACAGGAGCGGAGCACAGGGAGCACACAACCCCCCTGTTGCACCAGCTCCACTGGCTGCCGATTTACTACCGGGCCCAATTCAAGGTGTTGGTACTGGCCTATAAAGCCCTAAACGGTTCCGGCCCAAGATACCTATCTGACCGCATCTCGGCCTATGAACCCAGCCGGACTTTGAGATCTTCCGGGGAGGCCCTGCTCTCGATCCCGCCGGCCTCTCAAGCACGGTTGGCAGGGACGAGGGATAGGGCCTTCTCGGTGGTGGCTCCTCGGCTGTGGAACGCCCTTCCTGTAGACGTTAGGCTGGCACCATCGCTCATGACATTCCGTAGAAAGCTCAAGACCTGGATGTTTGTGCAGGCGTTTGAGTAATTCAGTGCAAGTGTGGTAATGTGAACATAGGAACGGAACAATGACGACGAATTTGGATCATGTTTGGATGATGAGGCGATCGGGGGATGGGATTTGTGATAATTGTGTATTGTTGATTGTTTATTAGCTATTAATGGAACTGTGTAATTTAACTGTTGTATATTGATTATTGCTGTTTTTATTGTCTTTGCTGTTTGGAAACCGCTGTGAGTCGCCCTCGGGCTTGAGATACAGCGGTATACAAGAATAGTAAATAATAAATAAGATCCCTGATCATCAACAGTCTTGGTCATTGTATTGTCAAAGGCTTTCATGGCCAGAATCACTGGGTTGTTGTGGGTTTTCAGAGTTGTATGGCCATGCTCCAGAAGTATTCTCTCCTGATGTTTTGCCTGCATCTATGGCAGGCAACCTCAGAGGCTGTGAGGTCAGTTGGAAACTAGGAAAATGGGGTTTAAATATATCTGTGGAATGTCAGGGTGGGAGTAAGAACGCCAGGAGAGAATGCTTCGGGAACATGGCCATACAGCCCGGAAAACTCACAACAACCCAGTCTTGCTCACATCTTGCAAACTCAGTAAGATGGCTTCCTTTGTTTCTGAGTGTAACCATAAAAGTGTATCACTTGGTAGATTTATTGGATACTAGCCATCCCCTGTAATGCATTGCTGTGGCCCAGTCTGTGTATATATGTTTTGTGCGCATATATATGTGTGTATATGTGTGCTTACACACACACATACACATATATGCACAAACACACATAGGTTTTGCACATGCATTGTAATGTATTTTTTTTTATTTTTTGGCTATTTAAGTCCCTTCAGCTGTGTTTTTCAATGTTTTTATGAGTGATGGTCACTCGTTGGCCTGATAAGTGTATTGTGTCCAGGCCCATAGCCAGGATTTTGATTCGGGGGGGGGGGGGGGGGGGGGAAGCTGAGTCTGAGTGAAAGAGGGTCTATCCTAGCAAACCTTTTGTATCGTTACCCCAATACCCCCATGCATATGAGATATATTGAGCATGGTATGATCATGATATGAATAAACATAATGTACCAGTAAGGCCTTTTCGCAGACCACCATGAGAATATGGGGGGCGGGGGGCTGAAACCTGATTGTGTCCAAATTTGGTGTCAATTCATCCAATGGTTTTTGAGTTATGTTAATCTCACAAACAAACATTACATTTTTATTTATATAGATTTGTGGGATTATGTTTTTGGTTACAACTTCTGTTGTTTCATTCATTATCCATACTATTTGGGGATGGTTGGAGTTGAAATCCAAAACACCTGGAAGGCATTGGATCAGAAAGACATTGACCGTTTAAACAATAACTTCCTGATCTTCTAACTTGTTATTTTCCATTTTGATGTGAAAATCCAAATACTACCAAAATTCAAGTTGCAGTAAAAGGTGAGGATGAAAGTGAGGATGGAGAAATGTTTGATGTACTGAATGTACATTTTGGCTCTTTTCCACAGGGCTCTTGATGTGTTGCACCGTTAGCATGCTCAATGCTGTTTTTCACCCTGGAGTGTGCACCTTCTCCAGTTCCATCGTACCTCTACTGTCCCCTTTACTGGTGGCATGGATGTCTTCCCTACGGTTGACCTCTTCTGGATGCTGATACTGACTGTCCCAGTTCTAGTGGTTCTGCTTGTGCTTTGTATTGACTGCCGGGACACTGAATTAGACAGTTAAGTCTTTTCTACCCTCTTTCCATTTCAGCACCCACCCTGAATATTACTATTACTAAGGCGGGGGGGGGGGGGATCTGATTTCTCTGGTCATCCTGGGTTATGCACAAACATATAATCTCACTGGTATGTGTATCTTTCTTTCAACAGCACCACCAATTGGTGATTATGAAGACAAGTAAGTCCATGTCTTGTCTAACTTAATTTGGGGCAAAGTATGGTTGGGTTGGGCAACAAAGATGTTTGTGTCTGTGTTGTTGTAGGTTTTTCGGGCTATATGGCCATGTTCTAGAAGCATTCTCTCCTGATGTTTCACCTGCATTTGTGACAGGCATCTTCAGAGGTTGTAAGGTCTGTTGGAAGCAGTTTATATATCTGTTTAATGTCCAGGTTGGGAGAAAGAACTCTTGTCTGTTGGAGCTAGGTGTGAATGTTTCATTTGATGGCCTGACAGTTTTTAGGTGTGGCTTGTTAGTACCTGGGGGAATCCTTTGATGAAAGGTGATTAGCTGTTCCTGGTTGTTTCTTGCCTGGAGTTCCCTTGTGTTTGAGTGTTATTCTTTATTTGCTGTTGTAGTTTTAGAATTTTTTAAATACTGGTAGCCAGATCTTGTTCATTTTCATGGTTTCTTCCTTTCTGTTGAAACTGTTCACTTGCTTGTGGATTTTCCTAGTTTCCAACAGACCTCACAATCTATGAGGATGCCTGCTATAGATGCAGGCGAAACATCAGGAGAGAATGCTTCTAGAACATTGCCATATAGCCTGAAAAATCTACAACAACTCAGTGATTCTGGCCATGAAAGCCTTTGACAATACAAGTTTGTGTCTGCTTCTAAAACATTCTCTTCTGCAACTCTAGTGGTTAAACAATTGGAGTACAGCTCTTGAAAGCACCCACTTATGCGTGATTCTTGGAGGTGTTGAAAAAAGTAACACTGCCAAGTTTGAATCCAACATAGACGGAGTTCAGCAGACTGGGAAGACTGATAGAGACAATACTTGGCCAGATGAACCTCTAGTTTGGTGGTCTCTATCTAAGGCTATTTTGTGTGTTGGACAGTTTTCCAGATTGTCTGGACTTCTTGAATTACGTTTGGGAATGTTCCAACATGCTTGGATAGACCGTGATTTGAATTGTGTCTTGCTCTAAGTCAGAATTATAGGGCTATTCTGATACTACTACACCCAAAATTCTGGAATGGAAAGAGATTCTGAAGTGAAGTTGGCTAGTGGTGTTTAGCATGGGTGGGGAAATCTCAGGGGTTCGGGATGCCTTGGTCCCCCACCACAATGATTTTGGATGGCTGCATTTCCAGCCAAAAGACATCAAAATTTTCCCCAAACTGACCTAAATATAATCCGGGGAGGGGGGGGGGAGTGTATTTTTTAATTTACGATATTTCTATCCTGCCTTTCTCAAGTCCGACAGTGACTCAAGGAAGCTTACAAATTGGCAGAATTTGATGCCATAACAATCCACAATATGCAATTAAAATATTTTAAACAGCATTATAAAATCAATATAAAATATATACAATACAAAAACCATTGGGAGCTCCCAGTGGCACAGTGGGTTAAACCACTGAGCTGCTAAACTTGTTGACTGAAAGGTTGCAGGTTCAAATCCGGGCAGTGGCGTGAGCTTCGCTGTCAGCCCAGCTTCTGCCAACCTAGCCGTTTGAAAACATGCAAATGTGAGTAGATAAATAGATGGGAAGGTAACGGTGCTCCATGCAGTCATGCCAGCCACATGACCTTGGAGGTGTCTACGGACAACACTGGCTCTTCGGCTTAGAAATGGAGATGAGCACCAATCCCCAGAGTCAGGCACGACTGGACTTAATGTCAGGGGAAAATCTTTACTTTTACCTTTATCTTGCAAAAACCATTAAAAACATATAATAACTAATGTCTCCCTGTTTATCTCACTTTCCAGTAGCATTGTCCAAGCCGTTCCATGTTTCAAACGTACATAATTCCGTGTTTGTCTGTTGTACTGCATTTCCAAAGGCTTGTTTAGAGTCAGGTTTTTACTGGGTTTTTACTGTGTTAGAGATTGACCATAAACGGACTGCACTTTTCCTACTTCTGATTTAGGAGTTGACCAATTCTATAAATCATGCCTGTTTTACTTCCTGGGGCTTGGACTCATTCATTCTTATTTCCACAGGCCACCAACTACTTCCCGTCCTCAGACATTCAGGGTGTTGAGGCGTCCTCCCTGTGAGTAGTTGTCGGTTCTTTCTTGTTTCGAAACTGATCTTACTTCTCCTGTCTGCTTCCTGTTCCTCCCTGCTTTCAAATACTGGGGAGGTGATACAGCCATGAGGCAGTCCATCCCAGGAATTGGTAGACCCTTGGCTAAGATCATAACATTTCTGACCCTCATTATGCAGCCTTATTAAGGTTCCAGCCTTCAGATATCACTCAATAGAAAATTCAAACCATATTTTTCCATATCCGAATGTATTCTCTAGGAGAACAATCCAACCTTGAAGGATCAATATGTGCTTTCCTTTCCTCCACACCATGCTAAAGAAGAATGATAGCAGAATAGCATATAACATAGTGATTCCAGATGCTAGTCCTTCAGGAGTTTTGGACTTCAAACCTTCAGCCCTATGTGGGATTTTATTACTAGTAGTCCTTCAAAAAGGGGGGAAAATTCCTACCACATAGATACAAGGGAAGAAGCTGAGAATTCTACCCCCTTGTTGAAGTCTTCGGTATGTGGACGAATTCTGCTTGTTAAATATAAAAAGGATATTCTATCTTGGTCAATAATTAGGGATTCTAGGAGCCCCCAGAGGCACAGTGTGTTAAAGCGCCGAGCTGCTGAACTTGCTGATTGAAAGGTCGCAGGTTCAAATCCAGGGAGCGGCGTGAGTTCCCGCTGTTAGTCACAGCTTCTGCCCACTTAGCAGTTTGAAAACATGAAAATGTGAGTAGATAAATAGGTACCACTCCAGCGGGAAGGTATCGGTGCTCCATGCAGTCATGCTGGCCACATGATCTTGGAGGTGTCTAGGGACAGCGCCGGCTCTTTGACCTAGAAATAGAGATGAGCACCAACCCCCAGAGTTGTACACGACTTGTACACGACATGTCAGGGGGAAACCTTTATCTTTACTACTAGGAGCTAGAAGTCCCAAACACGTGGAAAACTTGAGTTTGGGAACATGCTGAATTACAGCATCAGTTATAGGAAATGCACTTTTAAAATATGGGTATGAGTCAAGATTTGGTTGCCACTTAAACTTGTGGCAATCTCTCCTTGAATCACCACCTTAGGCGTTCACTCACCGCACAAAGTTGTAAACACCGGCTTATCATGCATCACAGCCACCCCTTGTGCAGTGTACAGTTATAGTATTATGATTATAATCTAACTGCCATGGCTACTTTTTATCAAGTCCTGGGCTGTGTAGTTTTGTGATGCACTAGAACTCTCTGGCTAAAAACTCTAAATATCCTTCTCTAAACTACATCTTGGAGCAGTGGTGGTGCAGCGGGTTAAACTGCTAAGATGTACACCTTGCTGATCAGAAGGTTGGAAAGTAAAGGGAAATATAAAGAAAGTGAGGAAATAATAAAACACATGATAGATTATATTAACGAAAGAAAAAGTTACTATATGACGGGCCAAAGGAGGAGGACATGGGAAGCAAAATGGAAGGGTCTCATAAAGAGAATAAAGGGGAAATATAAATATATGGTGTTAAATAAGACTATTCTCATGATTGAACAATTGTAATAAACAAAGCAAAAGTACTTAACTGTTCCTGGGCAGGGCGGGGGGTTGTGATGGTGGTGGGATTGGGAAAAATACTGGTAATTTGAATGTTAATTTCAAAGATGGTATGTTTCTATGTATTATACAATAAAAAAATAAAAAAGATCAGAAGGTTGGCTGTTCAAATCCGCAGACAGGGTGAACTGCTGTTAGCCCCAGCTTCTGCCAACCTAGCAGTTCGAAAACATGTAAATGTGGGTAAATCAATAGGTACTGCTTTAGCAGGACTCCATGCAGTCATGCTGGCCACATGACCTAGGAGGTGTCTATGGACAACACCAGCTCTTCGGCTTAGAAATGGAGATGAGCACCACCCCACAGGATTGGACATGACTAGACTTAATGTCAATGGGAAACCTTTACCTTTAAACTACATCTCACAGAATTCCATAGGATGGAACCATGGCAGCTAAAGTGGAATCAAGTGCTAAAGCTCTACAAGAACTCGAGTTTATTGCTTGATCAGTTTCTACTATTTTCTCTGTATATCTAAAACAGGAGTAGGAACTGTGAAATTCTCCAGATGTTTTTGGATGACAACTCCGAACAGCCCTAGCCAATACAGCCAATCAGTGCTGGGAGTTGCAACATCTCAAGAGCCTCATGATCTTTCACTGCTGTTCTAGGCTCTTAGACTGTTATCTTCATAATTGGTGGCAGTGAGCAGATATAAGTTTTGATATAATTCATAACAAATGTAAAGATGTTGAGAGACTAACATGATATAGTGGCTTAAATGTTAGACTATGATACTGGAAACCAGGGTTCAATATCTCACCTGGCCATGGTAAGCCGTTGGGTGACATTGGACACATGATACCCAATTTTTGATCACAAAACTCAGTCTCCACTCACATAGTTTCTGTCTTCTCCCAACAATCCTTTCTGCCTTTCGCAGAAGTCAGTCCCTATCGAAAAATCTCTTCCTGTCTTCACCACATCAGTCCTTGAGCATTTCCTTCCTCTCACATTCTCAGCCCATCTGCAGAATCATTCTCCATCATGCTTTCTGTATCTCTCACTCAGTCTTCCTTCACATCTTAAGTACACATGCAACGTGCCTTTCTTCTTATTGTTGTGTGCCTTCAAGTCATTTTGACATGTAATAGTCTCGCTTATCCAACATAAACGGGCCGGCAGAGTGGAAATATTGGATAATAAGGAGGGATTAAGGAAAAGCCTATTAAACGTCAAATTACATTATAATTTTGCTAATTAAGCATCAAAACATCATGTTTTACAACAAATTGACAGAAAAAGCAGTTCAATGCATGGTAATGTTATGTAGTAATTACCGTATTTACTAATTTTTCACCAAAACATCGTAATGTATTGAAACAGCTGTGAATCTGGGCGGGAGGCAGACTGCGTTGGATAATACAGAAAATTGGATGAGTGAAGTTTGGATAAGCAAGACTCTATTGTATCACAGTGTTTTTGGAAAGATTGTATTTGCTTTCCTCTGAAAGACTTCTTTAGGGCTAAAAGTCTGGACAATATTTTCTCTAAACCAGGAATAAAAAAAAATACAGACTACCAGATAATATTGAACTATAAATCCCACAGTTCCCCACTATTGTTTGCACTGACAAAGGGCAGCTGAGAGTTGTAACCCAACAGCAACTTTTATTTATTTATTTACATTTATTTACAGTATTTATATTCCGCCCTTCTCACCCCACAGGGGACTCAGGGAGGATTACAATGTACATATACATGGCAAACATTCAATGCCATATACACACAACATATATAGACAGACACACAGAGGCTATTTAACTTTCCAGGTTTCATGAGAGTATTCTGGCCACCAGAGGAGCTGTTGCTTCACCGTCCATTTGTGACATTTCTTTTTTGCTTGCTTGCTGGAGATTTTATGGCATCGTAAATTAGTTAAGGATACTAGAGACAAAGTTGAAGTACTTTGGTCACATCATGAGGAGACAGCAAAGCCTAGAGAAGACAATTATGCTGGGGAAAGTGGAAGGCAAAAGGAAGAGGGGCCGACCAAGGGCAAGATGGATGGATGGCATCCTTGAAGTGACTGGACTGACCTTGAAGGAGCTGGGGGTGGTGACAGCCGATGGGGAGCTCTGGCGTGGGCTGGTCCAGAGTCAGAGACGACTGAACGAATGAACAACAACAAAAACAAATTAGTTAAATTAGCCTCCCTGCATAAGCGGTACCTAAATTTCCTACTTGACAGATGCAACTGTCTTTCGGGCTGCAAAGGTCAGCAGCAAGCTACACAAAGGTTGGAAGCTCACTCTAACCAGGGCTGGCTTTGAACTCACGACTTTTCGGTCAGTAGTGATCTTAATGCAGCTGACTCCCAGCCAGCTGCAGCCACAGTCCCGGTGCAACTTGAAGGCTGCATGTTTCCCACTTCTACCCTAAACCTTTCCCAGCTTAATTCCTAGCTTTCGGCCATAAAGCCAGCCCTGGCAGGACTTTCTGCTTCTGATCTATTACTTAAACGTAATGTAATGTTGGCTGGAAACAATTGTTCCTTCAAGCCAGGCTCCTGTTCCTGCTTCTGTTAGCCTCCACGGTGAGCAAGAAGTGGGGATTTTGCCCTGTTCTGTTCATGACGGTTCTCTTCTCTTTTGATTTTCCAGCTCCACCTTGGTTTACAATCCAGTCCCAACCAGACCTGAGCAGGTGAGAAACTTGTCGAACATCAGACCTTCCCACAACTCTGTATGATCACATAAGTTCTTATATCCTTTGGCTGAGCTTTACCCTCCACTGTCTTTGTTTTGCCTACGCAAGCAAGCAAATCTTTTCTGTGTAAAGGCAGTACCCGGGTTACAGACAAGACAGGTTCTGTAAGTTTGTTGTTATGCTTAATTTCTATGTAAGTCGGAACAAGAACATTTTTAAGTGTCACTCCAGCCAATTATGTTGTATGCATGCTTTAGATAGCATAGGGAAGAGTTAGTACTCCTGTGGTGTTTGTTTTGTTGTCTGTGCTTCTGTTCAGAAGATTTCACCTCACTTTCCGTGCCTGTGGCAATTTTTTTTTAATTTTTTAAAAATTGGTTTGTTGTGGAAACAAGAATTGGTGATAAAGCTTCTGTTGAGACCCTTTCCCCCCATGATAACTCTTTCAGGAGTTAATTTCCCTTCCAAGGGATAGATATCTCACTCTTCCTGTTGTCTCACCCCGTTCCTAACTATGAGTCGAATGTTTGCAACTCGAGGACAGCCTGTATTGATATCAGGATATTGGTCTCATCTAGCAAGACTTAACAACCATGCTTTCAAAATGAAATATAGATTGAACATCTCTTATCCAGAATGCCAAAATCTGAAATGGTCCACTTGGGAGGCCAATATAGTGATACTTTTGCTTCCCAATGGTGAGTTCCCGCTATTAGCCTCAGCTTCTGCCAACTTAGCAGTTCAAAAACATGCAAATGTGAGTAGATCAATAGGTACCGCTTCAGTGGGAAGGTAATGGTGCTCCATGCAGTCATGCTGGCCACGTGATCTTGGAGGCGTCTACGAACAACACTAGCTCTTTGGCCTAGAAATGGTGATGAGCACCACCCTCCAGAGTCAGACTTGACTAGACTTAATGTCAAGGGGAAACCTTTACCTTTACTATGTATAAAACATAAATTAATTTTGTGTTTTAGACCTAAGTCCAATTTCCAAGATATCTCACATATACCAAGATATATGTATATAATGAGATATTATATATGGTGCAGTGGCACAGCAGGTTAAATTGCTAAGCTGCAAAACTTGCTGACCAAAAGGTTGGCAGTTCAAATCAATGGGACGAGGTGAGCTCCTGTTGCTAGCCCCAGCTTCTGCCAACCTAGCAGTTTGAAAACATGCAAGTGTGAGTAGATCAATAGGTGCTGTTTCAGCAGGAAGGTAACGGTGCCCCATGCAGTCATGCTGGCTACATGATCTAGGAGGTGTATATGCACAACGCTGACTCTTCGGCCTAGAAATGGAGATGAACATTATCCCCTAGAGTCAGACTTGACTAGGGGAAACCTTTACCTTTACTAAATATATGTTTTCCAAAATCTGGAGCGGGGGGGGGGGGGATCTGTCTTTTCAGACAAGATGAGATTTGACCTGTAAAACTAACCCAATTTCAATGAAGATACATAGTAGGCTTGGTTGATCAAGAAAAAAATGGTTCTAAACTCATTTCGTATGAGCTGCAGGTTCGATTTTTAAATTATTTATGAAATTTTCTTTTAAAAAAGATCGAAATTACCAGGAAATATGAATCGTTTCGTTTTGTTTGTTTCGTTAATGGAAGGTGCCCTTCCCTCCCCCCAGAACCATTAAAATCTCACAGTTTCCCTTCCATCACTTGCGGCAGAAGGGAGAGGTGGATGTGGCCAAGCAAGCTCCTTGGAGGTCTCGCCCCCCAAAGTGTTAGTTTTTAAATCTCTCACCTTTCTTTCTCTTCCCTGGCAAGCTGTCCAAGGGAGAGGTGGGCGTGGCCAAGGACAGAGCTCCTCGGAGGCCTCGCCCCCAGCCACCTCAGAGTGAGCGCTGTGCTTGGCCACGCCCACCTCCATCCTCTTTGCATCGGCGGCTTTGCGAGGTGGGCGTGGCTACGCCCAGCTCTTCCGCATCACTGCTTGTCGCCAGGGAGGTAGTCACGCCCACCTCGCAAAGCCACCGATGCAAAGAGGAAGGAGGTGGGCGTGGGTAAGAACAGTTGTTCCTAAAGGCCACGCCCCCAGCATTTACAATTCACTGGTGCAAGTCATAAGGAAGATGGGGGCGTGGCTTCGATATGGCAAAAACACTTCCGGGTTGCCAAAATGCGTCAATATCGCTTCTAAAGGTCTTAAAATAATGAATTAATAACGAATTAAGAAATTAACGAACTGGATCAACCAAGTCTAATACATACCATCATATAGCTTTGCAATTCTGAACTGCAATGTGCAATCCACATCTATCAAGGACCACTGGTGCATATAGTACAAAAATGTAACTTTTCGAAGCTCTGTCCCCATCTGCGCCTTGTCGGATGAAGAGTTCTTTGGGCCTTTTCACGCAAGCACTAATCCCCATTTTCTCCTCCTTTGCTCATAGCAGATGCCCTCCATATAGTTTCACCAATCAATCGACTTCAATAAAAAACGAAGCAGATAATGGTGAGTTGTGTGAAACCAACAAAGCAGGAGGAGGGGTGTGTGTGAAATCTTAGACTGAAGCAAGCATGCAAAAGTGACTTTTTTCCTATATAGATACCTACAGTATGATCTTCATGTTGTTATTCAACCTCTCAAGTATCACTAGTACTGGGCTTTAATCACATAAAGCTGATAATTCACAATTATAGAGAAAATTACAGAGGGGTGCAGCAGTTATTGTGTCCATACTGAAATGGCAGGAAATAGGTTTTGAGGAAAGGGAGAGGCAAAGAGAGGTCCTGGCGGTCTGAAAAAAGCACGGCTTTATTTATCCAGCTGGGGCCCTGGTGGACTCCCGTCCCAAAAGCAAACCAGAGCACCCGATCAAGGGGCTGACTGCCTTTTATAGTCTCCAATCAGAGTTAAACAAAGAAACATGCTAGTACATACAATTAAGTCATTCCTACGTCATCTTGGCATCAAATTCTATCTCCTAACATGCAAAGCATGTCTGTGTTTCTAGGAGCAGCTTACATCCATCAAGGAGCCCACTCTGACCTGTCAGAGGTGCTCCTTAGTACCAGTCCGTTGCTCCTATCATGGGCTTCTCGGATAGGCTTATCTCTCTTCCCTGGAATGTCCCCCCTCCCTCTTGCTATGCAGTTTGGCTTGTCCTGTTAGCTTGGGTTTCTTTCTATACACAGAGAGAACTAGATTTTTCTATATTTAAAGTACATATGATTTTATGCATAAATCAATCAATAAATATCTATTTTTCCAATATCTCCTCATCAATACCAATATATTTCTGTTTGTTTCAACAATGAGACCACAGGCCAGTGTGATAAATTACATAGTAATTACATAGCAGGAATTGGAGCCATTTGATAAACTTGGAGAAACTTGGCGGCCTTAATCACTCACTTTCTTTTCTCTCCCCAGTCCCACCTTTTCATGTATTTCTTTCTTTTCAGAAAGTATGCCCAGTTATGAAAATGAAGGTGAGTTGCAACTCGAGATCTGCTCTATCCTTCCTCTATGAAAAAAATGCATCTTGGTTCAGTAGTAGAAGCCTCTGCTGTAATATACTCCTGGGTTGGTCATGATGAGCAGTCATATGATCAGAGTTTAATATGAGGCTGTTGCAATTTGAACGGCTCCAAAAACTGTGAACATATTTTCTATCTTTGTACTTCCAGAACCACCTGATGATGAAGAAAACTATGTCCCTGGGTACATGTAAGTCTTGGGAATCAGGGTCAAGCTTATTTTGGTCAATATAATTCAGACATTTCTAACCACAGTTTTTCAGATGTTGTTTTGAATAGAACTCCCGTTGTCCTTGGCCATCACGGCTCACAGTCATGAGTGGTAGTAGCTGTAGTCAGACACCATCTAGGAACCTCTGACATAATGGGTTATGTAGGAGATGCATTGATACAAATTTGATATTTTCTATCAATGGATGGGGTGCATCTAAATGACACAATTGTAGCACTTTTGATATCATTTCCTGCTGTAGCTTTATCCCATGAACCCTTGGGATCTGTAGTTTTCCCAATGTACTTTGTGTTGTAGCTCAGCCTCAGCCAGAGGTTGATGTTGGGTTCACTGATGATTCAGAAGGGATTGTGGGATTTCCTGGGGTTCAAAGTGATGCAGATTCAGGCCGAGCTCCAAGGTCAATCGCAGGAGCCAGAAACAACATCATTTGATAAGAGTTCAAGGTAAGAAAAATTAAGTGAAACAGAAAACTCTCAAGGGAAAGCACCTGGTGTTATGGAAATAAGCCAAAATCTTTGTTTACAGTTCGGAGCAGAGAATCAGCTCTGAGAGTACGTGAGAAAGAGATAGAGAAAATGTATGGAAAGCAACATGATTTCATGAATGGTTGTTAACAACCAGTTGTTTACCTTATAGTTAGTTCAGGCAACATTGGTTCTCGAGGAAGAAGTTAGGCCTGAGTTCTTGTGTCAAGTTCTGGTTTTGGATTTAAGTATCCTGGAAGTTTTCTATATTCTTGGTTTATGATTCTTGCTCAAGTTTTTCTAAGTATACCTTTTGTTTATGGATTTATGCTATACTTGCGAGTTTTGGCTATTCCTCTCCTTTCTAATTTCCTGCTTTTTCGTGTATTTTTATGGTGTCTTTTTCATATATTTTACGTGCGTTTTAAAAATAAATAAATTGTGTGGTGCTGTGGTCATAGGTGGCTCAGGCCTGGGGTGCAGTACTTTGCACCCCAGGCCTGTAATTGAACTGTAATTGAAGGACTAAACCATTCTTCCATCTCTTCCAACCTCACCAGCTTGGTTCTTCCTGATGTTCCGATTACAGATCAGAGAAATGAGGATCACGCTTCCTCGGGTAGGTCCCTCAACCCTGATACCTTAAAAACGTTTTTGTCTGCTTCTCTTCCCCTAATTTGATAATGAGTCCTGCCCTTACTAGAGATGACAAATGCAGTCACACAGGAGATAGATTATTCCTACTTCTTTCCCACTGTTTAAAACATCAACACCCAGAAAGAAAAGCTTGTCCCTTATAATAAGGGACTACATCTAACCCTATAAAATGTCCTCTATTTGAGGATTGGAAATCCCTTTTATATAGACCCAACACAGTCTCACCTAAACTTGTATTTTGGCATGTTGGGTGCTCATAAAAACAGAAATGTGTGCATCGTGGAATTTAGGAATGTGGACAATATGTTAATTTTACAGAGAAATGCAAGCTAGATGAACTGAAATTAGTATTTTCATTCGCTATTTAGACAGAACACAAACTTTTTAATAGCCGCAGTACTTCCATTGTGTATGTCTCTTATTCCTGTTTTGTCTATTCTTTATTGCTGTTTTGAAATCCTGATAATACTAGGTAGGTAAGGTAAAAAAAAACCTTTTACCTTTTGGGTTGTTGTAGGTTTTTTCAGGCTATATGGCCATGTTCTAGAGGCATTTTCTCCTGATGTTTCGCCTGCATCTATGGCAAGCATCCTCAGAGGTAGAGAAGCAGACCTCACTACCTCTGAGGATGCTTGCCATAGATGCAGGCAAAATATCAGGAGAAAATGCCTCTAGAACATGGCCATATAGCCCAAAAACACCTACAACAACCCAGTGATTCCGGTCATGAAAGCCTTCGACAATACTTTAACCTTTTATTGTTGTTTTGAAATCCTGATAATACTAGCCCAACATAAAAATCTTATTACAAAAACATACTTGGAATCACAAATATGCCTTCTTGTATTGAGTACATCAGTCCTTTTGTACCCATTTTCCCCCCATGTAGATTCCATTATGGATCAGTACGAGAATATGCCAGAATCTCAGCGGCATTCAATTGGTAAGTGAGAAGGTAGTGGATGAATGTGGCGAGTGTGGCTGGCTGAAAGGGCAGAAGATGCTGAGATGTCTGTACAAGACTGTGGAAGGAGAGGACAGCAGGCAGAGATTATTCAAGCCCATGGATTCATTCTCTAGTGCAGTGTTTCTCAACCTTCCTAATGCTGTGACCCCCTAATACAGTTCCTCATGTTGTGGTGGCCCTCAACCATAAATTTATTTTCATTGCTACTTCATAACTGTAATTTTGTTACTGTTAGGAACCGTAATGTAAATTTCTGATATGCAGGATGTATTTTCAGTCACTGGACCAAATTTGGCACAAATACCCCATACACCCACATTTGAATATTGGTGGGGTTGKCTCAGGATTGATTTTGTCATTTGGGCGTTGTAGTTRCTGGGATATGTACTTAACCTACAATCAAAGAGGATTCTGAACTCCACCAACGATGGAAYTGAACCAAACTTGGCACACAGAACTCCCATGACCAACAGAAAATACCGGAAGGGTTTGGTGGGCAYTGACCTTGAKTTTTGGAGTTGTAGTTTACCTATATCCAGAGAGCACCGTGATGGATCTGGAMCAAACTTGGCATKAATACTCAATATGGCCAGATGTGAACACTGGTGGAATTTGGGGAAAATAGACCTTGACATCTGGGAGTTGTAGTTRCTGGGATTTATAGGCCACCTACAAACARAGAGCCTTCTGAACCCCACCAATGATAGAATTGGGCCAAAYTTCCCACACAGAATCCCCATGAGYAACATAAGATACTGTGTTTTCTGATGGCCTATGGTGACCCCCTTGCGACCCCCCCAYGGATCCCGACCCCCAGGTTGAGAAACACTGCTCTAGTGTGATGAGATCCCTAAAGTCAGCCGACTTATAGTAACCTTCTTATAGTAACCTTCTTATAGTGACACCAGAGGCACTCCAAGTGGCCAGCTACTGRTCAAAGGACATTTAATCAACTACCAAGCTTGCAAACTTTGTGTTTTGTTTGTCTGTTTATTTGTTTGTTAAAAAATACAATGCAACTGTTTGGTCTGCCCCTGACATGATAAATAAATAGCTGACTAATTCTGGCATAAGGGATAGAAGATCCTCCAGTTGCTTTTCACCACTCCACAGTAAATACAGTGAGAAAGTATATCTCCAAAAGTGACTTACCTTTCATCAGAACCCCCCAAATCTGGAGCCACTCAACCCTGCATAATGAGAGGGTCCGCCTTGTTTCGCAGTAGTATTGGGGAAGGCGGGGTTCTGATGCATTTATATAGGAGAGACCGTCCCCTGATACTAGGAGAGTGACAGTGTGCAAATAACAAACAATAATAATAAATGGAAATAGGTTCTGTTAATAGTTATACATACAAGACATTTTACTCAAGATAAGATAATGACCTGGTGACCAGAGTGCCAGCTCATTCTGCCAACTGAATGCTAATGTTAGACAAGTAACTTCAAGGCTCTTGTCCTGTCTTCATATGTTATTTTGAAACCCAGTTTGAGCTGGATGCCTTTCAATAAGTAGGAGCCCTTTAAATAAGATTGTCTGAACAGAGGGCTATGCAGTACAATACAAGATACGTGGCTGCCCTACATGGTGGTTCTTGCCTTAGAAAAAGCAAGGGATGAGGGACAATAAAACTCATTTGCCAAAATCTTGGGTCCCTTGACACTTGGACAATTGCTAGTGAGAGTCCAAACTTCTACAATGAGCCAATTTGGGGGAAATTGCTGTATGCCTTTCTGACTTTACTTTTGTATGGAGTGGGGATTTTTGCTGTAACTTGATTTTAATGCAACTAATCTATCTTCTTTTTCCCAAAGGTGAATACGTCAATGTATTAGGACCAGAGGCAACTATCCTAGAACCTTGTTTCTGTGAGTAATGACAGCCTATAGTCTGGACTGGAGAGGAAGTATTTGCTTTCAGCCAAACAGTGGGTCCCTCACATTTGCTGGAGTTATGGGCAGAGGACCCCCACAAAAATGCGAAAGTGGCAAATTTTTAATTTTTTTTTAAAAAAACTCTTGTTTATGAATCTCTAGATCCTCTAGCTCAACTCTGTGATCTTTTTCCACTGGAATCTGACCTTGGAGTTGCACCGGAAGACCTACAGAATCCTAGACAAAATATATGAATCAAATCCATTAATAATCAAATCTGCAAAAGTTAAACATAGAATCATAGAGTTGGTAGAAACCTCGTGGGCCATCCAGTCCAACTCCCTGCCAAGAAGCAGGACAATCACATTCAAAGCACCCCCAACAGATGGCCATCCAGCCTCTGTTTAAAAGCCTCCATAGAAGGAGCCTCCACCATACTTCGGGGTAGAGAGTTCCACTGCTGAACAGCTCTCACAGTCAGAAAGTTCTTCCTAATGCACATGTGGAGGGGAGGTATACTTCCTTTTTCCTGTTATAATAATGTTATCTTTTTTCTGGTTTACTATTGTAACCTCATTATCGTAACCCATTTTCCAGCGGTTGGTGCCAGCGATTGCACTAGTGATCAAGAAAGTGACGACGACATCCCAGATTATGAGAATGTCTGTCCTGGATTTTAAGGTATTTCAATTCTGGAATAGGTGTAGGCTTGCCATTTGTGACAGATGACAACCTTGCAACCTGTGTGTGTTAGTGTCAGCAATGATCTTTGACACATTTTCCAGCATTAATAAGAAGGGTTCTGAACATGTATACAATCATAACGTCTTCTTTTTTTCTTCTTCTTTTCTAAAGCTTGAGGGATTGTTTCAAGACAGTTTACTTCAATGGCTCCGATCATCTGTGTGAAGCATGGATCTCCAATGACCCTGTTGGCCTGAAGACACCTTCTCCCCAGTTCCCCAAATGTGACCATAACTTATTGCTCTCCTTTGCACTTTGTCTGGACACATCCTGAGAATTTTCTATGATCCTTGTTGGCAAGATGAAGAGCTCGACAGTCATCTCCTCCTCCTCCCTTTTAATCCCCCCCAAACAATCTGGAGTTGTTTGATATTCTTAGTGAAATAAACAACAACAACAAACCAAGAATCCCTTCATCTTTTCACTTGATGCAAAACCAATATACAATTATGGAGAAGATGGGAAACTTGGGTTGATATAGGAAGAATCCACAAGATCTGCTGAAATGAATAACTGCAACATAATGAAGTATGTTGCAATATGTAGCTCAACACATCTGGAAAGTTGTTTTTTTCGTGTCAGGAGTGACTTGAGAAACTGCAAGTTGCTTCTGGTGTCAGAGAATTGGCCATCTTCAAGGATGTTGCCCAGGACATTTGATGTTTTGTCATCCTTGTGGGAGGCTTCTCTCATGTCCCCGCAATGGAGAGTTGGAGCTGACAGAGGGAGCTCATCCGTGCTCTCCCTGGATTCTGGAAAGTGACAAATAGGGAAAGCTGCTGTATATGATCTTTAGTACCGGAGACAGCATACTCTTGAATACTAAGCATTGTGGGACATGCTACTGCTTTTATATTATGTTTGTGGGTTCTCACAGGAATCTAGTTGTAGGAAGAGATGGTGGGATGTTGTAGGAAGGGATGATGGGTTAGATAGATTTGGGTAAGATCCAACCTGTCCATAGAGGAACTAGCAATCTACCATAAAGAGGACATTTATATCTTTTTAAACAAACACTTCTAATTGAAATATGCCTACAAGCAAATTAGTTCATACTGGGGTCTGAATAACTGTGTTCTCTACTAACACATGCTCCCTCTTCTGCCTGTTTGATGTAGCTGAAGATAGGCACATTTGTTGTAGTGAAGCACATCCTTCTTTACACACTTTCCTTTACACTTTACAGTACTCCTTGTCTACAAAACTAGTATATCCCACAACCAGTCAATGCCCCTGGAGACATGGACTGGGGAGGGGGATGACATCTTGTTATTTATCTTGGTTGCAGGATGTGCTCCTATTTTCTTACTTCTCCATTAAAATTCTAGAGTTTCCTAGCAGATGCTAGGTAGAAATGCACAGGAATAATAATAATAAAACCCCACAGATGTCACATGAAGTGGGGAGGAGGAGGAGGACTAATTAAGATTTATTTATTTATGACATTTATATCCCACCATTCTCACCCTGAAGGAGACTCAGGGCGGCTTACATGAGTGCCATTATTTCATACTCAAACAACAACAATTAAAAGCCAATTAAACAACAGTTTGAAACAACATTAAAGCAATATATGTAAACGTTAGACAACTATTGTTGTCTATCCAAAGCCAGATAATCATATTCATCAGTCCAATGCCAATTCCAATTGTATTGCACAGATAATTAGGCTGGGCCAAAAACTTGCTCCCAAAGCCAAGTTTTCACTTGTTTGCAAAATGACAGGAGGGAAAGGGCCGATCTAATTCCACTAGGGAGGGAGTTCCACAACCCAGGGGCCACCACTGAGAAGGCTCTGTCTCTCATCCCCACCAGTCGTGCCTGCATAGGTGGTGGGACTGAAAGTAGGGCCTCCCCAGAAGATCTTAACCTCCGGATGGTTCATAGAGGGAGATTCTAAATATGCTATTTAAATATACTATTTAAGATTTAAAATACTATTTAATAATAATAACAACAACGCTTTATTTATATTCCACCTTTCTGTCCAAGGGGACTCAGAGTGGATTACAGTATATAAGCAGACACAGGCAAACATTCAATGACTTGTTACATATGACATACAATGAGACCCAAATACACAGGCAAAGGTAAAGACTTTAATTTCACGGTGGGCAAGGAAGCACACGATGTTGAGAGATGTCTTGTATATGCTGTTTTTCAGTTCTCAAAACCTTCCCTTCTGTCATGGAGCACTGAAATAACAAATGACAAAAAGAGGAAAGTATGCTTAAACTTTTGTCCCTTCTCCAAGATTTATGGACATATATACACATACAGGTATCAGAACCTCTGAAAAAAAAGTCCAGTATCCAAATCAGGTCCAGTCCCAAGTATTTTGGATAAGGAAGCAAACCTGTACTGTATAGGCCAAGTCTTTTGTGTAGAGGTTGATGCCATATTGCTACCATCATGCCCGATCACTGTTTCCCAAAGCAGTTACTACCACCTCAAGAACAGAAAACAGAATGTGTACAGGAAAAGAGATTTAAAGATGGGCTTAAAGCTAACCTTAATAATTATGCCATAGATACTAAGAACTGGGAAGCCCTGGCCCTTGAGCGCTCTAACTGGAAGTCAGCTGTGACCAGCAGTGCTGTGGAACTCGAAGAGGCACTAAAGGGAGAAACATGCCAAGAGGCAGGCACGTCAAGCCAACCCTGACCAGGACCACTTTCCACCTGGAAACCAATATTCTCATTGCAGGAAAACATGCGGGTCAAGAATAGGACTCCACAGCCACCTACGTATCCAACACCAAGACATTGCGCTTGGAAGGCCATCATACTTGGACGGGGATTGCCTAAGTAAAATTGCTACCATCTTGGTTCATTTATATTTTCATCCTTGGAGGAGTATTCTTCCTAGAAGCTGACCAAAATATTTCACTGGAGAATCTGTCTAGAAATCCAGCATGACTGAAGGAAGTTGACTATAGAGTCACACTGGAAGACCTGTTAATTTCTATGGAGAACATTTTAATCAATGTGAAAAAACCATTCATTGAATAATAAAATCCACAAAAGCCAAAACAGAGAATGTGGAGGGATGACTTTATTTTGAATTTTATTCAATATGGAATATGCATGAGAAAACTGTTAATTTCTTGCTCAGCACTGAGGAAAATGATAAGTGGGCATACCAGAATTTAAACCATGATAGGCACAGTGCCAGGCAGACACCGACACCCCCGTTATCGTGGGATACCAGTGGGTATTTGCCATGCATGTTGATAATACAGATCAACACCCAACACCATTCCCACTTGACTTGTTGACTTTGATATAAGGCGCATCTACTAGTTCTAGAGGAGAGCTGAAGCCACTTGCAAAAAATGGACATCTTGTCATTGATCCTTCTTGCTGTCTTCTGCTGCCTTGGAAATGCCAGTGAGTTCTTGTTTAAAAAATAATTCCTGCTTGTATTCATGTTTGTGTTAAACAAGCTGTGCACTGTGTTTACTTGGGTTGCTACTGATTGCGTTTTGGTAAACCTCTAAATTTGAGAACTATTAGCCTTTTACAGCTTTAATAGCCACCCAGCCCCAGGTGGTGCAATGGATTAAACTCTTGTGCCGGCAGGACTGCTGACTGACAGGTCAGCAGTTTGAGTCTAGGGAGAGCTCCCTCTGTCAGCTCCAGCTCCCCATGCAGGGACATAAGAGAAGCCTACCCCAAGGATGGTAAAACATCAAACATCCGGGTGTAACCTGGGCAACGTCCTTGCAGATGGCCAATTCTCTCACACCAGAAGCAACTTGCAGTGTCTTAAATTGCTCCTGACACAAAAACAAACAACAAAAACCCCCCAAAGAAACAAAGAAAGGCACTCACAAAATATATTAGAGTGTCCGCTTTCAAGCTGGCATGCTTTGGATGTAGTGGACTACATTTCCCATCATTGGTCATATTACAACAACAATGGCGTTACGTGTAATATGACATTTCCCATCAATGTCATATACAAGTAACACCATTGTTTGTGACTCGTAGCATTTTATCCCTTGGGTTTCTTTTAATTCCAAAGCTACGTTGAAAAAGGGACAATGCTGGCTCTCATGCCTTTTTCTTTTCTACTTTTTCATGTGCCCTGATTAGCCAAGAAGCTCCATGTTCAGACAGGCCCTTCGCTGGTGAAAGCTGCAGTGGGGGATGATGTTTTGCTGGATTGCATGTTTACCATCAATGACACAACTCTGGACCACAGCCTTTTCTCAATCTTGTGGTTTCACCGGGGCAAACAGCTGGCAGAGTTTGATGACATGGTGACCGTGTTCAAGGAAGGCATCAGCCTGAATGAGGATGAACTGATGAAAGGCAATGCTTCCCTGGCCATCTTCCAGGTTTCGGCAGAAAGCTCTGGCAAATACAGATGTTATGTCACATATTTGCCAGAGGTTGTCATCAGGGAAGTGACTTTGCAAGTTGATGGTAAGAGAGCCAATAGTGGGTTGAGTGCGAGGGTACATTTAACAAATTAGGACAGGAAGCCCTTACACAGTAAGGATGCATCTGAACGGAAGAATTAATGTAGTTTGGCACCACTTTAACTGCCATGGCTCAATGCAATGGAATCCCAGGATTGCATAGCATTGGTGAGGAGCCCGTGCTTTTTGGCAGACCTTATAAATCTACAACTCACATGATTCTATAGCATTAAGCCATGGTAGTTGTCAGAAATATTAAAAATAAACTAGGTATTTTTAATTACAAAAATGTGAGTAAAGCACATTTTAAAGTAAGGATCCCCCGATGGTGCAATGGATTAAAACCCTTCTGCTGGCAGGACTGAAGACCGACAGGTCAGACGTTCGAATCCAGGAGGGTGCGGATGAGCTCCCTCTGTCAGCTCCAGCTCCCCATGCAGGGACATGAGAGCAGCCTCCCACAAGGATTGTAAAAGATCAAAACATCTGAGCATCCCCTGGGCAACGTCCTTGCAGACAGCCAATTTTCTCATACTGGAAGCAACTTGAAGTTTCTCAAGGCGCTCCTGACACACACAAAAAACCCTGAAAGGGTTAAATGGATGCAATGACTCTGCAAAAGCTGCAGTTCTATATAAACAGGTGTGCCTGTTGCTTAGTAACGCCTCAGTCTGAGAGAAGCCTGTGTGAGAGAACAGCCTCAGTGGGAGAAAGTCTGTGAGAGAAAGCCTCACAGTGTGAGGTAGACCTTAGTCTGTGGGAAGGCCTCACAGTGTGAGGTAAACCTTGGTATGAGAAGGCCTCATGTATGAAGTGGCAATGTGAAGGTTGAACTTTATTTGTGTCATGGAATCCTTTTTTCTTGTAAATAATGTAACTATATTATTTTGCTATAATAATATAGTTGGATAATAATAATAATATAGCCTCCAATAACAATAACAACAACAACAACAACAACAACAACAACAACAATAATATAGCCTCCTATGGAAGAGATAACATTGGTCTCTGTGTTTTTGTTCATTTTATCACTTTTGGCTACTGGTGCTGGGTCACGCTGCTGCTAATACGTTACTCTGCTGTGAATTTATGAGGAGGGTCTCTTGTTACTAAGACCACTCGTCCAACAGTAGTATCAAACTGCATTAATTCTACAGTGTGGATGTCCCCTTAGGCCCCTTTTACACTGCTATATAATCCAGATTACCAAAGCATCCAGATGATCTGCTTTGAACAGGATTATATAATTTTATTTATTTCATACATTTCTATCCCACCCTTCTCCCCACAAGGGGACTCAGAGCGGCCATTCCTATAAGTCTACTCTTCCATATAAGCCAGTTCAAAGCAGATAATCTGGATTTTATATGGCAGTGTAGAAGGGACCTTAGTGTGGAATATTGAGAAATAAAATTATCTTATCTCTCGGCGCACATGTGCCTGCGAGTGCTTGTTGATTTATGACAATCCAATGAATTTCATAGGGTTTTTAAAGCAATGAATACATTAGAGTTGTCTTAGCCAAGTCTTTCTTCTGAAATGGAACCTACTGCACCAGTTGTTCCTTGTTGATACCCCATCCAAGGACTGACCAGGGCTCACCCTACTTAGCTTTCAAGATCAGACAGGATCTAGTGCTTTAGGTCAATCCTTTCCGGCCTCTCTCTCTCTCTGTTTATTTGTAATTATCTTTTTTCCCCATTTTCTTCAGACCCCTTGCAAAAACAGGAGGATGATCTGGAAGAGGATTTTTTTCTCTCCAGACTGTGTTTTGGATGTTCGGATATCCTGAGCAAGCTGGACCAGATCACCAAAGCTTTGGATCAACTCATGCCAACTCTCCAGGAGTTTGTGAGCAGCAAGGTGGTCACCGGATGCCGTTCTGATGTTGCCTAGCAGGAGTCGCTGGGCTAATTCTGTTTCTGCCCTCCCGTGCATTAAAATAAATTTCAGTCCCATTTAGTTTAAATCTCCCTGGGACCATAGTACAAATTATTACATTACATATATAGCAGGCATGGGCAAACTTGGGCTCTCCAGGTGTTTTAGACTCCAACTCCCACAATTCCTAACAGCCTCAGGCCCCTTTGTTGACCGCCTCCTCCACTCTCATTGGCTGCAGACTGGAAGCGGCGCTGGCTTTCTGATTGGCAGAGGCGCAGACAGGCTGGTCGCACCTCCTCTCCAGCTGATGACACTGACCAATCAGAAAGAAGCCAGCTGAGGGGCGGGAAATTTGAACTTTGACAGCTCTGTTTTGCTATAAAAATGTACCAAATTGTACTGCTTGCATGTCTCTCCTGACGAACTATCGCGGTTTGACATTCGTTCCAGCTGGACAAAATAAATACAACTCGGTGGCTTTTCTTCAACTTTGATGAGATTTATTTGGGAAAATTCTGGGAAAATTCTTGGCTCTTTTCCTCTTTGCTCGCCAGAGTACCGTATCCTTCTTGGTGGATCTAAGGGCTCCTCTCTCCCAGGCAGGAGCCTCTAAATTATTATTATTATTATTATTTATTATTAACTTTATTTATATCCCGCTAACATCTCCCGAAGGACTCGGTGCGGCTTACAAAAGGCCAAGGCCCTCAATAAAACAACAGCATAACAAAGCTCATAAAGCAAAACAATAAACATTAAGCAATAACAATAAACATTAGAACAATAACACCAATAAATTCTAGCTCGATATCATATACACAAATATATAAACACACATACATGCATATACATACACATACAAAACACATATACACAGACTGGGCCACAGCAATGCATGGCAGGGGACAGCTAGTATGTGTGTGTGTGTGTGTGTGTGTATATATATAGAGAGAGAGAGCGTCTCTACTTTGCGGATTTTCACTTATCGCGGGTTGTACTGGAAGTGAGGGAACACTGTAATGCCAAGTATTTAACTTCTTAATAAATGTCACAATAAATGCCAGAGTGTTGGTGCCTGACTAAACTACAACTCTCAGGATTCCATAGCATGGAGCCATGATCATTAAAGTGGTGTCAAACCGTACCAATTCTACAGCGTGGATGTTGTATGTATAAGTCTTATGACTTACTAGCCATCCCCTGCCACACGTTGCTGTGACCCAGTCTGGTGATCTGGAAAATAAAGTAATGAGAAAGGGTTGGTTTCTAATATATGTAATTTCTTTATGCTTGTGGGTAAATGGTATTTCTTGCTGCTTCTTTGTCTGGTGTGCCTACTCTGGAACATGCAACATATAATTGTCCTTCTTTAGGGGTCCCTTTTAAATGTATGATACTATATCTCTCTGTGAGAATTTATTTATTTATTTATTATTTAAACTTATATGCCGCCACTCCCCTGGGGCTCGGAGCGGCTTACAAGAACAGGCTAAAATCTAACACAATTTAAAAGCAATTTAAAACGATTTAAAAACAACACTATCAAACATTAAAAGCCTGTCGAAACATGTATGTCTTACATGCCCTGCGGAAAGCTGGTAAGTCCCGCAAGGCACGGACTTCAGGTGGCAGAGTATTCCAGAGTGATGGTGCCACTGCTGTGAAGGCTCTGTGTCTGGTTGCTGTTAGACGCAAGGTCTTGACACTGGGGACTTCCAATAGATCTTGGTCCTCAGAACGGAGGGATCTCTGGGGTTGGTAGGGCCTCATGTATGAAGTGGCAGTGAGGCGGTCCCTCAGATACATCGGCCCCAGACCATGCAAGGCCTTAAAGGTGAGCACCATCACTTTGAAAGTGATCCGGTGCTCAATTGGTAACCAATGCAGCTGTAGTAAGATTGGTGTTATGTGGAATCATATATATCTATCTATATCTATGGCTGGATGGCTCTTTGTCAGGAGGGCTTTGATTACGTTTTCTTGCCCTGGTGAAGGGAGTTGGACTGGATGGCCTTTGTGCAGGTACAGCTATACCAGGAGCTCCAATTTTGTTTGCTTTTCATTGAATGTTTGTTGTAGTCCTAAGTTTCAGGGACTCTGCAGACAGGTGGCTTCTTTTGGCTGCAATCATAGGGCAAGCCACCCGTCAATTATAGTTAGGTTCCCTGGTCCCGCCCCCTTTTTGGGTTTTGGAGGGAATAGGAGCCAGTTCAGTCCACACAGAGAAGCTTTTCATGCAGGACATAATACCAAGAGCTCCTGTAGAAAGCTTCGTCTTCTACGGCTTGGCCGGGGAGATATACAGTCTACAGCTTGGCTGGGGTTATACAGCCCACAGCTTGGCCGAGGGTCGTACAGCCTCACAGCTCCTTTGCTGAGGGACTTCAGTTAGCCATCACTGAAACCTGAACTCCTTTTTCCCTGGAAGTCTACAAAGCTCTGCTTGGTAAGGGTCACTCGCGGAAGCCAGAAGCAGTTGGTACCGGGTGTAGGGGCTCCATGCCAACAGAGGCAAAGACAGACTGCCCAGATTAGAAGTTAAGGATTTCCCCATTAGTTAGTATACAGTTATGAAGACAGTGCCTGTTCCCTATGGACAAGATTGAGAGAGAGCCAATAGACTGTTAAGAAAGCCTTCAAGTACCTGTTTGTTTTCATTAATAAAGACCTTTGTTGAACCTTTAAGCAATCTAAAGACTCTGTTTAAGGAAATCCAAAGGCCTTTAATCTGAGGCAGCCCCGGAGTCCCGTTGGGCACACAGAATTTATGTCCTGTCTACAGTCTTATGCACAGGTCCAGCGTGCGACAACACAGCCTTAAGTATTTTGTGTTGGTCATGGGGGTTCTGTGTGGGAAGTTTGCCCCAATTCTGTTGTTGTTGGGGTTCAGAATGCTCTTTGATTGTAGGTGAACTATAAATCCCAGTAACTACAACTCCCAAATGTCAAGGTCTATTTCCCCCAAACTCCATCTGTGTTCATATTTGCACATATGGAATATTCGTGCCAAGTTTGGTCCAGATCCATCATTGTTTGAGTCCACAGTGCTCTCTGGATGGAGGTAAACTACAACTCCCAAACTCAAGGTCAATGCCCACTGAACCCTTCTAGCGTTTTCTGTCAGTCATGGGAGTTCTGTGTGCCATATTTGGTTCAATTCCATCCTTGGTGGAGTTCGGAATGCTCTTTCATTGTAGGGGAAATATAAATCCCAGCAACTACAACTCCCAAATGCCAAATTCAATTTTTTTGAGGGATGGTCACTCCTTGGATTAGTAGGTGTCTTGTGTCCAATTTTGGTGTCAATTCGTCCAGTGGTTTTTGAGTTATATTAATCCCACAAACGAACATTACATTTTTATTTATA